TACTACTACTACTACTACTACTACTACTACTACTACTACTACTACTACTACTACTACTACTACTACTACTACTACTACTACTACTACTACTACTACTACTACTACTACTACTACTACTACTACTACTACTACTACTACTACTACTACTACTACTACTACTACTACTACTACTACTACTACTACTACTACTACTACTACTACTACTACTACTACTACTACTACTACTACTACTACTACTACTACTACTACTACTACTACTACTACTACTACTACTACTACTACTACTACTACTACTACTACTACTACTACTACTACTACTACTACTACTACTACTACTACTACTACTACTACTACTACTACTACTACTACTACTACTACTACTACTACTACTACTACTACTACTACTACTACTACTACTACTACTACTACTACTACTACTACTACTACTACTACTACTACTACTACTACTACTACTACTACTACTACTACTACTACTACTACTACTACTACTACTACTACTACTACTGAACTTCGCCTTTATTTGAAAACAAACCGGGTATCAGAAAGAAGAAACTGAAAAGCGCAAGCAAGAAAAGCAATGGTGACAAAACCATTCAAGAAAAATCAAATCAAATAAATAGGAAAATCCAATCAGAAAATAAAATAAAATAAAAGAATCAAGCCAACTAGGGAATACAAAAACAAAAAGCAAACCCGCAAAAACCATCCAAGCATCGCTACTACCAGTACGGTGACGTTTCCATTCACCCAACCGCTCAAACTCTTTTAAAACGAAAACAAATACAACAGAACACTCTGAGACAGAATGAAACCAATGACAATATTATGGCAAGTCCATTGATGCCCGTCAGCGCGGCATATGAGCCAATGTACGGCACTCCGTTACAAAGCAATGTCGGCCAATGCCGGATCCACTGCGTAGGTATGATGCACGTGACCCCCGGAAGCAAGTAATCTGCCACCGCATCAGAGATAGACTGATTCTCGAGCGCAAGTGGCTGATGATGAGACGATACGGTATGTCCGAGTTCTTATGGTGCAGTTGTGTTGCGAGGGTCTTGAGGAAGATGCCACATTCGGGAGCACACTGTCCACTGGTGGCGAAAACAAGCGGAGTGAACGATCCTCGATCCACCTGGTTGATTCGATCGGAATACTGACGTTTCTTCTGACGCTCGTGTTGGGATAACTGCCTCGACACTTCTGGTCCAGACAGCAAAGACGGCCTTGGGTGCGTGACCCGTACATCAAAAAAGGCGTTTTGCTGCCTGGTCCAGAAGCCACGAGCCCGTATATCCACACGAGCACCGTCAGCTGAGCCCCCAGAGACGGCTTCACCACCCAGCGGCATCAGCGGTGGCTCAATCTCGACATCGCAAACAACACTAGCGAGTGCGTCCGCTAGGAGGTCGCGAAGTTCATTATGTCTCTGGGTAGGGTATCCCCCGCTTGGGCACGTGAGGGCGTGATGAACTGACATGTCTTGGCCACAAACACAGGATAATGATATGCCATCAAGCGGCAGGCCATACCTCAGGCACAATGCGTCTCGAAAATCAGACTTGTTGAATATAGTTAAAGGAAATGAAGCCGATGGAGGCGTAACCAGCCACGTTGACACACCGCCGTCACCCGCGACATCCACTAGTAGGCGCTGCTCATCCGTCAGAGCGGGCCTGATCTCCTCCAATGCAGCATTGTGCTGCGCACGGCGTTCCCGGCGAGCCTGCGTGGCCAAACCCCTGGAGGCAGCGATGATATCGGCAACAGGACCGTCGATAGCATCAGGACCATCGACAGCACCAGTCAGCACGCAATCCACCATGGGCATTATCGACGTCCGGCAAAGGAGGTACTCAGCCTCCGCACGCAAACTGCCAATGCGGATAGCCAGCCCTCCATTCCTCACAGGCATTGCAAAGAGCTGACGGAGTACACCATCAGCCGCAAGAGGATGGCCTGTCAATGCTGGCAGCAGATGTTTGTTGATGACGTCATCCAGTGGCGTATACAGGACAGGGTCCACAAAGACTGCACGCTGCAGATAGGTCCAACGGGACTGCAGAGAGGCAGAGAAGACGCGAAAGGCCGCCTGAGGCTGGGTGACAGCCAGACCAGCAAGGCGCCTAACCAATGTGGACAGTTCCTCAACACGGCTCTTCACAAAATTCTCTCGGAACTGTTGGTCTCCAATGGCCCCGCCAAGGTAACGAACGCCGTCGCTCCGGATACGGACATCAGTGCCGGCAAATACCTCCTGGGCCCTTTCCATTAAATGTGGACGGACGAGTAAAACCGTCTTCATGGCATTGGGGTGGTAGCCATACCGGGGCCCCTCCTCCACGATGCAATCCCAATACCCACGCAGCGGCAGGAGCTCTCCGGCTGCGGCATCGTCATCCGCGTACCAAATCTGGCTGGTGCTTGGAAGTCGACGCGACAGCCGAGATGCCAGGGGCACAGTCGCGAGAGCGTAGAACGCCATGGCAAGAGGATCCCCTTGGCATGTACCCTCCCGGGAATAAATGACCTCTCCGCCATTGAGGTATAGAGGGATGTCGGCCTGGTAGGTGTTAATGAAAATTCGCCCAGCGGCAGGACAGATTCTTGGAATGTTGTGTAGCGCCGCGGCCCTGTTCAGAGAATTGAAGGCGTTGGACGCATCCACCAGCAGAATACCTTGAGTCGTCTCGCGGTCATAGAGGCCGGTCAAAGCCTGCACCCCGACCTCGCAAGCCGACGGGACGCCGACGCACAGCTGATGAGGAGCAGTAACCGCAGCCACATCCCTCTCGATAACCGACATGACCACTTTCCCGATCACGCGGCGAAACACCTCCCCGATGGCTATAGGCCTTACCCCAGGCTGCTTATCCAATGGAATGAGCCTTGCTGCCAGGAATGAGCGGAGATCCCGCGGCTCAATTGCCTCAGTGCAAAGACGCTTGGCAGCACGAGCCAGAGCCGAGCACAGGTCGTCAGAAGCTGATGTATACATTGAGGCCATCCGACGCCAGGCAGCGGAGTCAAGGCCTGACGGACCCGCTGCCCCCTTCATAATCATGCAGGTCTTGCGGATTTGAGCTGGTGTTATTGAATCAAACAGCACATTCTCCTGGACTGTGGCTTCATCATCGAGTAGAATCTCTGGTTCTGCATCAGCCGGAACAGGATGCTTGTCTCTCAACAATTCCAGTACCGACTTGCCACCCACAATCTTGTCCAACGGGAGTACGCCACCACCACCATCATCCTCCAGGTAGTGAGCAGCTGTTCCAATGCGGTCGCTGTATACCATTTTTGCGAACTCGACGTCATCCAGACCATTAGCTGCTGTTTTGCCAGGTGTTGATCTGGGTAGATGGGCTTGAATGCACCGTGCCTCACGCAGCAATGCCGCCATGTCTCCGCACATCCACCAGTCAAGACGCTTGCGTAACGATTTCTTGTTGTCAGAGGCATTGGATACTACAAAAGGCCGCTGCAAAATCAGATGGCAAGCAATGACCACAGCCGACCATGCAAAAGCTCCGTCGCGAGTTCCGCCGCTGAAAAGACCAATCAGGCGAGCTAGTTCTTTGACGAACCGACGACCCTCATCCCCGAAAGGTATGATAAATAGATTCCGTTGCCACTTGACTATTTCTGCATGGGTTTTGTCCATTAAAATGATTATATCGTCTGTTGGCAACGACCAAAAGCCATCAGGTTCTGGAGAATCACATTTCTCGGGTGGCAGATCAACAAACTGAGGCTGTCGAGACGAGCCGGGACCCACAGAGGTCGGCGCTGCAGACGCAGGTACCCGGGAAGCTGCAGTGGGGTCAGCAGAAGCACCCACGGGCGAAGGGGCGGCAGCGCAATCAGGAACCATCCCGGAGCACACAGGAACAGGCAAGTCCACCCGTAGTGACTCCCCACACGGAACCGCAGTCGCAGACACAGAAGATTGGGAAGATCCAGCGACCTCAGGCGCCGGTGCCGCACCCGAGCGTTCGGCGGCCGATGACGGGGGCCTGGATACCAAAGTCGCCCGTACCTCGCGAGGCACACCACCGGTCCGGCCAGCAGCGGACTCTACTACTACTACTACTACTACTACTACTACTACTACTACTACTACTACTACTACTACTACTACTACTACTACTACTACTACTACTACTACTACTACTACTACTACTACTACTACTACTACTACTACTACTACTACTACTACTACTACTACTACTACTACTACTACTACTACTACTACTACTACTACTACTACTACTACTACTACTACTACTACTACTACTACTACTACTACTACTACTACTACTACTACTACTACTACTACTACTACTACTACTACTACTACTACTACTACTACTACTACTACTACTACTACTACTACTACTACTACTACTACTACTACTACTACTACTACTACTACTACTACTACTACTACTACTACTACTACTACTACTACTACTACTACTACTACTACTACTACTACTACTACTACTACTACTACTACTACTACTACTACTACTACTACTACTACTACTACTACTACTACTACTACTACTACTACTACTACTACTACTACTACTACTACTACTACTACTACTACTACTACTACTACTACTACTACTACTACTACTACTACTACTACTACTACTACTACTACTACTACTACTACTACTACTACTACTACTACTACTACTACTACTACTACTACTACTACTACTACTACTACTACTACTACTACTACTACTACTACTACTACTACTACTACTACTACTACTACTACTACTACTACTACTACTACTACTACTACTACTACTACTACTACTACTACTACTACTACTACTACTACTACTACTACTACTACTACTACTACTACTACTACTACTACTACTACTACTACTACTACTACTACTACTACTACTACTACTACTACTACTACTACTACTACTACTACTACTACTACTACTACTACTACTACTACTACTACTACTACTACTACTACTACTACTACTACTACTACTACTACTACTACTACTACTACTACTACTACTACTACTACTACTACTACTACTACTACTACTACTACTACTACTACTACTACTACTACTACTACTACTACTACTACTACTACTACTACTACTACTACTACTACTACTACTACTACTACTACTACTACTACTACTACTACTACTACTACTACTACTACTACTACTACTACTACTACTACTACTACTACTACTACTACTACTACTACTACTACTACTACTACTACTACTACTACTACTACTACTACTACTACTACTACTACTACTACTACTACTACTACTACTACTACTACTACTACTACTACTACTACTACTACTACTACTACTACTACTACTACTACTACTACTACTACTACTACTACTACTACTACTACTACTACTACTACTACTACTACTACTACTACTACTACTACTACTACTACTACTACTACTACTACTACTACTACTACTACTACTACTACTACTACTACTACTACTACTACTACTACTACTACTACTACTACTACTACTACTACTACTACTACTACTACTACTACTACTACTACTACTACTACTACTACTACTACTACTACTACTACTACTACTACTACTACTACTACTACTACTACTACTACTACTACTACTACTACTACTACTACTACTACTACTACTACTACTACTACTACTACTACTACTACTACTACTACTACTACTACTACTACTACTACTACTACTACTACTACTACTACTACTACTACTACTACTACTACTACTACTACTACTACTACTACTACTACTACTACTACTACTACTACTACTACTACTACTACTACTACTACTACTACTACTACTACTACTACTACTACTACTACTACTACTACTACTACTACTACTACTACTACTACTACTACTACTACTACTACTACTACTACTACTACTACTACTACTACTACTACTACTACTACTACTACTACTACTACTACTACTACTACTACTACTACTACTACTACTACTACTACTACTACTACTACTACTACTACTACTACTACTACTACTACTACTACTACTACTACTACTACTACTACTACTACTACTACTACTACTACTACTACTACTACTACTACTACTACTAAAGTATTTTGTAGGTGCTTGACTACTATACTACGTCATGTATTACAATTGGTACATGACTTAATAATAGCCGTTTGGCATGGTACAATAACCTTTTTTGTTTAATTTTTAATTTTTAATGGCTTTCTCTTCTTCCTCGGATGGTTTACAATTTGTATCACAATTATTTGTGGGTTCAGCAATAAAGGATGTGACTACTACTACTACTACTACTACTACTACTAGAGCTGCAGTACGTACTAAGTACAAGTAGGATTCAAGCAGGTCTCTTTCTGCACAACTGCAGCTCAGTCGTACGCACTACGCCACTTCCTGCCTCAGATCTGCACCAAATAAGAAGTACGGTCAACTTCGCGTATAACGACACTCGGCGGGGCATCAGAAAAGTGTCATTATTCGCGAATTGTCGTTATATTCGCAGTCGTTATTAGCGAAGTTGATTGTCATCCCAGAATTTCGCCGTGACAGATACCTATGCAAAAAAAGTCAGGAGCTGCACACTCTGGATTTCATGTACTCTTGGTGAAACCCAACCCAAAGTGTTGGGTCGGACTTCACCTCGTGCACCTGTACTACATGTACGTGCACGAAAGCATAGCAAAATACCTCTTGTAAAAAACTAACTATTAAAGGCCAAGCCAAAGAATATCTTTACTTATAAAAGAGAGGCACCTGTGACGTGTGTCTGTGTGTGTGTGTGTGTGTGTGTGTGTGTCACGCTCCTTATAAAGAAGAGGCACCTGTGACGTGTGTTTTTGTGTCACGCTGCCCTGAGCACGCGAAGCGTGCGAACAGTGTAGCACAGTGTAGCTAGCGGCCGCAGAAGCACTGAGCACGCGAAGCGTGCGAATCAGACCCGGGTGCTCGAATCAGGAACGATTTGACAGGTGTGCAATTTCTCATCTGTAAATCTCAACAATGTCAGAATATACTTTTGGAGAGGCGATGGAACAGGGAAGAGAGTCTGGCTTGACCCACCCAGCAGGAATTCAGAACATGGGTGCGCTACAACACAAGCTACAGACGCAGTAAAATTGTCGTATTTCCTTCGGATTTTTTATTTCTACGGTGGTAGCGCTTATACTTATACTATAGCAGACACGATCAGTACGAGTAGCAGTAGCAGCCGCGCGCAGAAGCACTGAGCACGCGAAGCGTGCGAATCATGTAGCCACCTAGCCTAGGCCATAGGTAGCACTAGCAGCCGCACAAGCGCTGCGGACCACGTGAACCGTTCTCTGCAAATAGAAACATCTCCAACAAAAGGATACAAAAGATCTGCACTGACTGCACTCTGCATCTGATCTGCAGTGAAGAGCGCATCGCACTTTTGTTCGTAAGTTTTTGAATTTTTTGAGCCGCTTCATCCGCCACCAGGTGATGGACAACCCTGACCAGCCTCCCGAAGGCGTAACAGACGTCCCTCCTTCTCCTTCCAACGATGAAGAACCTCCCTCACCAGGACTTCAGCGGTCTGGCCACCACCACGTGCTGAGCACGTGTGCTGTTCATGTACTTGCTTCACCCGCATGCCACATTCGGCCAGGCAACGCTGGCGGGGGTGCTGCTAGTACTTGATGATCGTCCCCGCCCCAAAGTTGGGGGCCGCCCGGGAAATTTTATTTACTTTCGGAGGTCCAGTCTGTACGTACGGAGACCCAGCAGTTTCACTTTTCACCGTGAAACCTGGCGGGAACATCGATTATGGTCCCAAACTTGTACACACTTTGAAGAATGCAACCAAGTTTGGCACACTTTTCGCGAAAGTGTGCTCTGTTTCTAGAGTACCGTTTGGTTGGCATGAGGCTGCGCCATGTGCACCAGCTGTTCGATCCTGTTCTAGATCGTACCCACCAACACACCCTCAGTGATCAAGCAATAATGCATAAAAAATATAATCTGCCCGCCCTCTCCATTTATTTTTGGAAAAAAGGATGGTCATCAAGTATATTCTTTGGCTTGGTCTAATAAGCGACGTGGAGACAAGAGTTTTATTCCAGTGATGAATGATATTAGTGAGGCGGTCATTGAACATAACAAAATAATAACTGAAATTTCCTGTTAGATTTTCATGAGACACTAATCGAGGAACGCCGTCTCAACAATAGTAGGTGGGCAATAAAAACAATCTGATGTGTCTAGGGGTTAGTGAGAAGTACAGAGGTGCCTTGTGAAAAAAAGGAAAAGAAAAGACCAGAGAGTGTTTCGAAGAGTTAACTATAGTGACAGTTAGGCGACTTGGAGATAATAGACAACCTTAGCGAAACGGTTTTGTAACGGTATTACCGTAAGGGAAAAAATACTTCGAAGTACCGATATCTGGGTTCGACCTTTAGCAAGATGCACGCTCTTTTTAGTACGCTGTTGCCATGAGAATACTTTATCTTTAGTGCGGTACAACCGTTTATGGCTCCATATACCCAATACACGGTGAAATGGGTACGCACTACGCAAGCTTTGGCCAAAAACGTACCGTAAAAAATGGGGTTACCGTTGTTTGCTATTAGGATGTCTAATAACTTATTATTAGCCATAAACGATATGAGTGCCGTAGTCATCGCTACACATCATCCAAGTCTCGTAATGTTTAAGCCGATTATTGAACAAGATGCTTCGACAGATGACCCTTTTTGTACTTCAAAAGTATAAGCCAGTTTTGTGTAAGCAAAAGAAGCACTGAAGTTCTATTCGTAAGTTCATCTCACCTCTATAATTTCTGCAAACCTTAGCACTTTGTCGTGTGTAATTGAATCATTCCAATAATTATTTTTGGTTCTTCTTTACATTATTACTCTTCAGTCACGAAGATACACTGCTGAACGTGGCAAGGAAATTGATTCTGGAAACCTTTTGAGACTTCAGTAATGGGTGGTGATGACTGGAGGACTCATGTTTTGTATTGCTGTTCTTAAGTAACAGTGTTGGATAACTCTAAGGCAGAGCAGGCGCACACACAAATGTAGACCTTGCTAGCTATTGTCAGCTGTTATCAGCTGTCCGCATGCCTCTTGCCCATATAGCAATCATCTGATTACTGCTGACAGTATGAACAGCACGGAGTGTGACACATTGTCCTTTTCCTCTCCTTTTGATATTTCTTGTCTTCACTTGAAGAGGTGATGTCTTCACCGATCATGTTTTCCTTTCTGGTCTGTTCTCATTTCCCATTGCTCTGCAGAGAAAGGACACATTGCTCAAGGAGTATGCCTCACGTAAAAAGGTACTGGTATGCAAGGCTATCAGGTTGTTGCCTACACAGATGATGTGACTGTACCCTTTGTTATTGACTTTACCGGCTGATTAGCTTGAAAGGCCTGCTGCTGCGCGACAACGGAGACTCATCTGCAACATGCAGTAATTTTTTTGGGGATATGCTCGATATTGGTACACTCACTTGAGCTGAGCATTCCTTTATTGGGAAACAATGCACACTCTCTAAGGCTGTTGATTGGCTGTGTACATGGCTGTAGTCATGTGATATGCACTCCACCAATGTTATCTCTATTCAGAGTAGCGGCTGCTTCAAAGTTTCATCATTTTGTCATCGCTGGCATCTCAGTTGCCGTTGTTGTTACTACTGCCTCCGCTCTTGTTGCTGGAGACATCGTCATTTTCTTGTTCCCGTCCTTCTTTGTTTTATCTATGTGCTTTCATCTTTCAGAGCAACTTATTTGCTGACAGACGTATTGGTGAGAATAACCCAGGCCTGACCGCTGAGGAGAAAGAGCTGCAGCGATTCACGTATGCCAAGCAGGTAATACTAGGTGGTACACGTTTAACAATGCGTGAATGCCATCACTATCTTGTTAGTCAGTCACTTTCTTTATTTGAATCACCAAGGCGTACATCTGGCTGATATAGCAAAGGCTATACACAGCCCCTACAGGTTTATGAATTGCCGGGCCGTTAGTGAAATGATACTGAGGCCAGGAAGGAGCCGAAAACAGCATTGTGCCCTTCAGCTCTGTGTTTCTTTCTGTCACAGTCCATGCTTTGATCTGATGACATTTCAGTTTGAAAGCAGGTGTACATGACCAAGTGCACCTGACCATATACACCTGGTAGGGCATGTGTTTTGTGGGATGCATAGCCGCATGCACTGACCACAGCTGGCTCAGATAATCCCAACCTGCTAATTTCTTTATAAGCTGCATTGTATGTCTTGCGCCGCCTGTGCTTTTCTGTTGTAACAGAAATTCCATTCCAAATCCAATGCCTACAGTCTAGGAGAAGATGAATTGACTCACATGGGTCAATCATTGGCTGATGACAATCAATTGAAAGACACCAGGGCATTCGCTATGTCTTCTGATGAAGAGGATGAGTCGGATCGCAGAGCAGCCGGTGAGGTTATATAAATTCTTTTACAAGTACCGTATTTTACCGGTTGTAAGTCGACCCCGGTTATTAGTCGACCCCCCTATCTGGAGGTCTCAATTCTGCGTTTTAAAGTTTTCACCCAAAGAAGCACTACTAACCACCTCCTGCCACTAACACCTCAACAAATCATGTAAACATTCCTTATTGGAGGATATAACGTCCCAATCCTTGAAAAAGGCCAATAAACTGGCAAAAATGTGTAAACATGGTGCACTCGTGCATGCAGTGGAGGTCTTGTTTTGTAAGATACTGATAGTTCCCGGTTATAAGTCGAATCCCGGTTGTAAGTCGACCCCCACCCTTTCTCCTTCTATTTTAAGTCGTAAAAGGTCGACTTACAACCGGAAAAATACGGTAATGTCGTTGACATGGAAATCCAGTCGATTGACCGGGGCCGGCGCCCTCAGCGCCTACAGAACAGTGCACAATCATGGTGATCCGATGCGACCAGCGCGCTGCAGCGCATAATTATGTCATGCATGTGTGTACTGCTTACCCACGGCTGCATGGCCAGCGCCCTGGTGCCGCTAGACGTGCGACCGGATTTCCATGTCCACGACAGTACCAGTTAGTTTAACTAGGAGGGGAGAATCATGGGGCCACAAAATCTGGCTGGTGTTTCTGGTATCTCGTTTTTAGGTTTAATTCCAGTGAGATTTAGGAGTGACATTAGAGAGGTTAAGTTACACTACGTCTTTTTTTTCTTTTTTCAAAGCGCGGTGAAAATCTCACGTTACCTGTAAATTTTCGAGGTTAAATTACACGTGCGACGTGATGTGAAATATTGCCGTGGCAAGATTCAGGTCTACTAGTAGTTCGAACAACAGAATTGTCTCAACACACAAAATATCAATCTTCCAACAAACTCGCTAAAACTACGGATACTCACACAAATCCGATCGGGATGACCAAACGAAACTTCCAAAAACCGACGTCACGAAATTATGTGCGGTACAGTCAACTCCCGTAAAATACGTCAAATTTCACGAGAGTTTTTTTTGATTTTTTCAAGTAAAAGTTCATGGACGTAAGAATTTTCCGTGAAACTTAACTTCTCTATTGCCCAGTGCTAGTAACAACATGGTTGGGCCAGATTGGTATTGCTCATGATGTTTGTACATTTACCGTAAAGTACCGTTGATCTGCCCCCCACACCGTGTCGCTTCCCAGCTGGGTTTTCGGCAGGGGGCGGGAATTAGATCAAGGCTGTCAAGTGCAGTACGATGTACAACAACTTAAGTTCAGACTCGATGTGCTGGATTGTGTACATTTTCATCCTGGATTGGCAAGTACATATTGTGTACAGCAGTGCATGCGTCGGTTCTACATCGTGTTTTCGTTGTATACGCCGAAGTCGCTTCACAGGTAGAAAATCGACAGGGGCGGGAATTAGAGAGGGGGCGGATCAACGGTACTTTACGGTACAGTCCCAATATTTCGATGTACATATGCCTTGGAAATCTGCTTGCCACTTGTAGATACTTTTCTTTTTAAAAGATGTTTAAAGGATTCCACTGTGGCCACTTCATCTTGTTCACGAAATCATGTACATGTACCACCACCCAGGTGGTCTGTCGGCTACATTTGTTTGAAAATTTAAACAGTCGAATCAACTTTCGAGCCAGGTCCATCTTCAGAAATATAATACTACAATGTACATGTACCGTAAAGTACCGCGAGAGCGCCCCACCATCTCGTCCTTTCGTGGTCGTATTGTGGAGGTGGTCTCCTGTCTGAAGGTCATACGACACGAACCTTGTACACATTTTGCATATTGTGGAGTCAATCCGTACCTTCAAGCGGACACGAGCTCCACACAAAACCCTGCGAAGTGTGACCTTAGCGCACTAAGGTTCTCACACCGTACAAACTTCGTTGCACTCTGCCATACGATTTTCTTTTCCCTGGCTGCAAAATCAAGGTGGGGCGCTCTCGCGAGACGGGGCGCTCTCGCGGTACTTTACGGTACTTTGAGTTTTTACCATGTATGAAACCAATTTCTGCTGCTGGGAATTTTAGTTGTGGTCTCATGTACTGTGCATGCCTGCTTTTTTATTCTGGTGCGATTGCTGTGATTGCTTTCTCAGGTAAATTTGTGAAAGATGCTCATTTTGGCGGTTTCGGTGGTGGTCTCTTCGATAAGAGGCAGCCTGGTGCTGAGACAGAGGTATGTGGCATCCCCAAGGTCAGGCTGTCGTACTGGGACTGTTTCAGTGTGATGAAGTAAGTTCGTTCTTGATCATCTGGCGATATTTGTATGGAGTGTGAGTCCGTTTGCCAGAGAATGATCAGAAGGGAGACGAGAGGGAGACGGTGACGCGAAAAGGAGTGATCCGTGTCCAGGCAATGTGGGGGAGACCAGCTCCTTAAGGCTGTCCAAATTGCAGTGCGCGGCTTGGTTGTTACCCTACGGCTACACATGATGGCTTCTTTGGCCCGCCACCTCTCTTTCCATCTTCAACATTGGAGCACACCTCACGAATGGTCCAGTAGGCTTTAGCTAGTCCAGTACTGTAGCTGTTAGCCCTGAATTTTGCATCTTTAGTATTCCAAACGGAAGTGCTATTCTAGCAGTTTCTACCTCCATCAGCTTTCTACTTCTTTTGTTTGTTCTCTTTTGTCCATCTCGTTCATCTCAGCGTCGCACTCAGAAGGACATTATGGAGGAGATCGTTGCCAAGTCAAAGAAGAAAAAGGTATTTTCCCTTTCCAAGTGTATTCAACGACATGTAGTTGCAGTGTAATGAAAGTGTATATCAGTCATTGGTTAGGTTGATGGTGACTGACTGGGGTATCGCTACTATTGCATGATGTGTGTGACTGTACCTACACTGTGCCTGGCTCTGTGTCTCAATGCTGCTGTTGGACAACAATCACACATGAATGTACTGAATGCACTTGAAGTGAACGGGATCTGCATGCCTCTCCATCTATCTCTTTTCCACTAGTACTGGAAGCATGTCATTACCATCATGGTTGTAGACGCAAGTGGCACCACAATGCTGCAGTGTAGTGTAACGGTGTTCTTCTTGTTTCTCATATCAATTAACCATATACATGTACCGTGTACCGTGTTAAAGTACTGTATCTGTATGGCATTATGGAAGGCTAGCACACATACAGGTGAACCACTAGTACATTTCTCACCGGCATGGACGTGCATGGACGTGCATGTCCATACCGGCGAGAGAAAACTATGCTTGCATTGAACATGATGTATTATCTGTGTGTGTACGTGCTTGTGCGTGCGCGGGCAGGCGGACGTATGTGTGTGTGTGTGTGTGTGTGTGTGTGTGTGTGTGTGTGTGTGTGTGTGTGTGTGTGTGTGTGTGTGTGTGTGTGTGATGATGGTGCGACGAGTGATGAATAATCGAGTGTGAGACGGTGCTTACTAATCATATAAGTTTCCTGGACCTGCTGTAGTGGCGAGTATTGCGCCGCTGCTTGGTGATTGCCATTGTGTGGAACACCGAGCTGCAACTAAGCCTCATTCTGTCATCTGTGTAGGGGATCCCTGTCTAGTAGTACAGATTACTGGGTACTCTGTGAGCGGAAGAAGAAGTTCACTGTGTGTGCACCTGTGCCAACATTGTGCATGTGTGCATTCATTGTGCATTGTGTATCATTTTGTAGGCAGAGCGGCAAATGCAGCGAGACGTTGTTCAAGACTTGACCGACAAAGCCGATGAGCAATGGAAGTCCCTGGCATCCCTTTTTGCTGATGGCCAGGTAAAGGTAAGACTTGAGACGTTGGCTTGCTGAAGTAATGTTGGGGATATGTATTCAAAATACTGTATAAGCAGTGCCGGACTAATTATTTTGCCAAATGTCAAAATACAGTCTATTTTTGGTGTGTGTACATGTACCATATCCGCACCCAAAGGTAGTTTTCAATTTCAATGATTACCCCATCAGCAATCGGCCGTTTAGGCACTGCATCTGCGCCTTGATCCTAGAGGGTGGTGGCGTTCCTACGGACGGATGCGGAAACTCGGCTTTCAGCCGAGTCTCACGCGAACCATGATTTTTTTTAATCAGCCTTGGTACTAGTAGGTGATATTAGTAATACAGTAGTACCGTTCTAGTGGTACTGGCACACATTGCATGTATACCGGTAGTAGTGTTGCATTGCGGTTATCATCATATGAAAATCGTGCACATCTCGCTTCTACATATACAGTGAAACCTGTCTAAGACGACCGCTCAAGGGACCTTCAAAATCTGGTCTCTGTTACCAGGTGGTCTCCTTATCCAGGGTCGTTTGACTGGAAATAGCATCCCTTGGTCCTGGTACCAGTGGTCTTCTGGGACAGGTGGTCACCTTATCCGAGTGGTCACCTTGGCAGGTGTTACTGTACATGTACAGGTGGAATCCTGATGCCAGGAAAACAACTTCTAACTATCCGCACATTTTAATTATCCAAACATGAAGCCAAACACAATATGTATGTCAAATGCTCTCGTGGTCACGCAGAGTTGCGCTATGGACCTTAGACGCAGATTTCACGGATACTGAACTGACTGGCACAGCCTGCTCATGCAAACTCAACTGACCAGTAACGTGTACAGTGAACTTTGAATTACACTTTGCTAACTTCGAATTATCAGTACAAATCCCACACATTTTCTATGTACAGTCTGTATCGGCTATAGAGTGACCGGATATAAGAATATATCGGCTACAGTGATATTGGTACGAAATATCAAAAGCAAAACGTATTTTATCCAGTAAAAATATCACTATAACCAATATTATCGGATGTAATGATATATCGGATATTATGATGGCAACAAAGAATCAAAACATGCATAACACACTATATTATTATCGGCTATAGTGATAACTTTAAAATACATAGCGCGAGCTCCAGTGTGGGAGCAAACCCATTTTTAAAATACATTTAACGCACTCTCCACATACAGGCATGCACCCGGCTCAGAACACATTGTTTTCTGGTTGGCATATCAGGGATATTGGGCGGAGCAGCTGGCGTGCATGAGAAAGACAGGTCGGCCTGCTCTGCGCAGGAGCTGTGACCCGGTGCACACATAGTGTGTGTGAGAGAGAGAGAGACAGACAGGTCGGCCTGCTCTGCGCAGGAGCTGTGACCTGGAGCACACAGAGTGTGAACGAGAGACGGTCGGCCTGCCGTGGGCAGGAGCTGCGGCCGGTAGTGATTGAAATGAGCCAGCTGCGGAGATAGACTGCCCTCACCCGATATAAGTATATTGACAAGAGTTGTACTGACACTGTGATTGAGGAAATTATGGTGACAGTGACGGAGAGATAGTGATCCCCAGTCGAATGGGGTTGGGAGGGAAGGGGAAATTGACAACTGACGGACAAACCAGTGAACAGTCAAGTCGTCGGAAAGCAAAAGTGACAAAGGAGTCTCTCTTTTCTCTTTCTCTCTCTCGAAGCAAGATTTGGAAAGCACGCGTGGGAGAGTGGCGCGCGCTGCGCATGCGCATGTATAGCAATGACATCATAATCAGATGCATGATCATCAGACTAAGTATGAGTGGTAGATGTTCCACGTTCGTTAACAGGGCTTAGCGCACACGCTAAACAACCAGTAGCAATAATATCAAAGGCCCTATTTTTTTTAACTTTCTTCACGTTGCTTATTTTTATAGTGATACATGTACATGTACATATGCAGAATTTTTTTATGGAAATGCGGGCACTGTCAACTATGCAGCATGCTCACTTAAAAAAACGCCATGTAATGCTATGCTGGAAGTATTTCCTTGCCTTTCATGTGTCGATCGAAAAAAGAAAAAAAATCGATTGTATCGCATATAGTGATGCATCGGTTATCGTGATAAAATCACGGAAATCAAAAGGGTACGCTATAGCCGATACAGACTGTAAGTGGAATCTGTGGGACTTCTAATTAACCGGACATGTTCAGTTCGAGGTTCGAATTACTAGTATCAGAAAGTTTTATGTGGGAATCGTATTGATAGAAATCGGTCCTGGAAAAACTTCTAATTAAGCGGTATGTTCGAATTAAGCCATATTCAAATTATCAGGATTCCACCTGTACTACAATAATTACCAAGAATATACCCCCCCCCCCCCAAGAGTGTGCAACTCCTGATACCCTTTCTATGGGGTTTGTCGACGGCGAAAACTCACATCACATGGTGCAGTGTCCTAGTTGTACGTTTCCAGCCCGTTTTCAGCGAGCAGAGGAGTAATAATAAAAGCACTCCCTGGTAGAAACTCGCTGCGCTTATGCAACTCGCCAGCATAATGATGGCAGATTTTCGGATTGCGCGCACGCTATCCCTAGCTGTACGTAGTACAAAATGTACCTGAGACACGCAATGTGAGTTTTCGCCATCGGAGACCCCATCTCCAGAGTTGCACACTCTTGGGGGCTTATAATTATACTCTTGTAGTTACTTGTATAGTGTGTTTCAAAAGTATAGACCTCTAGATTTTTTCGAATAATTCAAATTTGGTTTGAGCTTTTAGAGAAATTTCTTCGGGATATTGCTCAGGCAGTTCCCCCAAGTTTTCTCATGTAGATTTCTAGGCGATTGGATAACAAATGCACAATTTCGGAAATTTTATGCACTAAGTGATCACAAATTTTATTTGGTATAGATGCTGGCCTAGCGTTTTTTTCAAACCAGAGGTCTATACTTTTGAAACGTACTATAGATAACGACACAAAATCCACTGCACAAGAACTAAAGGCAGTAAAATAGCAAAGGATAAACTAGACTTTGAAGCCAATCAACCGATTAGACCGTCAATACTAGTAACAAGCGAGCACACGCACGTACGCGCACGCTGGAGTATTCGTCATTGAGGCTATCTTGAGTGATGCCACTCCTGGACTTTGTTACCCCTCCAAAGCACTTTATTAGCACATGGATCATCGAGGGTGTTGGATTTAGGCCGGCCAGAGTCGTACGACTGTGCTGTGCTGGTACATGTGCAAGCTGACTGCTTCCTGACTCTCGTGAAGGCAATCGCGGTCCTCTGGCTCATCATCTGCTGCTCCCATGCTCTGCACTGGAGTGGCATGATCATGGTTTGTTACGGCTCTTGATGGCATGTCACCACTGAAGCGCTGGACATCCTCAATATTCACTCCAACCTTGCGCCATCCCATTCAAATCATCTCTCTCAGGGAAAACACTGTGGCGAAGGTTTTCACCAGCCAAGATGCCTGTATGGGCTTTATGACTGACATACGGAAGTCAGGTTGAACAATCTCCAACAGGTCCGCATCAGGGCCAGCATCACCCACTGCGTTGCTGATCTTGTCCGCATACCAGTCGATGAAATGACCTCTGAACTCATCTTTTATTTGCCGATTTATGGAGAGGTCAAGTGGCTGCATTTGGCTGGTGCGATGCTTAGAAGAAATCCTGACTTCTCGGAAAGATTTAGGACCTCGGGGGTCTGATGTGCACGGAATGCATCGAGAACTACAAGAGCCTTCTGGTTTTGCGGCAAGTCAAGTGACTTCTTCACGGACGACTGGTACTGAATCAGCACAGTCTTGATGTAGCGGCGGAATGTTGCAGAATTACTCCAGTGTGTTGCCGAATGCCACACATCCCACGCTTCAGGGAACGCCAAATTTGGGTGACACTGCACTGTTTGGCCTTCCTAAATTAACTTTGGTGGAATAAGCTCACCAGACAAGCTGCAGGTCAGTAAAGCAGGCATCTGCCGCTTATCATCCAGCCCAGTTGTGGGGACTTGCTTGGCATCTTCTTCTTCCACTGTCCACTTGGACACAGGTGCCATAGGCAGTCCCGCTTCCTGCTGTGCATCAGCACTTCATATACACAACATATCAATATTAGTATTATGTGCCCCTAGTCAAGTGGATACCAGCCAGAAAGCACCCTGCCAAACTCTATGGGATGCAGGATGTCCCACCCTGTACTCTTTGGGCCATTTATGTGTAATGTAAACACACACACACGCACACGCACACACACACACACACACACACACACACACACACACGCGCGCACGCGCGCACACACACACACGCGCGCACACACACACCCAGGATCATTGTCTGGATAGTAAATACAGTCGCCCCTCTCTAATCCGGCACCTTTTGCAACGGCATTTTCTGCTGGATAAACAAGGGTGCTGGATTATCAAATCCTGCCCTCCAACCCGGCCCACATGTTATCATACATGTTTGTGTCGTACGTCAAAACGTAGGGATTTTCTGTGTCAAACCAAGTACTTTGTGGAATGCATGTCTATAACATACACTTAGGAATATCCTATGTACTGTCATAGGATATTCCCAAGTGTATGTTGCATGTGTTGTGTATGTTACAATGGTCCCTGATAGTGATAGTCTGCGATGTACAACTGCTGGATTAGAAAATCGAATTGTGTACAGTTTGAGTGATTTGTTGTAGAAAATCGCTGCTGGAGGCGAAATTCAAGTGCCGGATTAAAGCGTAGAAAATGAACTGAAAAAATCCGTTTTGCCAGAAAGTGTGCTGGTTTGCAAGGGTGCTGGATAAACAAGTGCCGGATTAGAGAGGGACGACTGTACTATGATATCTGCTAGTCACCAGGAAGGCTCACATTGTATGGACCACAGGTTATTAAAACTTATTATTAGATACTTCAAGAAGTATTATTATTCTGTTGTTCATATTTGCGTTTGTGTCCAGAAAGTGAAAGAAAAGGAGAAACCCAAGGCAGATTCATTTGACATAACTGTCAGAGAGCTAGCATTCGAGGCCCGCAAGGCACAGGTAAGGTGGCTGGATGTGCATGGTTCATGCCTGTTAGATATTACTGGGTTCTAAGTTGTTAATTCGCTCGAAAGACTGGGCTCTCATCTGAGTGATACTTCAGACCCCTAGCGAGAATGGAAGAAAGCTGTTACTAACCTCTACAGGTGTATTTCACATCTGTTGATGGGTGTACTTGTACATGTGTGTACAGAGCAGAGTTGTGTGTGTGTGTGTGCGTGTGTGTGTGTGCGTGCGTGTGTGTGTGTGTATGTGTGTGTGTGTGTGTGTGTGTGTGTGTGTGTGTGTGTGTGTGTGTGTGTGTGTGTGTGTGTGTGTGTGTGTGTGTGTGTGTGTGTGTGTGTGTGTGTGTGTGTGTGTGTGTGTATGTATGTGTATGTGTGTAGATTTGACCAGGCATGTATGTACATGTAGATCTACACAATCATAACGTGATCACGAGTGGACTGGTATTAGCGTGCATACTTACGTGCATGCATGCTTTGTGTGCGTAACACTTCCCTTATAAATGTAAGTGTCAATCATACAGAGCTCAGCTCAGCCCATGCTGTTGCTGCTGTATGTCGCTGCATGTAATGCTATCTGTTGTTGGACGCTTAATTCTGTTTGGTTCTCCAGGCAACAGACCTGTCGAAAACAAAGGAGGTAATGGCAGAGGAAACGTCCAAACGCCGGCAAAAAGAAGAGGTGAGGTTGCAGTTGTTTTGCTTGTTTCTCTTTCTGTTCTTGCTGTATGTTTAGTATTCCAGTGTAAAGTGAAAAGGAAGCTACAAGTCATGTAATGTGCTGTTGGTGAGTTGCAGCTGTATAGAGGAGGCCAGGGCACATTGCTGGTGCTGATACTCAATCTGTGGAGAGTACTCATTTGTCCTTTGTGGACTCATCATTATAGCACCAGAAAATGTGATGTGTCAGCGTATGAATTTGTTTGCTATGTTGATGTACTTGCTGTTGTAGGAAGAGAGAGTGAAGAGAATGCATGCACCGGATACATCGGATGTGCTGAATGGCCACTGTTCCGTGGATTCTCTGAAAGCGTTAGTATGCTATGCCTGTGTATGTGGGATGCACCATGTCCTATGCTTTTGAACTGTATTGTGAATTATCCATGTGCCTGCCTGCGAGATACTGTGTACACATGTTATCTTCTGTCATTACCTGCTACATGTACTGCCCCTGCCATGAGCGCTTTGCACATCCGCTATGACTTGTGACCAAGAGTACATAACCCCCCAGAGTGTGCAACTCCCACATACCCTGCTGTCCCGACAGAATTTCAAGTTGACGTCATTATTTATGACGCAATTCTCCTTGCACCCGTGATTTACAACATGTGTACGGGTGTCAACGCATCACACGTTTTTCTTTGCAATAATTTGTACAGGATCAGATCGGCTTCGGTCAACCACAGGTTCCGGATTCGTCTGATAATCCGTGTACAGTGCGCATTGCATCATAAAAATGACGTCAACTTGAAATTCTGTCGGGACAGCACCCATAGTTGAGTTGCAAACTCTGGGGGGTTATGTACTCTTGCTTGTGACCCAGTGCTGCTTTTCAAATTACCAACACATGCTTGTGATCTCGTTCACTGCTCTCTTTGTCCAGACCTTCGTCAAAGAAAGAACCCAGATTCAGCGTTCGGTATCAGGATGGACAACTTGTCATGCCAGAAAAGAATGGTACGGACATTCTTCAGAAGTGTCCAGTCATGCAGTGATTGGTTCTGGTTTCTGTCTCGTTTCAAGTCACTAAACCTGTACCGAATCAAGCTAAGGCCTCATTTACACGACAACGATTGAAAAACGTTTTTCAATCGTTTTCGAAACGTTTTGCTGTTTACACGAAAATGATAATCGTGTACACTGCAACACGTTTTTTGGCGCGCAATGGTCACGTGCAATAAGTTGGCTGGCGCAGGCTGGCGGCGGCATGTTTTGAGTACAAGGCTCGTACTAGTAAAACGTTTTTGCCGTTTACACGAGAACGAAACGGAACGAAAACGATTGAAAAACACTTTGAAGCCGTTTTTCGTTTGAAACGTTTTTGAAACGTTTTTCAGCGTTGTCGTGTAAACGCTCTTATCAAAATCTGCGGAAGCGTATTCTTTTGAAAACGTTTTTGACAAAAACGTTTTTCAATCGTTGTCGTGTAAACGAGGCCTAAGTCGAGGTGTTTTAAAACCCTAACTGATCCCCCCTCCTAACGTATGGAAGTTGTACATGAATGTGTGGATATAAGGTCCTGTCTTTACACGTGGCTTGTTGTGCTGAATCGTCCTGTACATGTATTTCCTGTATCACTGATCAGTGTTGACTTTCCTGTATCACTGATCAGTGTTGACTTTCCTGTATCACTGATCAGTGTTGATGTATTTCCTGTATCACTGATCAGTGTTGACTTTGTTGCCTGAGTACATTTTTCACAGCTTACTTGAAGTTACTTCCTTTCAGCCAAAGTAACAGTGTTGTTGGCAGCAACACATGACTGTACTGCAGGGCTGGCCAGTATAATCCAGATGAACACCTGTTGTGCCCGGAGTTGAGCAGCACTGACACCATGTAGCTATGCTAATTCTCGGCTTAGTTCACACCTCAACAGTGTAACCTGCGACGCGGTTCTTGAGCGAGTGGTTGGATTTCGGCTGACACTGTTGTTGATAGCATGCATTCCCCATGCTCGAACAGCCCACGTCCATTTTGTTAAGCGCGTGGCTCCTTGCCAGTGCATTGTTGATGGAATGGTGCTCTTGCTCTTTATTACTGTAGCCAAAAGTACATGAAACCCAGAGTGTGCAGCTTGGGGCCTTTTCTGCTATGGGTGTCTGTCACGGCGGAATTCCGTGATTACATCATATTTGGCGCAGATCTGAGGCGGAAAATGGCGTAGTGCGTACAACTGAGCTGCAGTTGTGCAGAAAGAGACCTGCTTGAATCCTGCGTGTACGCACTACATCACTAAAATGATGTAATCACGGAGTTCCGCCGTGACAGCAACCCATCCGAGCTGCACACTCTGGTTTTCATGTACTCTTGCTGTAGCCTTTCTCTTGTAGCTGTTGAGTTTTGTTGTTGCTGGTGTTGATAACGTTATCTTGTGTACTTTCCCTCTTTGTTGTACGTGCTGCAGATGATTTTGTTTGGCAATCTGGGTTTCAGAAGCAGTCGGAGGATGATGGTACGCATCTGCTTCTATCCTAGTACATGAAATAGCATACTGGCATGACTGTGTAGCCATGGTTACTCATAGCATGACTGTGTAGCCATGGTTACTTGTAGCATGACTCTGTGGGCATGCCGCATGGTTCCTTGTAGCATGACTGTGTAGCCATGGTTACTTGTTGCATGACTGTCATCTATGAATACAGGGCACATTCGTTGGGTAAATCGATGCATTCATGTTTCTTGTTGTACACTACACTATAGCAATGTACAGAATGCACCATTGTAGCACTGTACAGTGGAACGTCCCTTAGCTAACTCCTCTTGTAACTAAGGACTGCCGATATCTCCACCTTCAGGACACATTTCTTCAGACCCAGATGTTCTTAATCAAGCTGTAGTGCGTTCTGTAATTGGGCTACCTCCCTGGACGGAACACTCATCTCCGTTGTCTGGGCTGCCTTTGTCGAGAGTCCGTTGTCTGGGCTGCCTTTGCCGAGAGTCCGTTGTCTGGGCTGCCTTTGCCGAGAGTCCGTTGTCTGGGCTGCCTTTGCCGAGAGTCCGTTGTCTGGGCTGCCTTTGCCGAGAGTCCGTTGTCTGGGCTGCCTTTGCCGAGAGATTTCACTGTACATGTGCATGTACTTCAATAGATCAGACCATCAATATAGTAACTGGGATACAAGTACTGAAGTACATACAATGTATACTGCCATGCACTCACTCGTGTGTTGGGATTGATACTGTGTGTGTGTGTGTGTGCGTGCGTGCGTGCGTGCGCGTGTGCGCGTGTGCATGTGTGTGTGTGTGTGTGTGTGTGTGTGTGTGTGTGTGTGCGTGCGCGCGTGTGCGTGCGCGCGTGTGCGCGTGCGTGTGCGTGTGTGTGTGTGCATGCATGTGTGTGTGTGTGTGTGTGTGTGTGTGTGTGTGTGTGTGTGTGTGTGTGTGTGTGTGTGCGCGTGTGCGTGTGTGTGTGTGTGCGTGTTTGTGTGTACGTTTGTACGTGCTGCATGATCTTGCCAGATGATTTGGATAGTGATGATTATGACAGTGATGAGGATGATGACGACGATGATGAGGATGACGACGAGGACGGTGACGAGGATAGCGAAGAAGAAGAGGAAGAAGAGGCTGATTGGGATGCTAGCGGCAGTGAAGAAATGGACGATGATGAGAATAGTGGGGAGGATGGTGATGGCGATGAAGAAGACGACATGGAGGCAGACGGTGTGCAAGAGGATGAAGGTGTGTCCAAGGATAATTCTCGGCAGGGTGCTGGAGAAGCAGATCCATCTGTGGGTGTTAAAGAAAAGGGTAAGTATACGTATACTCGTAGGTGCCCACTGTGACTGCAGTTTGTGTTGGTGGTGGTGTTAATCCTTCAGTATGTGCCTGCCTGCCTCTACTGAGACTTTGCATATACTCTCCCAAAGAGGACAGGTTCCGTCTTGAAGCTGAAGAGAGCCGCCTGCACATAGATTTGCTCAGGGCTTGAAAAAAATAGTATTCTTGAAATCAAAATGATTGTATTGTTAATGCAGATACTGTTCCAGAGTTGGGGGGGGGGGGGGGGCTGGATATTGAAGTACTGAGATGTCTGATTTCCATAGAGGCATGTCATGCAATTGAAAAGGAGGATGGACATTTGGGTTTTACGCCGGCCCTACGACGACGGCTGCAATGGCCAACCGGACAACATAGAAGTTGAGGCCAAGGAGAAAGATTTCATTTTCTTGCACATGCTTATTGATTTGTGCGTATGGCGTAAGCGTCAGGTCGCTACAGTACTCCCCGCCAGTGGTGAGGTCGGGAGGAGCGAAGCACGATAAACAAGAAAAAGAGAGAGAAAGAAAGCGCAGCATGTACAGGGCGGAAAGGTAGGAAAAAATGTGTGGGATTTGTGCTGATAATTCGAAGTTAGCAACGCATAATTAGAAGGTCACTTTATTTTCTGCAGATCAGTTTGGTTTGCTTGCGCAGGCAGTTCAGTATCCACTAAATCTGTGTCTAAAGTGTGTAGTGCAATTCTGCGTGTTAATGCGAGCATTTTGACGTACGTAATGTGTTGTGGGTATTATCAAGAGTACATAACCAAGAGTGTGCAACTCGACAATCCCCCAGCCCGCGGCGGAATTTTTTTATGACATCAGTCTTTGGCGGCTGTTTGGCTCACTGATGCCATCATGCGTAGCCGGAGATCAAAGTACAATTTATTTGTACATTACAGCTACGGTAGTCGAAGCAGAACAACGGACGATAGATCGATGTGTCTTGAACCTGACGAACTCTCACCGTATCTATAAAACAAGCGCGGGAAAGCATACCCACTTCATCATACTTCTGCCAAAGAATAATGCAATAAAAAAATTCCGCCGTGGGTGAACCCAACGCAGCTCAAGATAGGAGTTGCACACTCTTGTTTATGTACTCTTGGTATTATCTTGTCAAGATGGAAGTGTTCAATTCTCAGCATAAAAATATTGGCATAGACAACTGCGGCTGGGGAACCCATTGCAGTCCCATTGAGTTGGTGAAAAACTCTGTCATCAAATTGAAAAAAGTTATTCGTGAGAATGAGTCTCATGATGCCAACGAGGGCTTGTCTATGTGTCCCGGGGATGTTCATGTCTCTAAGGTGCCAAGCAAGTGCTCTGAGACCGTCAACATGTTTAATAGAAGTATAGAGTGAAACAACATCTAGTGTAAGGAAACAGAGATTCTCATTCCATTCTATGTTCTGCAAGTTGTCTAGGAGGTCATGTGAGTTGATGAGTACACTAGGTTTCGAGATCACGGATGGCCATAGGTAGATGTGAAATAGTCTAGCCCAATCATATGTAGGGGAGCCCCTAGATGCTACAATTGGTCTGATTTTCAATGGATTTTTATGTAACTTGGGTAGGCCATAAAAATTTGGTAAATCATTAGACGGAGTCAACAACCGTGCTCTGGCACGTCGATGTAGGACTCTTAAGATAGGCCTAGCTGCATTGATGAACTTTCTTTGCAAATCATCTAAATCTAAGGTAGAGATATGTACCAGTCGATAGGTGTCACTGTCAAAGAGATGCTGGTGGCACAGGGAGACGTACTTAATGCGGCTCATTATTACAGTAGTGCTACCCTTGTCAGCTGGACAAATAACTAGATGTTTAGCATCGGCTAGAAAGTGTAACGCGGTGGTCTCAATAGGACCTAAGTTGCTGGCTACCTTCTTAGGTTTGAAGTTTCTGACAGCTAGTTCCACGTCTCTCATAAAAGCTCTAACATCCGGTGAAATAGATGCTACTGGTGGATGCCAGTGTGACGGCTTATACAAGGAACGGAATCTATCGGGCGTACTGGATCTACCGTGAAAATGTGCTGTAATGGCAATGTTTCTGAGGAACTTTGAAATGTCAGCATTATCAATTCTCGGTAGTGAGTTGAGCCTAGGAACGAACTTAAGTCCTAGTCCTAGAAGTTCAATAAGCTCAACTGGTACACTTACGTCCAAGCACGTGATGGTGTCCCGTGAAGAACAGTTTTCGCGTAGAGATTGTTTAAGATCTGAGCTTTGTTTACGGATTCGTTTACGGCGACGGCGCCTGTGGTTGGTGGTGTTACCTCCACGCCGTCGTTGTCGTCTGCGGGGGCTGTCACCGTCAGGAGGTCGGTCGTTGCGGTGGTCCCCAGGCCCCTAGCGATCGGCCGGGACGTTTCGCGCCGAGCGTCGTACCGGTTGCGAGGCGGCTGCATGTTGCAGGCTTGGCAGGATACCAGCAGGAGCACTGTACTGGGACGAGGCGTGCCGAGTGAGGCGGCGATAGTTGGAGGGCTGTAGGTGAGCGCTGCTCCAAGTCCGGTGAGCCGGGCATGTGCCTACGTGCGTGCACTAGTACTGCTGGGACGTGGGGTGGAGCCGTGGAGGTGGCCAATTTCCAGCTTGAGGCCAGGGCGAAAATGGACGGCGAGGACGACTGGATGGTGTGCTGAGGCAGGACTGCGGGGCATCCAGGTGGTAGGGAACCACAGCAGCTCCGAGGCGTATCCCGTGTCCACTGATGGTAAGGCTCAAGTTTTGCGTCAACAGCCGGTGATTGATGGCATCCCGAGAGTGGGGCGAGCAGGAAACTGGCAACTGCAGCGAGGATGTCTCTTCTGTAGAGGTTGGAATGTGGGATGGACAATTCTTCATCCGGTACGTCTGGGGTCAACCATGTCTCAGTCATTGCGAGCACGTGAACACCTCGTGATGCAGACGTAGCCTTGTTCTCATGCTGAGCAAGTGGAACTGTGTCTTGACGTCAACGAACCCCCACTCAGTGCAGATTCTTGATCTACTCATTTCTAGGTTGAAACGCAGTTCCTCTGGGGTGAGGTTTATTCTGCGGTATGTGGTTATCAGCTCAGCTTCCAAAAGATATCTTTTGTCTCCAAACACGACGAAATCAGGGGCTACTCCATGATGAGGGATAAGTGCACGAATCTGCAACAATTCACTGGCATATAGCAAGATCATGCCGACGGCCCTCAAACGGCCCAAACAGGTATGCGATTATACCGCATGGGAGCATCAGCGACTGAAACTTCATGACTTGTCGCCGCTTAGGCCGCGGTCTCACCAAGCTCAGCCGTTTTTGGCTTGCGCTGAAAGTGGCTTGTGACTAGCTAGCTAACGGTCACACCAAAACTGGTTGACGCGGGTTTTCCCGGGTTTTTCTTTATTTGGAGGATGACCCCTGCGCCCAGTATACGTGATTTGCATACACACTACGTCCTAATTTTTGATCTCCACGTGGGCCTCGTCGTGGATGGAAGTTCTGCGAAGATCCAGGCTCGTTTGCTCGTATCCTTTTTCATAGCACTTCCAAAAGGGCTGAAAGCTGAAAGTGGCTGGTGCCCCGATTTTCAGCCGTTTCCGTGGAAACCTCAGCTGAAAAAAGCGCTTTTTTTGGCTGAACGGCTGAATCGGGCTCGGTGTGACCGCGGCCTTATGGCGACTGTACTAAAGGCGTTGGTGGTACTTTGGTCGGCATATCCAGCAAATTGTGCCATTCACAAAACCAAACATGTTATCCTACGGGCATTTGGCAGACACAGCAGTAGCTGGTCTCCTCAAATTTGGTGGTGATTGTTACTAGTCTACATGTAGTGGGGATAATTCTAGATTCTGACACTGCTCTTGACTTGCAATGCGACGGTTTCCTTCGTTGACATGAGACACTTGTTCTGCATGTCTGGCTATTTGGCCTCTTTTGTTTTGTCCAATTGGTACTTGAATGGGTTATGCAAAGAAACATAATGTATTTTCGTCTGCCACTGTCTTCTCCCGCTTCAGCGCCTAAATCACTGCAGCAGTTGAGTAATCGTCTCAGGAATCGGTAAGTCAAGCGAAGTGTCTGTAAATGTCATTGGTGTCATGTGTTAGGTTGCCCTAGTGGCTTATTACTGCTATACTGTTGCTTTTGCAGACGGAATTCAATCTCTTTGCCCTGTATGTCAACCTTACGCATTGTTTGGATCCTGCATCTTCTATCCTTTTTTGTACTTTTCTCAGATCATCGGTTGAGCAAACTATGACTTTGGAGAAGATCATTGCATGCAATCATTCTAAACTGGCTGCCGGCAATCGTCCTAAGATGCAGGTAGGTAAAACCGTAAAAGTATGATATCTCTGCACAAGAAAAATGTTGTCTGCACTCTTTTTTGTTGAGTTGCTTGAGTAACATGATAATTATATAATTATGTAGGTCATACATAGTGTGTGTAAGTGAATACAGCATTCGAGCTGCCTCGACCAGCCCTGTTTTAGCGTTAATGGCTGTAACGTTACAGTGCACGCTGACTTGCTCATATGTGTTTGCCTTTGATGATTATTGGAGTGTGTCAACCCATCTCTCATCTCTCGTCTTTTCGATTTTTATGTTGTGTGTATGGAATGCATGTCAGTACACTGAGGTGTGTGTGTCTGTCTGTGTGTCTGTCTGTGTGTCTGTCTGTCTGTGTGTCTGTCTGTGTGTCTGTGTGTCTGATAGGCCCTTTTCGGTTTTGTTCTGGAGTACCTGGATGAAGTAGTATCGGAGGACTCATCTCATGCTCCGTTGATCGATGCATTCTCTCGGTTAGTGCTTGGATAGGTATTTAGTTTATACTTTGAAAAGCTCCACACGTCAAAGTGTGTTGTAAAAGAATGGGATTTGTTTCTTGTAATGACCTATATCCCGTTTTGCCATCAAGCCTTTTTTTATATTGAAGCTGTTTGACCCATCTCTCAGAATCATAAATCCTGCTGCTATAAAACTGTGGAAATTTTAACCACCAGAACACCCCTGGCCCAGTATCACGCAAAAGATTGTATCTTTGTAGTGAAGGGAGTTTTAAGTACATGTATTGTATTGTAGACCTTCCTCATCATAGTGGAAGCTGAGATTGTGTAATGTTTCTGGACTGGTCGCTCTTGTTGTTATGGTGTTAATGGTGAGCCCACTTATCGTGTTCTATGGTGTGATATTGTGTATGTGTGTGTGTGTGTGTGTGTGTGTGCGTGTGCGTGTGCGTGTGCGTGTGCGTGTGGGTGTGTGTGTGTGTCGGTGTGCCTGTGCCTGTGCCTGTGCCTGTGTGCGTCTGAATATTTGCGTGTTTGTGCTTGCGCCTGTGTGTGTATTGTGATACAGGCCTTTACTTGATCTTGCACGTGATAATATGCAATCAACCTCGGAATGTATGCATGATCGACTAGTGGAGTCTCGACAGCTGGTAGCTGAAGCTCGCAAAGGTATTGTTTTCGTTTGTGTGAGTTTCTGAATGCGTTGGCAGGTGTGCAGGTGTGCCAGTGTGTGGTTGCGTTTGTACGCATGCATGCATGTGTGTACATGAGCTTCTTTTAAAACACTGTACCAACAAGATTCAAGCCCTCTCTTGAATAATACCCCTCCCAGGGGTAGGTTACAAAGTTATAATGATAAAGCCCTCTCTCGACCAGTGCCCCAGGGCTTTCATTTTCACCCATGTCTGGATGTCACTACTAGTGCCAAAGGTTAGAAAGAGGAAGACGACGATACCAATCAGGGACTGGCAATAGCAGTATCGATGATGAAGACGACAATGTCAATGGCAGTGACGACGATGCTGACACTGGCGACAACTTCAGTGACAGTGATGGCACCGACACTTGTACCTGCTCTGGTACCTGCACTGGTGCCATGGTGGCGTGACTTGAATGACAGGAGCCATGCCAACACAAGTGGAGATATAGAATAGTCCTCACTACATGCTAAGGAAAAATAAATCCCGCTCAAGTAGAAGCCCCCAGTACAGGCAGGGTTCTGACTTTAGAGAGAAAAAAAATGAAGCCCGTTGTATTCTAATCGTGAGAGGACGATATTTGGCCATAGATAGCTGTAGCCGCCACAGCATACCGGTAACTTGGTTCTCCATGTTTCTCCCATCTGATGATCATTTGACGTGAATGGTAGTGGTGGTGCTGCTACCACTGTTGTTAGCCCTGCACTTATGACCCTGCATATATTCCTGTCTTTGTCATCACTGAAACTGTTTCCCCCTGCTGTCTGCGTGTGTGACGTCATGCAAATGTGTTCTGTACAGACCCCTCACTGCCATCTCTCCCAATAAGGATGGTAAGTTTTAGGCTGTTGTGTCACAGGGAATGTTCCACATGTGTGTATTTCCACATGGATTCCTTGCTGTTAGACTAACGAGGCCGTAGCATCCGGTACCACACTATGTGTGTTTGTTTCACTGTATGCTGTATATGGGTGACGTGGCCAATGTAGGAAACATCCTGAGGAGATTGCACTCTTTACAAGGATCAAGCTGCGCTGCATGCTGTGTTGCTAACAGGTGTGTGTGTGTGTGTGTGTGTGTGTGCCTGTGTATTTGCATCTTCTGTGGGATCCTCACCACCCACGTGCAGCGAGTCACTTTGCAAGTTGCCGGCGCTATCTATTCAACGTCAGATTTTCGTCATCGTATCGTCTCGCCATCTCTGCTTCTCATGGCAGACTATTTAGCACATGTAAGGTGATGTTTGCTCGCTGTTTTTTCCAATGCGAGATACGCCACCTAGCAATAACTATGATTGTGTGTGTGCATGCTTGTTTAGAATCATGGCTTGGCATGTGGAACTGAGCAGCAGTTCATTGATCACTATTCGTTTATGTGCACATGCATGTCTGTTCTACGCGCATGCCTGTGTGCGTGCGTACGTGCATGGTCATGTGGATCGGCATTGGTAATGTGTGTACATGTACATGATTCTATGATGTTTGTGTGTGTATGTCTGTACACAGTGTTCACTGAATGCAGACTCGCTACTGAGCGGTCTATGGATATGTCAGCTACTACTACAGGTACGGCGCTTTGTCTGCTTCTCATCTACATCCCCCCCCCCCTCCCCCCTGTCAGTTGAAAAATTGAATGTTACTTGTACTTCAATACTGCGAAACCTTTTGTGGCAAGCTTGCATTGCAATTTGCACTTCGAACTGCTCAATACCTTCATCAATATGAAGCTCCAAGAAGCGTTGTAAAGTTGATCTGAAAGCTACTTTGTACCGCTACTCTCGTGTGCTCTGCATTTGCTTTGTTCTGCCGCTATGTGTGTGGCTTGGACTCTGACATACATGTACATGTACTACAGTGGAACTCGTACCCCATGCCATGGGCAGCAGGAAACTGTGTACTAGTACATACTTTCCAAAGTACTGCTTATCCAAACGCTTAGTTCAATATGGATCAAGACACTCATACCCCTGACAATGTCCGTACTAAGGAAGTGTACATCTGATCAGAGTATGTACACTACGTGAGTTCCACTGTGGTATCTAACACTTGTATGAACTTTGGCAGCTTGTCGGCTACCGCTCACATGCCGGCACATTGTTATGACATTGTGTTGTCTCTCTGCACAGTATTTACGGCAGTCGAAGAGATTCATGCCGGAAATGGTGAATTTCTTGACTGGGATAATCGCAATATCAGCACCGGCATCCTCATCTTCACCAGCATCACCAGCACATGATCTAGGTAAGCATTGTTATCGAGATTTGTGCTTGTGTAGCAGCATGCATGCTCTTGAAGCACAGTACGTTGCACCGCAATATGTGGGTTGAACTTGGACAGCACACATGCACGCATACACGCACACGAGCTTGGTCACTGTTGTTTTTGACAGTGCCAAAATACACACACATGTGTCTGCATGCATGTTCCATTTTGTACAGCTTTTTTTAGGTTGAATTACATGTATTCTCGTTATATTCTTTTCCACTGCCGCTGTCCTGTTTGTTGTTGTTATTGCAGCTAGTCTAACACCGCCATTCTCGAATTCCACGGCTGAGCAAAGATCAGCAGTATTGCGAGCACAAGAGAAATGTGCCAGCAATGGGTAAGGGCAACACACACACGCACGCACGCGCGCACACGGTTATTGGCCAATCCTAGATCACATTTACTTTTATTCGATGGCCTATAGTGCATTGTTGAATTTATGAAGGTGCTAAGGTGCTTGTGTTTTATGTGCCCAAGATTTTTGTTATCGCCCTCTTGCACAATCAGGCAGTCTTTCTGTATATTTATTTCTCTCCTTTTCTTTCTCTTTCTCCCCCTCCTCGCTTCTCTTTCCCTCTCTCCATCTATCTATCTATCGAATATCCATCCATCCATCCATCCATTAGCCCTTGGTGGATTATGCTGGCATAATTTCTGGCATAATCTTCGGATTTTGTCTAAAAATTATGCCCTAGCATAAAAGGACTTCTGAGACCAGACGGTCAGCATAGCCTTACGATGCTGGATGAAGATTAATGCTCCAGGCATATGTAGGCATGTTACAGGAAATAACCTGGTGAATGTTACCCCTTATAAGCCGTGCTGTCATGGTGCCGCATAATTCCAGCATAATGTAGCATAATCACTGGTATAATTGGGGCATAATGGAAAGCAATTTACTTAGCACCATCATTGGCATATTTCCAGCATAATGTAGCATAATCGCTGGCATAATTTGGGCCTAATGGAAAGTATAATTCAGCAATTTACCGAGCATAATCCGCCAAGGGCTGCCATCCATCTATCTCTCTCTCTATCTATCTATCTATCTATCTACAGTCAACTTCGCTAATAACGTCTGCGGATATAACGACAATTCGCGAATAACGACAGAATTTCCATGCCCAGAGCAAAGTCCCATCCCACTGTAATACATATTGAGACTTCGGGTATAACGACACTTCGCGAATAAGGACACCTTTTTGACGCCCCGCCGAGTGTCGTTATAAGCGAAGTTAACTGTATCTATCTATCTATCGAGCTATTATAACTATTTCATTCCTGCTGATCATAGTGTGGGCCCATTGTCAGCTAATCTGTATTGTTGTGTATGGGGCTCTGATGTTGATGTTGCTGTCTCTGTACAGATTAGTCACTATAGTGCTGTGATGTTGATATGCTGTCTTTGTATCTCTGTACAGATTGGTCAGTATTGCTGTGCAGCTACTGCAGGAGGTCACAAACCTCTACAGCTCGGTTACATCTTTCCCTGAGCTTTTCGCACCGGCTTCTGCACATCTGCGGAGGTATTGCCTTTATAATATAGTTATATTTCTATGTGTCATATACACAAGACACAGAGCTCCGCACATCTTCGCTGTAGCTAGTAGTTTTGTGCCCTTTGGCAATCATCAGACAACTGATAATGCTTGAACAGCCAAGATTGGATATGTGTGTTAGGGCTGCGGATTTGCTTGGTCTTCGTTTAAATGTCTGAAACACAATTTAGTTGTTCTGCTAACTTACAGTACAATCATGCAGTTCTTGCGGCGCGTTTGAAAAGTTTGCTGTGTGTGTGGTACGATGGCATGTGTGGTGTTTATCTGTTCCTCATCCATCCCGACATATATGTATGTTTGTATTGTTGTTAGATTACCAGTCAGTCGACTGTCAGCAGATGCCAAGGTGAGTGCTCATAAATCGATTATTATTAATACTACAATGCTGGCAACTGAAATCCGACCCCCTTGGCGGATTTCAGTTGCCAGCATTGTAGTTGCCATTGCCGACTGTGTACAATACTAATACATGCACGGTGCTGCTCAGTGAAATCCGGTCGCGTGAGTCAAGTTTGCGCCTTGCATCATTTCGCAGCCCAGTGTTCATAGGCCTACAGGGCTGCACAATGCCCGGCGCGTACCTGAGTGACTCGGCTGTATTTCATTGAGCAGCACTGTAAAGCAGTGTACAGTGTACAGTACAGTGTACAGTGTACAGTGTACAGTGTACGAACTGGACATGTAGCTAGATACCAACACAACATCACAGGTGTGTTGTGCTTGCCAAGTTACCATGGAGCCAAGCAAAGAATGGGGAAAACGAGCAGGTTCTGTACTCCGAAAAACAAGTACGATCAAGAAGTACGCTGCAAAACAATTAACAAAAGGCTCCAGCTCCAGGTCCAAACGTGACAAAGCAGTACATGTGTGTGCACTGTCAGTAAAAGAAGAGTTACATATCATTTTGCCACGTACGGTAGACATCAAAATCACTATCTGCATGCTTTGTTCTTGTGTTCTGTCCTGTACTGTACTGTAATGTACTATCCTGTACTCTACTGTAATGTACTATCCTGTACTCTACTCTACTGTATTGTACTACATGTATCCTGTACTCTACTCTACTGTATTGTACTACATGTATCCTGTACCGTAAGTAAAAAAATCCTGTACTGTCTGGACTCTATTGTATTGCACTATCCTGTACTGTACTGTAATGTACTATCCTGTACTGTATTGCAAAATTGATTTGAAGTTTTTTTGGTTTGGGTTTGAAATTCTTTATTTTACACATGCATTTTTCTGATTTCTTCTCCAGTGTATGATTTATTGCATTTTAAACCATTGTGTTAATTTGCTAAGGTGAGAGTATAACCTGGCCGCCACAAATCAGAGTGGACAATATGAAAATAGCTGTAACTCCAGAACCACTGGAAGGAATCAAGTAAAATTCTCTACGTATGTTCCCTGGTAACAGACCATCCTGGAAAAGCTGCTCACATGGTTATAACTGTATCCAAAGTCATTTTGTAGCCGACACTAAAAAGGCAAACACGGATCGCAAAGCGGCACGCACGTCGCGCAGGAAAACTAAATCAAGCAAGTCAGTATCAGGGAACTTTTTGTATCAGCAAGGAACTATCACATATATGCAGGGAATGAATGGAATTGAATGACTCGTTTTGATTCTGCGTCGCACCGCGCATACAGCGAAGCAAGAGGGCACGAGACGTGAGATTGTTGTAGATGGGCTTAATGGCTTTGACCACAGCTTCAGGAATCGTGTTGTGGTGCTGATGCAGCTCTTGCTTGCCCGCCTGAGCAAGCTGCCAACCGCACCAGCTGTCTCCACCTGTCGGGCAAAACATGTGCTGTGGACGTTCGTCAGTGGATACGCGATGAAAAAGGCCAGCCTATATAGCCTTCGCCATGCTTTGCAGATCATGGGGATGGCTTCTGATTGCATTCCCATAATACGTCTGCAGGGTGTCTATGAGGGGATCAGTGAGCCTGCCTTGACCACCAAGTGGTTTGCCGTCGTCCAATTTCTGGCCTTTCATGGTCTGCTTCAACTTGCGCAGGTGGGTACCGATGCGTTTTTGCACGTGGCCGACGCACTCTTCTTTCCTGACTGTCACATTCGGTCCATACGGTTGTGTTTCATTGACTGCAGAAAAGCCCTTCGAGTCACCATCGCCTATAAAAGAATGGTACTCTAGACCATTTCTTGCCACTGAACGTTGCCACAATACTACAGCAGCCTCTGATTCCATGCCGGGTGCTGACCGCGTTGTGTTTATGGGACACACTTTGGAATGCTCCTCTTTCCATGCAGTGTATTCCTCAGCACTGATGCGACCGCGTTCCTTTCTTTCTGCTCGCTGTTTTCAGGCCTGGCAGTACTTGGTGCTGACATGTAAATCCAAAACCAGGCCGGTGTCCCAATCGATGCACGTGAATGCGCCATGAAGGGATGTGAAGCCTCGCTTCATCAACGTGCCGTCGAACGTTACTGCCGCCACGTTCAGGTCCTGTTCTTTCTTCGCGTTCAGAGATTTGACTTCTGCAACTGCTTGCTGCATACTAGCTTCAGCAACAGACTTTGCAGCAGTGTAGAGGTGTTTTTGGTGGCGTTGAAATGCAGCCTTAGAAACAGGCTTCGGAAGATTCATGACGCCGCAAAATCTGCGTAACCCGCTGTGGCCACGGCCAATTGATCTAGCAGCCAGAACACTTCGCCTGTTGCAGTCAAAAAAATACTGATTGTTCTTTGGCACCAATGGAAGCTCTACACGCAGAGTGCACTCATCATTTGAGCAACAAATTCTAACTGAACTAGCTAGACCAGAACGCTGCGTCTCATTGACTACCATGTCACTACTTCCACAAATTTTGCACGAACAAGCTTCAGAAATAAGTGATTGTAAGCAGGTCAGGTCTACTAAACGATAACCGGACAGTAAACCAGTGCCAGAACCATGTTCTCCCTCCAGGCCACTCTCCGAGTCGCTGCTATCACAGCACTCACTGAATGAATCCTGCTCTGTGCTCGAGGAGTTCGAGCTACTGTCACAGCTCGATGAGTCACTTGCAGATATCCATGCAGGAATACTCAAACTCAGCTTGCGCCGCGACGCAGAGGAAGAAGCAGCAGCATCCGACTCAGACAGTTGCTCAGCTACTCCCTGGCCAAGGAATCGTTTGGGTCGCTTTCTAGGGCGAGCTGAATGTTTCTTGTTACCCATAGCGTAAACAGTTATTTTTTTGGACAATTTCAAAAATGAATGAATCGACATAATTATGGACCGTACCAGTCGCTCACGCTGGCTCGTGATCACGCGGATCATCGTGCACGACTCCATGACAGTTTTCGTATCCAATGGCAACTAGAAATTGCCGAAAACCCAACTGAAAAGGAAGAAGGAACCTAAATTTGCCAGAGAACGAGTACAGGTGGAATCCTGATAATTCGAATATGGCCTAATTCGAACATATTAGAAGTTTTTCCAGGACCGATTTCTGTCGATACGATTCCCACATAAAATTTTCTGATAATTCGAACCTCGAACCAGACATGTCCGTTAATTCGAAGTTCCACGGATTCCACTCACATAGAAAATGTGTGGGATTTGTGCTGATAATTCGAAGTTAGCAAAGTGTAATTCGAAGTTCACTGTACACTGTACTGGTCAGTTCAGTTTGCATGATCAGGCTGTGCCGGTCAGTTCAGTATCCGTGAAATCTGTGTCTAAGGTCCATAGGCTTAGCGCAACTCTGCGTGACCATGAGAGCATTTTGATATACATATTGTGTTGTGGGTTCATGTTTGGATAATTAGAATGTCCGGCTAATTAGAAGTTTTTTCCTGGCATTTCGAGGTTCGAATTATCAGGATTCCACCTGTATATCTAGTATCGTACTCATCATGCATTTTACAACAAAATTCAAATTTACAAATTTTGAAATACGCATTTCGCTTATCGACTCATATCTCAGGCATAATATTGTCCGATTCACTCCAAATTTTCACCGAAGACACTTTGAAACACCCTGAACGATTTGACATTGAGAAAAAAGCTGATTTCTAAAATTCGATTTTTGACCAAAATCAGGGTATACTCCCACTTTGCCCGTAAAAGAGGCCTTAAAAAACTATCCTGTACTGTACTCTACTGTAATGTACTATCCTGTGCTGTACTGTAATGTATTGCACTATCCTGTGCTGTACTGTAATGTACTATCCTGTACTGTATTGCACTGTATTGCACTATCCTGTACTGTACTCTGCTGTGTGGCGCTGTCCTGTCCTGTACAGGAAGCACGTACTGCGCTGGTAAAACGCTTCTCGGCCACTCCGCCGCGTCGGCCTGTCTTGCAAATGCTCAAGAAGAAACCAGTGCCATTGAAGCTGTATGAGCCCAATTTGGATGAAAGGTGAGTAGTGTGCAGCATAGTCAGTTTCCATGTGTGATCAGTACAATTGTCCTGTTTATAATCAAAAAAAGCCTCTACTGTGTGGCTTGCAAGCCTGGGATGGTGTTGGTGTTTTCACACATCCGTGTTCTATGGCATTGGTGGAAGGTGGGGACATGGCACAATATGATATACGGTACTTTGAAGTACAAGTACACTCAGCCTGGCGTGAATGTTGACAGTGACTGGTAGCATGTCAGATTGTCACAATGACTACTACCTGAATAGCGTTAGTCCTGTGCTATCTAATCGTGTTGTTTTATTTTGTACGTGTGTGTATGTGTGTGTGTGTGTGTGTGTGTGTGTGTGTGTGTGTGTGTGTGTGTGTGTGTGTTTGTGCGGTTTGTGTGTGTTTGTGCGGTGTGTGTGTGTGTGTGTGTGTGTTTGTGCGGTGTATGTGTGTGTGTGTGTGTGTGTGTGTGTGTGTGTGTGTGTGCGTGTGCGTGTGTGTGTGTGTGTGTGTGTGTTTGTTACTTTCCTTGTGAAGGTATGCCATTTGTCGCAAGACGCAGGGCGGCGGATTCACCCATAATCGCCATGGTCTTGGTCGCAACCAACAGGAGAGGGAGATGTCTAAGTTGAAGACCAGACTCAAGAAAGAGAACAAGGTCAGTTTTTTCTTCTTCAGGAACTTGGAAGTGCTTGGTATAATGCTTGTTGCTACTGTATTGTCAGAGTGTGACGATTTGGTGTTGATAAAATACTATAGTCTCACGGCCAATGGCTGAAAACTACTCACAAGTGCCAAGTGCAGAGCCACTCAGTCTATTGGCTAAAGATTGGATCGCACTACTAGTACATGATTGACCTTCATGTGTTTCCGGGTTATACTGCTTTAATACTATGTTAGTATAGTGACGTGATCATGTTTACACGTGATCATGTTTGCACCATCACTGAGTGCGGCCGGCAACAATGAGCAGTAATGAAGATATTGCATACGTGTACATGACGATCTTCTATCATTATTATTATTATATTTTAAATATCATATACATTCACGTGTGTGAGCATCATCTAGTTTTGTGCTGGTGGATATCTATTGATCCCAGTGTTGTTTGACACACCTGCACCAGCAATCCAGCGCGTACACCAACACTGACTACCTACTGTTTAATATGGACCTTGAAATCCGATGCGATGACCGCGGCCGGCACCCTTACTGCTGTTACTAGTGTCACTAGTGTTAGTGTTAGTGTTAGTGTGTACATGCACTGTAGTTCACGTACACACTGTAACACATGGACCAGTAGCGCTCGTGTCTGCAAGGCCAGTGCCCCGTGGCCACTCGCCTTCTCAACGGATTTCAATGTCCGCGACAGTAGAACCTGTGTACACAACTATGCGTATTGCACATACGTACTGCACATGTGTAAACCAGTCCTATACATGTAGATAGTTTTGAAGAACTCATGATTACTATTTAATCAAAACAATCCAGGACAACAACGTCAGTCCAACCCTTTTCTTTTCTTTTCTCATCATTTGCACCTCTGATTCTAATGTGTTCTAGCCGTTTCACTGAGTTTTGTCTTTGATGCTGTGCCTGTGTTCCTTGTAGTCTGCAATGCGAGAGCTGCGCAAGGACTCTCAGGCCATTGCTAAGGAGGTTCTCAATGAGCAGCTCGAGAGGTAAGAAGCACTGTGCTAGAAAGCCAAGGATGAATGTATACTTGTATACTGGTGCTCTCTGATGCACTGTGCTAGAAATACTGTGCTAGAAAGCCCATGATAAATGTGTACATGTATACCGCACGTACCGGTACTCTCTTGCGTACAATTGCAAGTTGCTGCTTTCCCTCCTAAAAAGTCATCCCGTGTTGAGTCCAACCCCTGGGATTGACATGACGGACATAAGAAGCCAGCTGAAGATCGCTTGGTATTTTTCAGTCCCTATCCACCCACCCTACCATTCCAGAAGTGAAATGAATTTCAACTAAATATTGATTTCAATCTTCGGCACCCAGTAGTACTTGCATTTTCCATGTGCATTCAATACTAGTTTCTAAAATGTAACTCCTAAAACCCACCCACCCCAAACGAAAGCTTTTCGTTTTGCAAAACGATTGGTAACCTTGGTCGGCCCCATTATCTCTTTGTGTCCGTCGTGTTTTCTGTTAGGGATGCAACGCGGAAGAAGAAGGTCAACAAGCTGCTACATGACGTCCGGCAATCTTGATAGTGGAGTCATCGCTCGACCAACAATGGGCGTTTTTACCTGCGAGCCACCAGCTCTGCTTCAGCTGGATCTGTTCATGCTCACACTCTGTGTGGCATGGCCCAAGTGCCGAGCCTTATGTGTGCACCTTCATGTACATAGGCTGAGGCAACACGTGCAGCCATGGGCTGGGTCAGCAGCAGCAGCAGTAGCACTGGCTTGGTGCAACAGCAGTGACTTGGTTTAGCAGCCGCTGTGTTGCCACACCTGCCGACATTTCAGTAGCCTGCTGATTTTGGAGGCATGTCACGGCCTGCCGACAACAGCCACGGTAATTTTAACCGTAAATGACTAATGTCCACGGTCGCCCTTCTACTTGGTTTAGAAGTCCTGATCCCGATTTTTTTGCTTTCACTGGTCATCCCGAGTGTTTCCGTGGCTCTCTCCTATCCTCACAGTTGTGTCTTATGCTCACAACAATGTCACCGGATCTGTGTGTCGCCATGTCAGTCAGCCGACGGGTACTGCAATGGCTATGGTTGATCAACACAATCAACATCGTAACTCACAGGCCGTGCTTGAGCAATACTCAGCATTGAACCTTTGATAGCTTCAATATGATAAATCATTTTCAATCATAATGATTTTTCACAGTGGAATAATACTACATGTATATGCTGTGAATAGTGGATTATAATTATGATGGAATAAAAAAAAAGAAATGTGTTTGTACAAGTGTGTGCGTGTGTTCCAAATAGCACAGTTACCAGCACTGCTCCGTCAGGAAGTTCTTTCTTACAAGCCAACAACAGGCTGTTGCTACTTGTACCTACACATTGTACTTGTGTGTAGGTTGACGCATTATGCCACTGCAGGAATGCGAGAAAAACGAATATGTCAAAGGAGTTTTGAGAAAGTCCTTATGTTTCATCATGGTTGGTCGGTACGTACGATCAGGGGGAGTATGTGTAGTCCGATACTAGCAGATGTACAACACCCACAGCTACAATAGCAATGATATCATGCATAGAAATTGGATTGGAGGCTCATGGACACGGAATTGTTTTTCATAGTGAAGTAATGAACAGCCTAAAAGTCACCGGAGATGGCCATTCATGTCTTCAATCCCCACTCAAGACATCCTCTGCCTCAACACCTGTACTGCTAGGCACTGTGGTGGAAGGTCTACGGAGTTGCTGTGATAACGGTGCAATTGATGCATGGCAATCATAGTAGTGGAAGTAGGTACTGGTGAGTTGTGATGCTGACCCCAAGAACACCGTGCCCACGGTCAATCTAAACACACCGGCAGCAACCAACACAACAAAAAAGAACAGAGCATCCCGTCTCAGATATAGTATCAGTGCTGTGTTTGCAGCCAAGAGGAAGTCTGTACCTTACACAATATTTTAAAAGAAACTGTTTCATATTTCGGAGGTCGAGCATCGCAAATTTCGCGTTCAGGTTCGAACTCCGATGAAAGTCGAACTCGGTGACGAAATTTGCATTTTGGAGAGTATCAGTAAACAGAATTGTGACGTTGACAGGTTGTACCTGTGTGCAGGCATGGTGTACAGGCAGTACAGGCATGGTGTACAGGCATGGTGTACAGGCATGGTGTACAGGCATGGTGTACAGGCATGGTGTACAGGCATGGTGTACAGGCATGGTGTACAGGCATGGTGTACAGGCATGGTGTACAGGCATGGTGTACAGGCATGGTGTACAGGCATGGTGTACAGGCATGGTGTACAGGCATGGTGTACAGGCATGGTGTACAGGCATGGTGTACAGGCATGGTGTACAGGCATGGTGTACAGGCATGGTGTACAGGCATGGTGTACAGGCATGGTGTACAGGCATGGTGTACAGGCATGGTGTACAGGCATGGTGTACAGGCATGGTGTACAGGCATGGTGTACAGGCATGGTGTACAGGCATGGTGTACAGGCATGGTGTACAGGCATGGTGTACAGGCATGGTGTACAGGCATGGTGTACAGGCATGGTGTACAGGCATGGTGTACAGGCATGGTGTACAGGCATGGTGTACAGGCATGGTGTACAGGCATGGTGTACAGGCATGGTGTACAGGCATGGTGTACAGGCATGGTGTACAGGCAGTACAGGCATGGTGTACAGGCATGGTGTACAGGCAGTACAACATAAATGTATGAAATTTACTGACAGAAGAACGAGCAGTTGTTTTCTCGTAACTCTGAGTTTCACGAACTGAATCGGTCATCAGACGAAAGTCAATACTAACCTTGCCCTGAGGCTGAGAGTACTGCTATTATACCATGGATGTGGCAAGCTCAGCATGCCAATTACCCTGTGGTATGTAGCGCGATATGGAGTGTGTGAGAAAGTGTTAGTTATCTGCGCATTGCTACGTAACACTCTCGTGGAATCAGGTAACAAAGCTTGGCAATTGATGTTCCTTCGCGTAGCTGTAGAGAGAAAGTGTTAATTTCTGTGTATTATTTTAGCGATATTCTCTTAGAATCAGGTGACAAAATTATGAAATTTACGACTGTCCATTTTTGGTGTTCTGGCTGGGGGGTTTTGGAACGAAAAGTGCGAGAGAGCGAAAAGAGTTCGTGATCCAGCTTGCCAACCGAAAAGTGTGTGCGAACTCGAAAGCAAATTCCGTGATGCTAAACCTCAAACCTAAACCTCAAATCTAAACCTCAAACCTAAACCTCAAACCTAAACCTCAAATCTAAACCTCAAACCTAAACCTCAAATCTAAACCTCAAATCTAAACCTCAAACCTAAACCTCAAACCTAAACCTCAAATCTAAACCTCTGTATTACTGTAGCCCGTGCTGTGCTAATCTGAAAATAAACAGCCAGGTTGTCAGGTTGTCCAGAATCTAGTTCTCATCCTTCAATGTGAATGTTTCTTTGTAACGGGTCTCGGCGGGCACAATGTGGTGGAGTAAAGTTCATTACTGCAAGATGTGGTGCAAACATCTCTCTGTGCTGTATATTCACACACTGATGTATGACTGATGTATGACTGTCCCCAGAACTTGAAACAAAGAGTCTACGTGCTGCCATACTCCAAAGTACGGCAGCACATATAATATTGCCATGCCAAAACAAAACAAAATTCACGGTTCGTGTGAGACTCGGCTGGAAGCCGAGTCTCACACGAACCTGCAGGAACACCATCACCCTCTAGGATCAAGGCGTGGATGCAGCTCCTAAACGGTGGGAGGTGAGTAGATCAGACCCACCACAAAGTGGTCTAAGACCGAAAATCCCATTCGCTGCATCCATGCTTCCCTCGTGCCAGGCCACAAGTTCCCAATTGACTACTATACCAAAAAGACGTTAAAAGATAGAATTATAGCACACCTTGTTCGTATAAATATCATCGTGTATTCTGCTATTGTGCACATCACCCTGCAAGAGAGAGAGAGAGAGAGAGAGAGAGAGAGAGAGAGAGAGAGAGAGAGAGAGAGAGAGAGAGAGAGATAGAGATAGAGAGAGAGAGAGCGAGAGAGAGAGAGAGAGAGAGAGAGAGAGAGAGAGAGAGAGAGAGAGAGAGCGAGAGAGATAGAGAGAGAGAGAGAGAGAGAGAGAGAGAGAGAGATAGAGATAGAGAGAGAGAGAGAGAGAGAGAGCGAGAGAGAGAGAGAGAGAGAGAGAGAGAGAGAGAGAGAGAGAGAGAGAGAGAGAGAGAGATAGAGATAGAGAGAGCGAGAGAGAGAGAGAGAGAGAGAGAGAGAGAGAGAGAGAGAGAGAGAGAGAGAGAGAGAGAGAGAGAGAGAGAGAGAGAGAGAGAGAGAGAGAGAGAGAGAGAGAGAGAGAGAGAGAGAGAGAGAGAGAGAGAGAGAGAGAGAGAGAGAGAGAGAGAGAGCATATGCATGTACATGTACAGTCAACTTTGCTAATAACGACTGCGGATATAACGACAATTCGCAAATAACGACAGACTTTTCATGCCCAGAGCAAAGTCCATTCTACCTGTATACATATAATGAGACTTCGGGTATAACGACACTTCGCGAATAACGACACTTTTCTGATGCCCAGCCAAGTGTCGTTATACGCAAAGTTGACTGTATAAGCACTTCAACAACACAATATCAACAGCAGCAGCAGCTGCAGCAACAGTACTACGAGCTACCAGTACAAGCGACAGGCAAATGCATGACACTACATAGTACTGTCGCTTTGCTCCTGGACGAATGGTACAAGAGCCCGTAATAAGGCCCTGGGCGGAAACGTTAGTGAAGGTCATGAACATGGGCATCAATTTGGGCCTGGGCGCTATTTCAGATAAGTGAAATCAAACTAATTTTCACATCATGCCGTACTACTACAGTCTAGAGGTACGTAAAAGGTTAGCACAGTACACTGTACACTATAGTTATACCAAGAGTCCATAAACAAGAGTGTGCAACGCGCGATAGGGTCTTGTCACGACTCGTTTTCAACATTACGTCATTTTCATGTACATTTCACATGTAGCGAATGTCGCGGCCTGCACGTGTAGCTACATGAAAATGACGTAATGTTGAAAACGAGTCGTGACAGACATCTTTGTGGCGTTGCACACTCTTGTTTATGGACTCTTGGTATAACTACAGTACCGTACATGCATGTGGAGCTGTACAGGCATGCACTGACCTGTGCTGTCGCCCATGGGCGGTAACACGGAGGTGGGCTAGAAAATGGAACACGAGTGTTGACACGCGGCAACTGGGTGCGTACACGGGCAGGGGGCGTTCTACCGGGGTATGCATATTCTACTTTGGGCATTTAACTCACAGATGCGGCTACCGATATAACCTCAAGGCTGATTCACAATACAATGTTTTGCCACGTGACATGCGACACCTGCGACGAGCTGTGAAAGCGACACACGGTTCACAAGAGTTTTGGTGTTTGCGACATCCCTATGTACTAGTAGTACTATGCACGTGCACCCAGGGTAGAAACTGTACTCCATTTGTGTAAGTCGCGCGTCGGTTGTCGCAAAAGTTGAACTTTCTTCAATTTCTGCGGCAGGTACCTTGCGACTGTACGCGACAGGTATTTTCTTGTCGCAACTGTCGCAAATCGTGTGTCGCATCGCGAAAGTTGTTCTGTAAACCGGCCTTTATTTTGGCATGGTGTAAAGTTCTAACTCGTTGGAGCAATCAACTTCATGGTGTAAAGTTGTAAACTAAACAATTATTTGCACTGTACTGTACAACCTTCTTGTTGGTATCAACTGATGATACATGTACAAGCAGTGATGACCTGCAGCAAAATTTGACAATGTGCACAAGACAGTGGGTGACAAGCAGGGAGTAGTAAAATACCTACTACTCCCTGGTGAAAAGAGTATGCTACGTCCATGCCATTGTGTTTCCGATGGCTACTTACACAGTATGCGGGGTGGTTATGGGTATCGTGAAGTTCTGTATTATCTGCACAACACATGGAGAAGGACAGACGGACGGACGGACAGGCGGACAGATAGACACAGCGGGAAAGTTCAGGAGCCAGAGATACAATTTTAATAAGCGCCTTCACTTACTCCGGCGAGGGAGGGTTTTCCCCCTAGCAACAGGCGTAGTCGTAGCCATGCCATATGCATACTTCGAAGTATGTATAACTGTATCCATAGCCGTAGCTTACATCCATAGCTCTAATCTTGTACAGGAGCAAACCCGCTGCAAACCCACTACAGGGACTAGACTTGTCCAGCATACAGGCATACAGGCATACAGGCATACAGGCATACACTAATTACAGGCATACATCCTTACAGGCATGCACTAATTACAGGCATACAGGCATACAGGCATACAGGCATGATCAATACAAATCACCGGTCACTAGAACTTACCACCTTAGCTTGGCGAGATGGAATAACCTCAGAATGGTTAAAGTCCAGTGTTACTGCAAGATTCTCCTCTTCAGAGATAATCAGATTCAGTTTCCCAATGGTCAGTGGCAGATAGTTGCGATTAGACACGTTCAGCCGCGCCTACAAGTGTTCACCCAGCAGCACACCAGTTCGCATATGAACATACACACATAGCACACACACACATGCATATGCACCCATGCACACAGTCACACACACATGCATATGCACCCATGCACACAGTCACACACACATGCATATGCACCCATGCACACAGTCACACACACATACACACACATGCAGATACACATATTGATATACACCAACTGATCAATAAACATAAGCAAAACATGTTGCCAGGGTAGTGAAGAGTTATACAAGATCATTGACTAGAGGTTTCCTAATCGTTTTTCTTGAGACAGTCTTCAGGGAAATTCGTCTGATCAATGACACCTCACACTCTTTCGTCTCATCAATGACACCTCACACTCTTTCGTCTCATCAATGACACCTCACACTCTTTGGTCTCATCAATGACACCTCACACTCTTTCATCTCATCAATGACACCTCACACTCTTTCGTCTCATCAATGACACCTCACACTCTTTCGTCTCATCAATGACACCTCACACTCTTTCGTCTCATCAATGACACCTCACACTCTTTGGTCTCATCAATGACACCTCACACTCTTTCATCTCATCAATGACACCTCACACTCTTTCGTCTCATCAATGACACCTCACACTCTTTCGTCTCATCAATGACACCTCACACTCTTTCGTCTCATCAATGACACCTCACACTCTTTGGTCTCATCAATGACACCTCACACTCTTTCATCTCATCAATGACACCTCACACTCTTTCGTCTCATCAATGACACCTCACACTCTTTCGTCTCATCAATGACACCTCACACTCTTTCGTCTCATCAATGACACCTCACACTCTTTGGTCTCATCAATGACACCTCACACTCTTTCGTCTCATCAATGACACCTCACACTCTTTCGCAATCTTTCCACAGTGGCTACAGTACTCGCTTGTTTCTTCCTCGGCTACCCACCCTTCTTACTAGTTCACACATACACACACACACACACACACACACACACACACACACACACACACACACACACACACACACACACACACACACACACACACACACACATGTAATGTCATGTATGCGTAACAATCACACTTCATCTCAGTATTTTATCACACTTCACCTCTATAGCCCTGACACATATGACTAGAATAGGTACCCTTAGGGGTCGTCCGTAATTTTCGAAAAATTAAAAAATCCGTCCTCGTGCAAAATTGTCTCTGACCCACCCACCCACCCCCCATTTTTTCCCATTAATTTTTTGATTTTTAGTTTTTTTTACTGATGCCGGCCCAGCTGGCCAGCTCGAAAAATAAGAACTCCTGACCCCATGTTTTCTGACTGCACCTGTGTCAAGTACTAGTAGCTAAGTACCAGGGAGTCGTAAAATACCGGTATTTTACGACTCCCTGCTAAGTACAGTGAGTATTATTATTATTATTCTTTTATTCCACGATGGCGTGACGCCAATACTGAGGATGATTAATAAGTGCGATAGAACTGGTACTAGCCAGGAACAGCTAGATGGAAATTAACCGGGAGGCAAGAAGCAATGGATCATGAAAAACAAGCGGGGGCAATAACGTTAGCAGGGGTGATCGAGATAAGTACACATTCGAGATATCAGAAACCAGGGGGATGCGCGGAGCAGGAGCAGGTACTGCTCAAAAGAAGACTGGATGCATTGTTTCGGAAAGAATTTCTACGAGGTTGGGTTGTGATGTCGATAGGGAGTGAGTTGTAGAGGGTGAGGGCACTGTTGATGGGGGAATCTCGGTTCCTGTTCGTGTGTGCGTGTCCGATGGAGTAGGTCCTTGTCTGTCGAAGGGTGTATTAGGTCTACCGACGTCCCGGCCATGCACCGTCCTACAACTACATGAAAAGTCATGTACATGTATATCATAGTAGATACTGGTGTTAGCGACAATCGATCCTACACTACGTCTACAGTACACTACACAGTCAGCTATAATCAGTGCAACAAGTGTATGAAAGTCACTGGAGCAAAAAAAAAAAAAAAAGTACGAAAAATCAAAAAATTAAATTCCGCCAGCACTCTTGACCACCCACCCCCTTTTTGCCTGAGGACGGATTTTTTAATTTTTCGAAAAATACGGACGACCCCTTAGCAAAAAAAAACGCTAACGCTATTTTCGACGCTATCTACCCCGGACCAGGGAAATGACGATAAAGTTCTGCGTTGAAACCTTATTTGGTCGAAAATAGCGTGAGGCTTGACGATATCTGGTTTATCAGCATTTTTACTGGATGCGTGAGTTTTGACAGGTTATTGACGGGATCCTGGGATAATTTTTGTACTGCCGCGGAAGTTCAAAGCCACGCGTGTGTGGAGGAAAGGCCTCTTCCTCTTTCACTTTGCTTTCACTTTGCTTATTGTCGCGTCAAGCTAGACTAGCTGTCTGTCATCATGAGTGACCTCGGGTTTTTTGCCAGGTTCCCCGGCGGAACAGCCTGCTGTTGCTCAGCACCACTCGCCAGCCAGCTCATCTTCTTCTGCCTCCAGCACCGGAGAGGTAACAACGCCAACGCGGGAGGTCTCCAGAACTCGCTTCTCGGAGAGAGACGAAATCCTGTTGTTTCGGGAGGTCCTGGCACAGGAGTCCCCCTTTGTCCGTGGACCTAAGGCCTGGGAAACTGTTTCCGCTAACTTGCGAGCCACGGGCAAGGACTTCTCTGCACGCCTGTGCCGGGACAAAGTTCGTGCCGCATTGAAAGAGTTCCGGACACGAAACAACAAGGATAAGAACAAGTGAGTAAAAACTTACAACTGAAAATGCGTTTCTTGGCTGTACTGTATGACTGTACTGTATGTACTGTATGACTGTACTGTATGACTGTACTGTATGTACTGTATGTAGTAGTTGGTGTTCCCAGTCTGGTCTGTGTGCAATTCAGTCTGCATGATATGCATGATACAGTGGAGAATGGTGTGCATGATACAATTTAGCCTGCATGGTCTTTACGGTACAATTTAGCCTGCATGGTGTATACGATACAGGCTAACCTGCATGGTGTATATGATACAGCATGAGTTGAATGTGCAGTATAATGTGTTTGCATGCGGTTCAAGCAAGACTCGGGTTACCAAACTATCCATGTCTATTTTTGTTTGGGTGGATATTTTAGGACGGGCATAGAGGAGACCGACAATGAGAAGGCCCGTCTCCTGACGGAACTCCTCGAGCGCTACGATGCCGAGGAGGAAAAGAAGGAGATGACAGCAGCAGCAGCGAAGAAGAAGCAGGCAGATGATGCAGGGCTGGCGAAGGAGATGCGTGATGCTTCCCTGCTAACATAAGCCCAAACCCGAGGGATCAAGAGGTCTAATGGTAAGTTGATATTTTGCTCATTCAGTTCTCTTCACATTTCTATGATGTATAATTTTCAATGCACATCCACCATTGGATTGCATTTCTAAATCTGCTGTGATTCATATAAAGTTGGTTTAATTATTTGGACTTGTGATATACATGTAGCTGATTATAGAGATCATGTGTGATGCCTAAAGACTTTACAAGTACTAGCATGTCATATTGATACTTTGTTTTATTTTACTGTATGCTTTTAGATGGAGAACAAACAGAAGGAGCACCCACAACAAAGCACAGGCGACTCAACGTAGCAGAGGAGATCAAGAAGAGAACAGCCCTAAAGGAGAAGGAGCTTGACTTGCGGGAGAGAGAGCTGAAGCATGCTGAAAAGAAGGAGGCCAGGGACGCAGAGGAGAAGGTGTGCAAAGTGTGCACAGCTATGCTCATAATCGTCGGGGTAGTTGACGCTGACTTCTCCATCAAGTATTAATGGCAATACTTCGTGCTCCTCATGTTAGTTGCAAAGTAGCTTGCTGCAGAGCAGATAGCGCATGCACTTGTCCATACACTGACCACTGTGTAGCAAGTACAAACCTCCATCCTCCTCGTACCGGCAAATGCGTGGCCGAGCATCTGTCAATGATGTGGACACTCACAGCATCCGCATGCTATATCTTGGGGTGATGGATATGTTGGTTGCTTCGCCCGCACCTTAGACCATGTGGGCGGCGCCATCAAGGCTAAAGAGCTGGATACCTTCGTCATGACATGGATACAGCTATTTTCGCATAGCCCCAAATCCCGACTAGAGTTCTGCACGCTGAGCGGCGTGTCTGTGCGGAGTCACAGCAAAACTCGGTGGTGGTCCAAATGGAATGTCATGGAACAGCTGCACGTAAAGTTTGGTGTCTCCTTTATATGTGTGGAGGACGATGGCGAACATCACGGTACGACATGCACACGGCTCAAGGCTAACATCCAGGATCCTGAAGAACAAGGTAGGCTGCAGATGCAACTGGCAGTCTCGTTGGAGTTTGGTCGTCAATTTGCTAATGCGACCTACAAGCTTGAAGGAGATGGAGAACTCTGTCTGCAGGCGTATGAAGTAATCTGTTCTCCACGGCAGATTATCGAAGCGAACCCCATCTACCTACCATCAACTATAGCTGACAGTGGTCCAATGTCTTGGCGGCATCCAAGGAGGGGCAAGCAACATGTGGAAGAAATATCCACTGGAATGCATTCTACGTGCGAAGCAGTGTTGTACGTAGTTTAGCTGCACGCTGTTCACACGCTGATTGCATGCTGTCTGCACGCTTTTTGCCTGGTTACTGCTAAGATTACGTGTCCGTGCCTGGCTCCGTGCCTGGGTTCGTGCCTGGCTCCGTTTGGGTTATAACTCGTGGCCCTGCGCCGTTTTCCTGGTCTTCCGTTTTCTGTAGTCGTCGCAGCTCCTCGTGTTGGGTCCGTTTTATTCTCTCTCTCGTGGTTTTCTGCCCTTTTGTTACTCTTATCGTTTCCGTTGTCCTCCTGAGCCCTGCTCCTTTCCTTTGTCCCCTTATTCGTCGTTTGAGGCCAAGTAAACCGTATCAACCCGAACAATTCGTTGCTCTGTCTGACTGGTCGCGGGGGCTCAGACAACAGCAGTATTTCCAGCAGCGTTTCGGTGAAAGTGATGCTTTGTATCCACTTGTCCAAGCATTCCGCTCTGAACTTTATGCGATATCTGGAAAGTGGCTCATAGTGTGCCTGCAGCTGAAGAGGTTGATGCCCTCCAATCCTTTTGTTCATCACACAGGCTGAGATCGGTGAGATGAAGGAGGAGTTGCCACAATACTTTGCTGCTATTGAGGATGTGCACGAGAATGTCGACCCAATCACCCGGTGGAAAGCTAATGCCAACGGCCACAAGGCCTGGGCTCACACTTTTCAGCGACTGGTATTGGGTCAGCTCAGTGCAGCAGCTGCAGAACTGGCTTTCAGCCTCCTGGAGAATTCCTTCAACAGGCAGCAGGAAAGAGCTCTGTAATAGTACCTGGAAACGTCCGTGATGTTGCAGTATAACAACCGCAAGAAGTGAGTTCAAGTTGCTGGAGTTGTCACCTCACTGTGACTTCGGCCGGCCTGGTGCCCGATTGGACCAACACTTATCCTCTCCCAGAGCAACATGTTTGCCATCATCAACTGAGTGCATGTGCACATTACATAGTTATTGCTCTACTCTGAGTGGTGGCAGAAGCATTGTCATGGTTACTGGTAAATCATTGTGTTTCAACCTTCTGCATCCAGGTCAGGTATAATAACAATTTTTCTACAGACTTTTCCCGTTTGCAACTCCCAGGTACATGTACTCCCTCAACCTAACGAATAATTACTTTCCCGTTTGCAGCTCCCAGTTGCTCCCTCAATCTAATGGATAATTACATTTCACTCCATTTTATATCCCTCTGTGCCGTGCACTGTCGTACTCATTCTGGCGTATCAATAAATTCAATATCCAATGGCAACAAAGTTCCCTGCCGGCCGGTGCTAACACTTCAAGCTCCGGTCTGCACGTACATTTACATAGCATGCATGAAGTGCACTGCCCTGCATGTTCGAGTCGCATGCACTTACAAATCATAGTCTTGCTTCACACTGTGCATTTCGTTCTCGATTCTCTGCACTTAGCGCTTGGTTCTTTGCACAAAGCACGTGAGATAACACATGGGCCAGACTACACTGCACAGCGTTCACTACGAAGATCCTACTTTCACAGGACTGTCAGGCAGCAGTCATCACACCCAAGGACGTGACATATGCATCAGTTCAACACCGCATATTGACGCACGCACACGCTGAAGTTTTAGCCACCTTGTTATTGGGCGGAACTAATTTTAGGACGTATTAAAGGTACCATCAAGAGTATATAACCCCCCAAGAGTGTGCAACTCTGTATATGGGGTCTCCGACGGCGAAAACTCACATCACGTGTCTCAGGTACGTTCGCACTACATGTACGTACAAACGAAGGATAGCATGCGTGCAATCCGAATATCTGCTATGATCATGCTGGGAATTTGCATACCCGCAGTGAGATTCTGTCAGAGAGTGCTTCTTTATTACTGAAGTACTCCGCTGCTCGCTAAAAACGAGCTGGAAACGTACAACTGCGGCACTACACCACGTGATGTGAGTTTTCGCCGTCGGCGTACCCCATAGAAATGGTATCAGGAGTTGCACACTCTTGGTACTGTACCATCTTGCAGCACTAGTATTTCAAACCTACTTGCCATTCACATCGAAATATCTTAGGTGCCCTCTTCCCTGGAACAGAACTTTACATTTCATAGCTCCCTCTCCCCATCTCCCAGACTAAGTATGGCCAGAGAAAACACCAATACAGTCATGTACATGTACCTGAAGATTAAGATGTAAGAGCGATCCATTAACCGGGTGAGAACTCAGCAATGCTGTTTTAAAGTTGAGAGTTGTTGAGCGAGGGAACAAGAAGACAGTGAGTATCGTAGCTATGACCACACATACCAACACGGCTAAGGCAATGTAGTGCTTACTGCAGTGCAAAATACACACACATACGCACACACACACACACATACACATGCACACACATACACGCACACACGCATACACACACATATACACACACACACGCGCACACACACACACACACACGTGCAAACACACACACACACACACACACACACGCAAACACATACACACACGCAAACACATACACACACACACACACAAACACACACACAAACACATAAACACAAACATGTACGAACACACATGTACACACATGCATACATGAGCCCTGTCGTGTCCAGAGTATTGCCGTAAAACGGCCGCATGTCCCCTCGTACGAGGAGCTGACAGACATGGGGCAGGTTGGTCGAGTACTGTACACAGCACACTCCAGCGTTCATGGAATGTCCAGCATGACATTTTTTTATGTGGAAGTGCTAATAGCTATTCTCGCACGCCCCTTGCTAGAGTCTCTCCCTCCTGAACTGCTCTTCCTGTCCAGTGAGGACTACTGTGCTGTCCAGATATCTGTTATTATGAAGCTGAAATAACCAGATACATGTACAATGTAGCGTAGAGCTAGAGGTTCATCCTCCCACGATACTGAGATTGGGCACAGAGCAATTTACTCTGTGCCCAATTTCAGTATCGTGGGAGGATGACAAATGATGGGCACTGTGGCCAACCTGGGTCCATATCACCTCTCAGGAGCTGGCCCCGGGCCTACAATACCATACCATACCCTTTTACAGTCATTTTACGTCGGATATAGAGTACCTCGGCTACGCAGTACTTTCATGTCACTTGGCGGTACGTTAAACTGAAGTTTCACTGTGTATACTGTGTACATAGAATTTGACTACTGGCGCTGTACAAGTAGCTGCGAGTACATGGCACTACAACTTACGTATAGTTAGGCTTCAGGCGGCTGTCTCCATGAGGAATTAGTGCGACCAACTCGGAGGAATCTACACGGGACAACCAAGACACGAAACAATGAAAAGACCTACAAGTACAAGTAGTAGTGAGGGGTGTCACACACGGTACGATCATGGTCATACCACATGGCCGTTCCACTTTTCGTCCAAGATGGTCCACCCAGAGCGCCTGTAGAGCGCTAAAACGTGCCCTGTTGGCCGAAAAATCCGATTTTTCCCCCGGGAGCCCCCCCCCCCCTTCCCGGTTGTACCACTCCCCCGTGACACTCCTGGTAGTGCCGTCATACAGTTACGAGTGCTTCTCCACATGTCACTCCTTAACACAGGTCAATCCTCCGTATCACTGGCCTTGGGGACAATCCTTCTTTACATGATGAACGTTCACGCTTCCTGGCAACTGACTTGACAGTCGACGGCCAGTTGGCCGGAATTGCGGGCTCCAGCATTCGGAGCATCCACCTTCTTCACATATTACCGCCGACGTCGCAACATCTTACTTCATATTGTTGTGCCTCGCATGGGAATCCTGGAATGCGATTAGACGTTTGGAGGCAATGTCATTGCGACTGGTCGATGGTCTTCAGTGTCTGTTCACACAATTTCCGAATGCGACATTGACTCACACTCTAGATGGCAGTCGTGAGTCAGTCAAGCGTCAACTTCCAGCACGAGTTCCAGCGTTCGAGCAGCAAATAGTGTTCCCGTTACAGTATATTCAGTGTCTGCTCTAGGATTTCAAACCAACCAGGTGCACGTGTACCTGGCATAACCATTGCAACCGGGTCAGAGGCGGGTCAGAGGCGGGTACGTTCAAGTGTGGCTACTGCATGTATGCATGTACATCAGCCTATGATCAGCGAGTTGTAAATATGTTATGGCTCCCTGCTGTATGCCATAAAAAGCCCGTAATATTAAAGGCCCTGGGCGGAAACGTTAGTGAAGGTCCAGAACATAGGCATCAATTCGGGCCTGGGTGCTAATGTGGGCCCGGACCGATCTTCACATTATGTCGTACTACTGCACGTACTAATCAGGTTAGCACATGCACAGTGCACTGCACCCTAAGTTACAGTCAACTTCGCTTAACACGACTGCGGATATAACGACAACTCGCGAATAACGACAGCATTTCCATGCCCTGAGCAAAGTCCCTTCCAACTGTTATACATATAATGAGACTTCGCGTATAACGACACTTCGCGAATAAGGACACTTTTTTGACGCCCCGCCGAGTGTCGTTATAAGCAAAGTTGACTGTATACTACAGTAGCGTACATACACATGGAGCTGTGCATGCACTGCACTGTGTGCTGTACATACACATGGAGCTGTGCATGCACTGCACTGTGTGCTGTACATACACATGGAGCTGTGCATGCACTGCACTGTGTACTGTACACTACACATGGAGCTGTGCATGCACTGCACTGTGTACTGTCAAGAGTACATAAACCAGAGTTTGCAACTCGGGATGGTTCCTGTGGGAGCGTAATTCGTGCACTACGTCATTTCTGATGGCATGGTAAGCCACAGGTACGGTGAAAAGTTGCGTAACCAGTCGCGGTGGTGCAGTTCACTGAGTTTGTCCTGATTTCGGTTTTTTTAGACGGATAGCCTGGTGACTTTACTTGTCGGTGGATGCACGCAGCGTACACAGTCACACAAAATACCGAAATCCTGAAACAGGACGTCTAAAATCAAGCAAACTTGGCTGATTTCCGGGCTATGAAACATGAAAATTTGGCTGTACGCAAGACGCGGCTTGGCTGACCTCATCAGGGTGACGTAGTGCACGAACTGCGCTGTTTCAGATCTGATATGCACAGTTGCACACTCTGGTTTATGTACTTTTGGCACTGTACATACACATGGAGCTGTGCATGCACTGCACTGTGTACTGGACCTGTGCTTTCGCCCATGGGTGTTTACACGGAGTTGGGCTAGAAAACGGGACAAGAGTGTTGACACTGGGCACCTGGGCGTGTACACAGGTAGTGGGCGCTATACTGGGTGGGCATTGATATTGTACCGGCTTTTACGGTATTGTATTTCCAATCGGGTCACAGGTGACTCGGTGTTCTCTTTCCAAACGGGTCCCCCACCCGAGTCGCTGACCCGGCCGACCCGGCTCTGGAGCAGACACTGATATTATGCATTCTATGAGCTTCCACCAGACTCCAGCAACAGTACTCTAGGCCATACACATGTCATCGTTTTCATAAGCCCACAAGACAGGATTACTGTACTGCTCACCTGCAGAGAGATATCCAGTACCCTGACACGTTTCGCATGGCTTGACGGCTCTTCTTGAAATATATGAAGAGCAAAACCGACTCAAAAGCCTTTCCCTCCCTGATTGAGGAGGGCTGTTCACACTCGCAGGCCCAGACCTGCAGTCTGCAGCATCACTCCTCTTCAGAGCCTCTTCATCGACATACGGCGACTCGGCGACACCATTAGTACTGCCGTACGTTGGAGCATGTGGCAGGAAGTCATCCATGGTCTCACGAAGCCAAAATGATAACAAGGGATAGTGCTAACAGGGCATTATCTTTCACATTATGTTCCAGACTGTCAATGACAGTGACAGCTGGAACACGACAAGGCTCACGTTTTGTTGATACTGAAGAAAATGGAAAGTATGTAAGGGCTCAATGCCTTCTAAACGAACGATCTCCTGCACCTATATTGGGGGTAAGGCGTGGACAACTACTATAAGTACACGTCGTTGCACCAGTAACAGTGAAGCCCTGTTTCCTGTCGAGTGTGCTCAGTTATGACACATCATTGGTATGTCAATTGTCTCCACATAACAACAGGAGTTTCGCTTTCTTCTTGATTTTTGCAGAATGTACATGTACATGACTGTTCGAAATCCACACGTGCGTCGGTGTGCACATTATAATGACTACGTCATGGATTAGCTAATGCTCGACAATGACTATGTGCGCACGAGCCAGGCGCTAGGCGGCGTCGGCGCGGGCGCGGTGGGTGGCTCGCGGTGTTAGCAGCTCGCGCTAGTACAAATTATTATTTAGACCGCGCCGACCAGTTCCTACAACTCTCGATCGACCGCGTGACGCGAGGGTGCTGGAAAAATCTTTCAGGGCAGCCTTTTGCATTTTTTGTCTTTTGCCTAGTTTTGAACTGACCTGCAAATTTGTTGTTGTTCTGTGAAAGCAGTTCAACAGTTTTTCTGTTGTGGGTTTGGAATAAGCTGTGCCACAGCGCCAGCAAAGATGCCGGACCATTTAGGAGATGATATGAGAAAGGTGAAGGATGATGGCGAGAAAGAAGTCATCAAAGGTGAGGAACAGCAGTTAGGAATACGCTTTCTGTGGTTAATCATGACTGGGAAATTTATGATTGGCTCTGCTTATACTTCCTTCTATTTCATCCCATTTGCAGCGTTGGATGAGGGTGATATCGCCATATTGAAAACATACGTAAGAGAGTGATGTTCTGATTAAGTGCCTTATCGCACAGTTGGAATTTTCCTGAAGCCCTTGCATGAAACTTCGGGGTTTGTGTTAGGGTCATCACTTCCTTTTTCCTTCAGGAGTTCCTGAATCTAGTGTATTTCATTGTATTCCACCAAACACAGTCTTAGCAAGAGATAGTCCGTTCCTGGTGCCATACGGTTCCCGAGAGTACCCACTGATATTGGAAAGTCCAATCAACTCACTGTGCTGCAAATTAGCTAGAAGCATTTCAAAATATGTGTATACTGACGGTACTACATGTTGTGGGGGCTAGTGGTATTTTGTCACGGTCTGATTTACTGATCAAGAACTCTGAATGAATATCAAAGCAATCAATTCTATGCTAGGAGTCTTGCAAGAACTCACCGTACTGCTTATCAGTTATACATCCATCGACTGACCAGAATCGTCATCTGGCTTGGACATGCGCCCACAGACTGGCCGGCTTATGCTGCCATATTGTTCCTCAGAAGGGGTAATGAGAGAGAGAGAGAGAGAAAGATCGAAAGATCGCTAGTTGATGAAGCGCTTACACCTACCACCTAGTACTCACCTTTTCTATTTCGACTACTGCAAACCGGGAAACCATTGGTATGAAATCGCAAAAAGTAAGCCGGCACCGAAGCATAGGGCTGTAGTAAAATAGCTAGTGATATTAGGGACCTTTCGCACCACATGTACGGATACGAAACGAATGCTGATTCGTCACCTGGGTTTGAGGATTCGTCAGAGTCCCTGCGGAGAGCTCGTTTTCACGAATGGAAGCCTCTTCATTCGTGGCGCGCTCCGAATCCGTGAGGTACACATTTATTGATCCAGGTACACATGTTTTACCAGGTACACCTTTTTCCGACAATTCCCTTGATTCCATGATCCATGCACGTGTGCGTGTAAACACCCGTACGGCCGTATTCGTAGTTGCCATGCACATTTGCATGACGACTGGCGAAACCTGAATCTATTTTCAACGAAACGATTACGAGCCGAATCAAACTTTCGTTTCGCATTCGATTCGTAGCAAATGCGAAAGGTCCCTATTGACTCCAATCACAAACTTGTCCAAGTGCAAATCGCCCTTTGCTCGAAAAATCGAAAACTAAAACCACGCCAAAGTTTCCCGGTTTACAGTATAGTAGTCATTTGCAGTGATACATGCCTTTTGCTTCGGGTAACATGGCCAGAAAAATACTGGTCGGTCAGTCGGCTTTCTTTTTTTCTCGTTCTTTTTTTTGCTAATGTTATATGCGTGCCAGATCTAATTATTGGTATGCACGTGTGTACAGTACACAGCCCAGATACAATATGTAAGGTCAATAAAGCAGGCATGCGTACATATTAGCATTCTCAATCAACAGCTCGATCAGGCCGCCAGGAACAGTCAAACGTGTCTCTCTCTCAGACACCCAGCAGAACATCATTCTCCGGATTGAATTAAAATAATATAATATAATTATTAAGCCCCGTTTCGGTAGAGGAAGCAAGCACTGCTTTGAAGCGAGCGACGCCTTCTGGATGAAGAGTTTCCAACGAATTGCTCGGGGTGCAGTCCTCCGTGACTCTAACAACGCGACTGTTGATGACGGTCCGGCATGGCATTGTGCTCATGTTTGCTACTTCTGTTTGCTTCACATTGTCCTCAGGGTGTTGGTGCGTATGACCAGCAGTTGAAATCAACTGAGGAGGACATCAACAATACTTTGAAGAGAGTGAATGAGCTGACAGGTAAGGAGATGACCTAGGATACATCCTACTTTGCTTGTTTCTCATGGAGATGAGGAGAGGAGAGGGGATGAGCACAGCCCTCACTACTTTGAACTCATTGAAGCTAAATGTCTCTAACACCTCCTGTCCATATGGTCAGATTGGACTACAGACTACCTTTACCTTCACCATGGAGATGGGCTGTGTGAGGACTGGACTGGTAGCGGTAGCAAATAGTGTGGCTGTTACTCGTGTTCTGTGTGTGTATGTGCGTGTGGGGGGGGGGGGGGGGTGCAGGCATGGGTGTCTGCGTGTGTGTCTATGTGTGGCTCCCAAGCAGAGCTGTACAGTTGCCTGGTGTAGTTGAAGTGGGGTGGTATACATGTATGCCGGTGTACACTGGCATAATATGATTCTGGTAAATGGCCTTTGTTGTAGCAGTGAATTGTGCGCGATGAATATTGGACATGCTTGATGGATCATTTGTGAGCTTATGTTATTATGTTTGTGTTTAGGTGTGAAGGAGTCTGACACTGGACTGGCACATCCTGGAATGTGGGACTTGTTTTCCGATAAAATGTCAATCACATCAGAACAGCCCCTGCAGGTCAGTGGCTGTGGCTGTGATAGCATGATCTGTAAATGTGGCAAGGCCCAACTGGCTGCCACAATGATAGATGCGGAGGCATTTTTTAAACTCTATTTGAACTGCAACACTGTATCCGCTTGAGCTGCATTGCGTTGCCGTTGGGCCATGACTATGAATCTATGATATCTACTGAACCAGAAAACCAGCTGAAAATGTAGAGAATAACGTTGTCGCCCTTCGCTGATTATGACGCTAAGCCCCGTGAACACGTTAGCAACTTGATAGGTTCTGCTGAAAGAAGGTTCCCAAGACCTCTTTTATACGTGTGAATTAATATGCCAGTATATGGACAGAAAAATAGTTTCGCGTTAGTGTTCAAAAACACGGCCAGTCAGTTATCACAAGGAAATGAATTTTTCGGTTTGGCCTTGTTTACTCTTTTCGGATTAGTGAATGGTGATATTCTATGTGTGTATGATGTGTGTGTAGGTGGCTCGGTGCACTAAGATTATCAATGCCGACACAGATGATGCAAAGTACATTATCAATGTCAAGCAGTACGCAAAGTTTGTTGTGGATTTAGCGGATAAAGTGGCACCCACTGATATTGAAGAGGGCATGAGAGTAGGGTAAGGCACACTTGGGTCTTTCTGTGTGTGTGTGTGTGTGTCTCTCTCTCTCTCCCTCTCTCTCTCCTCTCTCTCTCTCTCTCTCTCTCTCTCTCTCTCTCTCTCTCTCTCTCTCTCTCTCTCGTGTGTGTGTGTGTGTCTGGGACAGTTGGAGACTGAATCGCTTTGCTATGCAAATGATACATTGGGGTCCGCATTGCAGTCAGTAACCATGTGCATGCTGCTCTATGTGTGTCTTCATTGTTGTTTGGTCTTCTAGTGTTGACCGCGACAAGTATCAGATTCACATTCCCCTGCCTCCCAAGATTGACCCAACGGTCACCATGATGCAGGTTAGTTCAGTTTGAGATCGTGGTATGTTATGTCTGATACTGGTATATCATACATGTGCTTGCATTGTCTACCTGCTGCAAGAGGTGCTTTCAACACCAATGGCAATGGGCCGTTAGAGAGGGTCAGCGAAAACAAAAGTCCGTACCTGTTTTCACATCTTTTCTATAAGCACGAGTCGTACACACTTTCACAGTTCGGGATGCAAAATTGCCATGGTACGCAAAATTAATTTTCAATAGTGTACTTTTTAACGTGCTCTTCAGTAATTATGTCAATCGACTGCACAATATCTTCATGGATATCTGCAGAACAACTTTTTCGTGATATTTTTGGCATTATTTTCTGCAGCTGTTGAAACGAATATTTCTGAGAACTTTATTACAAGTACTTGCTGGATTGGTTGAGCAGGATACATGCCCATCATGTCATTGAATCTTTCTGTAATGCAGCAATAGTCACAAAGTTGTGTGTTACCCGTTTCAGGTGGAGGAGAAACCTGATGTTACCTATGCCGATATCGGTGGCTGCAAGGAACAGATCGACAAGATGAAAGAGGTTGTGGAAACCCCTTTGCTACATGTAAGGTTTGCCTTCTGTATCTTTTGTTTTGCAGTAGAATTCCTCATCAGACTGAACTTGCGCTTGAAAGTAAATTGTTATAGTGGTTATGTGAATCGTGTCATGATGGCGAGTCACCGCAACCGCTTATGGGCGCTGTGTATACAGCGTGAGTCAGCACTGTGTTGTGGTATAGTAGTGTGTAAGTAATGAGCTGCTTGTCCATTTCACTTCATTGCTTGGGCACGATGTGCTTATGTCCAGTTTCTGTTATTATGGACATTTGCTTTGTTTCTCTAGCCGGAACGGTTCATCAATCTTGGTATCGATCCACCGAAAGGCGTCTTGCTTTATGGACCGCCTGGTACAGGAAAGACCCTGTGCGCTAGAGCTGTGGCCAACCGTACCGATGCCTGCTTCATCCGAGTCATTGGCTCTGAGCTGGTGCAGAAATACGTTGGCGAGGTGAGTACACCTCTCTCTCTCTCTCTCTCTCTCTCTCTCTCTCTCTCTCTCTCTCTCTCTCTCTCTCTCTCTCTCTCTCTCTCTCTCTCTCTCTCTCTTTTCTCTTTGTGTCATATCAACACTGACAGCACTGGTAACTGTTATGTTGGTGAGTCGGTGATGTTAGTCCTGGCAGTGGTCACGTTGGAGGTACACATTCCATTTTTGGTTTTGGTATTGGAATTGTTGCTCTTGTACAGGGTGCTCGGATGGTGCGCGAATTGTTTGAGATGGCTCGCACTAAGAAGGCATGCATCATTTTCTTTGATGAAATTGACGCAATTGGCGGTAAGCGTGTTCATCAACTTGTGCGCATGTGTTCCATTGTCGTGCATTTTTCCCACACCTGTTACCAGTATGAATTAGTAGCAGTGGCCTCGACCTCTTACCATGATGGAATAGACATCCAGTAACAATTGAGTGAGAGTAAAATATTCACTAGGACTTTAATGTCGTTAGGGGTCGTCCGTAATTATCGAAAAATTAAAAAATCCGTCCTCGTGCAAAATTGTCTCTGACCCACCCACCCACCTCCCATTTTTCCCATTAATTTTTTGATCTTTACCGATGCCCAGCTCGAAAATAAGAACTCCTGACCCCATGTTCACTGATTCAGTGATTGCACCTACATGTACATGTACATGTATGTCAAGTACTAGTAGCTAAGTAAAGTGAGTAGGTCTACCGACGGCCATGCACGTCCTACAACTACAAAAGAGTCATGTACCGGTATATCATACTGGTGTTTGCGATCCTACACTACGTCTACAGTGCACTACATGTCAGTGCAACAAGTGTATGAAAGTCACTGACGAAAAAAAAAAAAAAAAAAAAAAAAAAAAAGGACGAAAAATCGAAAAATTAAATTCCGCCAGCGCTCTTGACCACCCACCCCCTTTCTGCCTGAGGACGGATTTTTTAATTTTTCGAAAAATACGGACGACCCCTTAGGTAACCTGATGGATTATCCATCCAGTACGAGGTGATTATCCTTTTTTAAGCATGATTGTAAAATCGTACAATATCGGGGTGTCAGTGCGCATGTGTATACATTTTTTGGCCTCACTCAGAAGATGATCCCTTTCTTTCTATCTTCACCAAGTTTCAACTGAATATGACTATCATAACGCCCCAAGGAATGGATTACATTTGGGTTGATATGATGCTATGAATATGAACGTTTTAGATTCTAAGCATTGTGTAAAATGACTATGTTTAGTGTTATTTCATCGCATTCTTCCATTCTCCACACATACATGTACATGCTAGAACAGTGACAAGTACTAATGCCAAAAAAACAAAGTCTTCCGCAAGCAATTAGAGCCCTAAAGAAGTGGCTTCCCAGCATCCACTGAAACCAAAAAGTTTTAAAGAACCACAACATGTGCATTACAATTGAAATAGAGCATGGCCCGGGTCTGGCAACACCATAGAAGCATGATTACTTGAAGATCATAGTAGCGTGTGGACTATGAACAGAACAATGAACCGGAATAAATAAGAAAGAAGACACCTCTTGCGGTCCATTTCCAGCCGGACCTGGTTTTTCATCTTAATGCCATAGCGGTTCCTGAACGAGTAATACCAAGCATAGGTTACGTGCTTGTCCTTGAACAAGTCAGCTAGCTCAGTTCCTTTGATGAGGTGGTTAGCTGCACCAACTATCAGCGACTTGCCTGCCTTTAGGTTCAGAGCACGTAATTTCTGTACGAACTCCACAAGTTGGACTTCATATCGCATTGGCAACTTCGCTCTCTGGCCAGTTCTGCATGGTGTCTGGACATTCACGACGGTAACATCAGGTTCCAGCGAAGCCTCATATTCTCTCAACTTCTGGTGAAGTGTCGTGTCAGACACTTTGATGTTCATCAAGGCTAACAGCTCAGATGCTCTGCGCCCATCCTTCCGCAGATTGCCCGTGTGCATTGACTGCACAGCCCATTTCACGCCCTCACGATACATGCCCACCAATCCATGTGTCCCATACTTGACATTGTCACCAGGACGTGTGCATTTGGCTTTGATGGCAGCCTCCACTGTTGCCATGTCAAACTCTATGGTACCAGGTGCAGATGGTGTGGTCACTGAACCATTGTCGTGAACATCTGGCAGACGTGGAGGAGGAAGGTGCCCACTCTTGATGTTTGACAACACGCCAGACACCTCCAGTTCCTTCTCTATATGTCGGAACATCTGCCGACTCACGTCAAATGCATTTGCCGCAGCGGCCTTCGAACGAAATGCACTGCTCGTTACAGGAGAATAAAATGCTCTGACAGCGAGCGTTGCTCGCTTGCTAGCTGAATCTGTGCTGGGTTCATCCGGCTCAATATTTGATGCCATATCTGTATCAGAAGTCGTTTTATGGCTTTCTTCTCCATTAGCAGATCCAGTGCTGTCGCTACTACTGCTATTACATGAACTTTCTGGGCCTGGTTCGGCCGGCTCCTCACAAACGGGATCCATAAAAGGGCGATTTTACATTATTTCTGCTACTGAAGCGATCGCGAAGAGCGACAAACTGCTCTAAAATAAAGACAAACCTAGTCTTTCAAACAAGTTTTCGTACAACACTCATCAGGAATCGTCGTTGTACTAAAGGACACTGAAACAAAAATTGAACTATTATAGAAAATCTAAGTTAGAGAAATAACACTAAGAGCAACAACAGTGAAATTTACAAGTGTGAATTTTAACAATCAAAGCGAGAAATGAACAAAGGAGAAAGGAAAAAGGAAGGAAAGACAACGTGATAACACATAACAGCAGTACATTACACCTAGAACATTAACGGCCAAGCTTGGCCGCACTAAACACGACACGTTACTTGAACAATTTCAACCCAATTATACTATCTTTCTGTACACACAAATTAGGCTTGTACAGACGCTGATAGATAGCTTCCAACACTTTTAACTGTAGTCCATAACCATGACGACCACGGCACAATACAGTGAACTTGTTTGAATCCCTTTCTTTCTCTACACAATTTCTTCACATTTTTTAAACCTAGTCTTCTTGAACAAAACACATGCTGGGAAAGGAAGATGAAGACCGAGGGAAGTCTCTCACTGTGCTATATTTGGAATATTGTACCGCATGCATTGGATATGTACGAGACGGTTTGCTGATTTTACGCATTTGCTTAGAAACGAAAAATGCTTAGAAATGCATAATCACCTCGTAACGATTAAGTGAGAGTAAATATTCACTAGGATTTTAATGTCATTACGTACCCTGAACTAAATATTATTACAAACTAAAAACTAAAATGGCATACACGTGCACACTATACTGTACAATGTAGTTTGGCGAGGAGTACTGTAAAACGTATGTATCGTTTCACAGCCCGGCGAGTTCTATCTCCGATACTAGTAGGTGTGCCACATTGGTTTCTAGCGAAAAATTTGGCAGCCGCTTTCGAGTTAAACAGATTTTGATGGGCCATGTATGTACTGACAGCCTTTCTGATATATCCTTGACCTTGGCGGAATGGTGTACTTAGTGTCCTTATGTGCTCGTAATGGACACTGCTGTTTGTACATGTTCTATTTTCTAAGCCTTTGATTGATACTAGAGAGGTTCTTTGTCGCGTAAACTGTAGAGAACGCACTGAGATGAAGCCCAAAAGTGTGTGCTTTCAAGTCTTCACTTGGTTTTTCCGTCATGTGGAGCTGAACCTCCAGGGTTCTAGCCAAAGGGGAGTAGGGGGGGGGGGGGGGCAGTGCCCCCATACTCCGTTTGCGCCCCCCCCCCTGTGAAAAAGTGCCGCCCCCTTCTCATTTTCCGATTTTTGTGTTTTTTCACGCCATTCAACGAAAATACAGTCGATAGTCACCACTAGAGGGTTCATAAAGGCACGTTTGTGAGGGGTGAAGTCGGGGGTTCACCCTGTATGTTACATTTTGCATGGCCAGACAATTTTGGACAATGGAAAAAATGGGTCATGTAAGTTTTTCCCATGCCCGCCCCCCTACTATATTGACCTGGCTAGAACCCTGACCTCTGCTGTTGTTATCCAGTGTTCCGTGTCCGCTCTGGATTTCAACACAGTGCTTTCTTGTACTTGTGTGCAACTTGTAACCGTCACCAGGTGAACGTGTGGATGAAGGTGAAGGCGGTGACAATGAAGTGCAGCGTACTATGCTGGAGTTGATTAATCAGCTCGACGGCTTTGATGCTCGAGGAAACATCAAAGTCCTGATGGCAACCAACAGGTATGTAATTTGTGTTTGCAGTAAGGTACATGTACAGGCATGCTTTTAATGGGAAGGTGGTGTCAAATGTAGGATTGCTATGGACTAATTGTTTGTTTTAGTCTTCCTGCATGGGTTACGGTGTATTTGTTACGTGTGACAAGTTTTTAGTGTAAAACGTCTCGTTCTTTTTTGTTTTGCTTTGGTGTGCTTGGTAGACCTGATACCTTGGACCCTGCATTAGTTCGACCTGGTCGTCTAGATCGGCGGATAGAATTTGGCCTTCCGGACCTGGAGGTATGTGCTACTTCTAAGTATTCGAATGTATGCTTGTGCACATTGCCATCACCAGCGCAGAAGGACCAGTTTGGTTTGTTGGTAGAGAGGTTAATCAAGTAATGAACAAGTATGTAGCAAGTGGCCTGGCTGAATGGGGAGTCTGGTGCTTTTGACAGATTCATCCCCAGCTACACTCATAGTGTATTTATTTCACAACTCGCTAAGCCCTGTTTACACTGTACTCATAGTACCCGCTGCACCAGAACCAGGTGCACATGTTGGCTCCAGAGGTACACACTGCACTTGATTACACACAACACAACAACACAACACACAGCAGCAACGATAGGGAGTTCGCAGGTAATGCTACCTGGTTTACTGGATGAGGTTTGTTGTAAGACGAACCGAAAATTTCATTCCCAGACACTCAATGCTAGAGATTACGCTTTGTGGTATCGAATATTCGTGAAGGCAACCGGTGCTCACAGTGAAACATGCTTGGTTGACACAACAAAGTGTAACGTGTTACCGAGAAAGAATCCATCGTTAACTCAAGAAACGTTAGACGTATGTTATTCCTTCTCTTGTCTATACTAGAGGAATAGAAGACAGGTGTGTAATGGCAGGGTCGTTAAACTTTGTGCCCGCTAAGGGGTCATCGCAAAAGTTTTCTGTCGTCCCTGAAACGAACATCGTTCATTTCGTACTTGGACCCCTCCCCTCCCTCTGAAACGAACACAGCTTGCTATGCTGGACGACGAAAATCGCATGGATGCACATGTCGTATGTACAGTGTCGGTCGACTTGCGATTTTGGCTCGCACCCCCTCCCCCCCCCCCAAATGAATCATGTTTGTTTCAGGGACGACAAAAAACTTTAGCGACGACCCCTAAGTGGGATTTTTTGCAAATCGTTTAACTTTAGATTCGTTACACTTTCAACTCTTACAGTATTATCTGGCCTGAGTACTTGATGAAACCGTTATTTTTCTTGTTGTTATTGTTTGCTTCTATAGTTGATAACCTCTGTCTATCCATCTCTTTCTCATCTCGTTGTGCATAGGGAAGAGCACACATATTCAAAATCCACGCCCGTAGCATGAGTGTGGAGCGTGGCATTCGTTACGACCTTCTTGCTCGCCTCTGCCCGAATTGCACCGGTTAGTTGCACGCTCTTGACAACTTCTATTTATGTGTGTCTGCCCAATGTCGGCTGCTGACTTGTGATTGGTATGACTTGCTCTGAAGCGCATACTACATTGTATCTATCTTTCTTGGTGGCTGTATATGAATGCACTGCATGTACTGTTTTTCCAACCAATGACTGTATTGCAAGCCATGAAGTCTATCATTATTCTATTTATATGAATGCAGGTGCTGAACTTCGCAGTGTGTGCACAGAGGCAGGCATGTTTGCAATCCGTGCCCGAAGAAAGGTAAGACTAACTAACCAGGTATAATAGCCATACTGTCGCAGGCTACTGCCCATTGTGCATGCATGGACATGCACTTAGCATCGCTTAGATTTGAAATCATTCCTGCCTGTCGTGATAGTTCACCGAGATATTCCCCCACACCGAGAGTCCCGGTGCATCACACCTTGCAATTCATGACATGATGCCGATACGGAACCACCTGCTTGGGCTTACGGCATACAGCAGCACGACTGGAGATGCGGACTCACCATCAACCATGAGGTGCCTGCCCAGCTTTTCTGGTTCATTGACAAAGGCTGCCCTGTAGCACTGGCACCTCCCACATGATGTGTGACGACAGTCATCCCAACATGGAAGGAGCGTATGACTTTCAACAGCGATCGAAGAACACACCTTTTCCTTGGTCGTGGTGATGCTGCTACTCATGGAGATGGTACAGTATCTCGTATGAGGCGACGAAGCACCTGCGGCATGTTCTGAAATGACTTGGCCAGCAAGTGTGCTACGACAGCCAGAGGAGTTGTCCTGCTTGCCATTGGCTTCGAACAGATTTTACTACCTTTCCAATGAGCTACATAAACAAATTACAAATTGATTTTGCTTTCATGTGCTCGTGTGTCATGTATTTGTTCAGGTGGCAACAGAAAAAGACTTCCTAGATGCTGTACAGAAGGTGATCAAGTCCTATGCGAAGTTCAGTGCCACGCCTCGCTACATGACTTACAACTAAGCATGTATGCCTTCACGTACAGTGTGCTGCTGCTTGTGTAGGTTGGTGAGTGTGTGTGTGTGTGTGTGTGTGCGCGTGTGTGTGCGCGTGTGTGTGTGTGTGTGTGTGTGTGTGTGTGTGTGTGTGCGTGTCCATGCATACTGGTTTATGTACATGTGTATATGTAACTTTTGATAAGCTGAGCCAATCAGTCTTGCTGCACGTTTCAACATTCATGTTTGCACTGGCTGTAGTACTTTGCGCAATTCGTTTCACCATGCAGTTTTGATAGAGGCTTTCTGCCATTCCGGATTCGGCATGGTGCACATACTTCCTTCATGCAGAATTCCAACAATCTTAGTCATATTTTTAAATCTCCGTGTCATTAATATTACAGCCAGTGCTTCATTTCGCTTTTTTTCATCATCATCTTCGCCACATATGTACATACCCTTGTATTCAGGTCTTTATATCTTTACGGATATTCGTTGCTGTTGATTTTCCACGTGTTATGCAGTACCCATGTAGAAACAGCGAGCACCCATACTGTATCTTTTGATGTTTTGTGGGCCCATGGGTCTCATACTTCTACTAGCACAATATCCCGCCGGAGTGCGCTATGACTTCGACCCCTTCCGTGCTGTAGTCGTGGCGTGGGGGCTAATCAGTGATCTCTCCTCGTTGGTGTGCTGTGCAGACCCGGTGCACGTTGTTTCACACTGTATAAGCAGAAAATTTCCTTCCGTACTGTAGTCGTGGCGTGGGGGCTAATCAGTGATCTCTCCTCGTTGGTGTGCTGTGCAGACCCGGTGCACGTTGTTTCATACTGTATAAGCAGAAAATTTCGTCCAACTCCAAAGAAAGGGATTTCGTCCGGTTGTAAATTTCGTCCATGGATCATAATGTATTGAAAAGCTGGACAAATCAATATTAGTCCGGCATTTAATTTAGTCCAACGGCTCGTTGGACGAAAAAGACGACATTAAATTCCAGACGAATACTTCTGCTTGCACAGTACTCTGACATTGTAGATGTTGTGTCTGTACAATGGGGCTTGAGGAACAACTCTCGTGAAAGTTAGAAAATGGTGTGAACATGAGTTAGTCCAAGCCAGAGTGTGCAACTCTGAAAATGGCTTCTGGACAGAACTGGGTACTTATCGTTTGACCAGGAGCTTTTCTTGTTTGTGACTCCCTGGTTTTCGGGACGAAATAGTGGTAGGCTGGTAGCGACTTCGGCGATATGTTTATGGCTGTAGTGGGTCAGTCAAAGTGTGAAGTGAAGTCGGCGGAAAAGCGCAAGCTCCGGTGTGTGGAGCAAACACTTTCCCTGGCCTAAGATTCACCAACTATAAGTAAAATTTAATGATGTCTCCCCCCCCCCCCCTTAGGGAGCCCCCCACATAGCCTTGTCAAGCAGGGAGTAGTACAATACCATTGTACTACTCCCTACTGTCAAGCACCACCTGTACTATATAATTATGTACTAGGCTACAGAGTAAAAAAAACAAAACAATCAATTGTAGATCGAGCGCACGCAGTGTGCATGTGGTGATCATGTAGAGAGCAATTCACCTCGTACAGTACCAAAATGTCCTTTTCATGCACATTGTCATTCCAGCAGAAATTAATCCAGCACCCCCCCCCCCCCCCCCCAGCAGAATCTCCGTAGCACGAATGGTGCCGGATTATAAAGGGACCACTGTACATGTATGTACCTAGAAAAAAAAGGCTGTATGAGTCTTGTCAAGAGTCATACTCTTGATCTTGTTCATGTCCAGTTTCTTGCAAGCTGTTGTTTGTGACAAAGACGTACATGTTCAGCGATACGAGTACAGTCATGTACATTACCAAGAGTAATAAGGGGGTTATGTACTCTTGATATTACTAAGCCATAATAAAGAATTACTACTAAGCCCCGCGCGCTCCGTGTGTTCCATCAGTTATCTGGTTATGGACAATGGTTTACCAGTTATGGATGTGCTTGGCCATTTGTGGATCGTATATCGATTATCTACCTTTTTCACACTCAAGCTTCATCCATTCTATTTCTATGCAAAGCAGTTTGACATGATCAAGAAGAGTCCATGGCCTTTTGCTACATCCGTTTTTACTCGGGTCCTGGATCCATGCCCATGGACTGGCTTGAGGAAGGCTGAATCAGTGAATCATCAGAATGTTGTGTGACTACAAGACTCCACACTGACCACAGTTCCTAGATCCTCCTTCTTTGTCTTGGCCAAGCCATGTGGATCATCTGGTCCTGTCAAAATGCCGTAGCCCTGCGCCGCGTGAATGCGCTTGCGGCACGCGCTTGGTAGCTTCGCTTGTTGTATCGTATACACACTTCGAAGCTTTGGATACGCGCCACGCGGGAAACGGTTGGCGAGAGGAGATTCGAAAAATTTGAATTTTGTGCTTTTGTTTCAGCAGATATGATTTCGCCTAGCTGGAAGATAGCTCTCCGTTTCAACTTCTCTTAGAGTTACCTCTTTTGTTACTTGCCCCTTGACCATGGAAGCTGTGGTGGTGAAACCAGTGAAGACGGTAGCGAAACGGGACTCGAGCAAAGGTACGTTTTCGACCATAGCTTTGGTGTTTATTCCTCAAACCGTTTCCGCGTAAAAGGAGGGGAAGTATACCTGGTAGACATACAACCACACACAAGCCCACTGTATTGTGGTCTAAATAGGAAGCTCTCGTATTGACACCACTAGTCTGTACTGTACATCATGTTGATTTGTGCAGTCCCTTCTGCTGCGTGATGACGATGGTGGTGCTTCAGTGGAAACCGGAGACCTGCTCTTGGACATAGAAGTCTACTACAGACAGTACATGTACTTTGTTGTGCAGCTTGTCTCACCGAAATGATCAGTGGAAGCACGAGTTCATATCCCCGCGGTGTCTTGGTAGAAGTGCTATTCGTTGCCATGATTAAGAAATACATTGATCTTTCATGCTTGTCTTGTAAGTAGTTGACCCTGGTTAGTTACTAGTATTCTGCATGACTATACTATCTTGTGGCTTCCATGTGCAGCTGACAAAGATGCTGATGATGACGTATTTGACTCGGTGGATGTTCTGAACAAAGCCAGGCTACTATCAATGGGAGGCGATGATATGCTGCAAGGACTAGAAAGCTGGCTGAATGAATGCTCCACAGTAACTGGCAGAGTGGCCTCCATTCCTGACGTATTGCATCCCGACAAGGCCACAACCCCAACTACCGATCTTCTACTATCAATACTGGATGGAAAGAAACAAGCAGATGCTGCTGATATGGCGGGTGATGGGAATATGTTTGATGTCTATGCACGCCTGCTCAATAATGCTTCCATACCCAGTCTAAGTGGCTCCGGAGCTGGTGCAGATTTGAACTACTCCACCAGGACTTCTCTGTCCTTGTCTTCATATCTGCCAAATACTGGACCCATGGCGGCAAGTCAGGATCCATTGGGGCACCAGCTGCCTTCAATGCCCAACTATCAGATGGAGAGTACCCAAGTTCCCAACACACAGATTCGGTATGGCGTTCCAGGATTTCTTCCCAGCAACACCCTGTCTTCTCAGCAGCAGCAGCAACGTCAGCAGCAGCAGCCAACCTTGTTGCAGAATCGCTCTGATCCGACACATAATACGAATGATCCTCAAGACTCTAGGTCGACAAAGGACGGTAGAACATCACCAGGTTCTCAAGAATCACAGTCGACAGCATCAAACACTCATCCCCAACAAGAGTTTTCTGAACTGGCAGAGAACCAGAAAGATCTTTTCGAAGAGTTGATGTCAGAGGCAGGTACTATACCAGCCGAGCCCCACCAACACTACCCTTGGGTACAGCTACCTGGAGAGGGCAACCCTAATCTGTATCCACTAGTTGGAGTTAAGCCCGCGCCCACACTACCGCTACCCAGCATGCATTATTCACCATATGGCTTGCCACCGGCGATGGCCTCATCAGCAGAGCAAGCAATGTCACAGGTTCCCTTACAGCAGCAGGATCGGCCGCCACACCCTATCGCCTACTCGTCGCCTTACTCCAGGCTGCCAGCTCCTCCATTAGCATACATGCCGTCCGCCTACCATCATCCCATGTACCACCACCACCCGCATCCGTACATGCCACCAAATTACCCACCAATGGCAGCGCAGCATCAAGCTGCTGCTGCAGCGGCTCTGATGGCACAAGCTGCTGCTTTGGCCCAAGGCTCATATCTCCCTGCACCAGTGCATCATCCGTTTTCCGGATTTGCGTCAGCGAAAGCACCCACGCCTGCAGAGTATGAGAAAGCAGTGAAAGAGCACCTGCAGCGCATCAAGTTAAGCCCCCATCGTCCACCCACTACCATGAGTCGAGCGTTATCGATGAAAGCCTCGATTAGCAAGAAGATTAAGCCTACCATCAAGCGCGCATCGTCGCAGAAAGCAGCCAACCGCTATATTGTGCCCGAAGCTGCTGCCGAAAAATCCACCTTGATGTACACACCAACATCAGTAGTTGCAGCACTTGAGTCAACAACAGTGGATAGCGTCACGAGTACGAATGCAAATGCAGCATCTGCAACCGTGACAACTCCAATAGCCAGTAAAACAGCAATCAGTCGTCACAAGAAATTGCTCCGACCAGCGAAAAGGTTCATGCAGAATTTGCGCTCCTAGACTCTATTGACCAGCTTGCAACAACTGCTGAAATCTGTTGCCGTGACAACAGCTCCGTAAATGATTATGACCTATTTTCAATATTCCATTCACTTGCTTCTTCAAACCATCACAAACACACGGTTCCATCACTTCAAATGATTTTTCACAGAACACATCTTGTCCTTGCTTTAGTATTTATACTTATTTAGTTTTGAACCCCATGGCCGGCCACGCCAGGTCCCGAGTCATATGCTGCCGACGTATGTTTATTTTTTTAACTATCCAATTTAACTCTAACAGTGAAATGTGAAGAATAATGTTCTCTTGTCTTCAGCCTGATTTTTTCCCTCCTGCAACTGATAGCTACCGTGCTGTGTAGCGGCATCAGTGTAGTTTTAAACTCTTACTACAATGTATATCTACACGGCTAGTTTTTCTATCAGTATTCTCAATACGAACTTAGAAGAACCAACTTCAGTATTCTCATTATTTTCTTGTTTATAGTGAACACTTGAAACGAGCAATTTCATCTAATGCTCCTTGCATTTGAAACCTGAAAGGAGACGTGGGTTGATTGTAATGTATTTGTGACTATAGAGCTACTGAATAGTGGATCCGATTGAGTTTGCAAGTGTGTCACAGTGTGTGTCACAGTGTGTGCCTTGTGGAGCTGAATGAATGTAAAGTTCTGGCAGGTGAAGCTCTCAAACTCAGTCTGAAAGGGGTCTGGGTACTGGGCAATGACTCCCTGGTACTGAGTAATCGAAAAAGATGATCTTCACGGTTTCAGCCCTTCGCATAACCAAGACTCTTGATAACACTATTCAAGAGTGCATAGCCATCAGGACTTGCTATCGTTATGAGAGGCTTTTGGAGAACAAAACACCCTTTTTACATGTAGTTTTAGATTTTACCAGCTCATCATGCGATCAGAGCGCAGGAGTCGACTAGTCGTAAAGCTAGCCGAGTGTTATATCAAGAAGAGGCAAGGGACACTCGTATAGTAATAATAGTCCATTCTTGGTGTTACGACTTCCTACAATCTACATGTTTACTTTTATGGGCATATAGCAGGTTCGTATGAGTACGACTCCGAGACTCGACTACGAGCTCATGACGTTTTATCCAAATACCGGTGTCCATATCTGCTACTGTATACATGTAGCCACAGAGTTATTTTAGCGTCCTCTGAGCGCCTGCTGCGGTTGGGTGAGCTCGATGAGCATGAGAAAGGCCAAAAGTCAAACAAGTGAAGCAGGTGGAAACAAAAACTCTTGGCAGCGTTGTTTGAACAACGTCAGTGTGTTTGAGCTGTTGGTTCATTTGCAGTTTTTTATTTTTACTCTGCGTATTACAGCTGGAGATCTCCTAGCAGTAGCAGCGGAGGATGCCGAATGGGCTCTGAGCAATGTTTGCGTTGGGGGAAGAAGACCCAGCGGAGGTCTACGCTGCCTTGTCCCAGCCAATTGACGTCGATTGCTTGTTGCCAACTGGTGTGCTCATTCCTCTGAGATGTCGACCTGACAACACATTGGAAACGATCAAGGCCAGGCTATGGCGTGAGGCGGAAGTGAAAAGCCAATATCCTCTCTTTCATCAGCTGAAGGAGTCTTCCAAGTATGTATTTGTCGGCATCAACAAGAATGCCGAGACGGAAGAGTTAGTGGAGGAGAAGAAACGTTTCTGTGATTGTGAATTATTCCATCCACTACTCAAGGTGGTGGAACGTATTGGTGATCAGGAAGAGAAGTTGCTGAACGCTGAGATCGGTACATTGATTGGCAAACGCCTTCATGAGTTTGACGAGCTGGGTCTGGAGGTTCAGGATTTCCGTTACGAGATTCAGCAGCATTGTGTCGGTGTTGTGGAATCAAGAAATCAAACAGCAGAGAGCCTGCTGAGATGGTCCTATCCACCGGATCTTGAACTCACTCCCGATGTGCCTCCGAGTTTGAAGAAGAAGCTGCACAATGGAGAGCAGATCCTGCTGGACCTGAAGAACCCGAAAGGCCAGGTTGCATCCATGACGGTGAAAATCTCCTGGACTGCCATGCAGTTCTTGAAGTCGATCATTCCCGCCGATGAGAACCCTGGCGACTGTGTTCTGAAGGTGTGCGGCCATGTGGAATACTTCACAGAGAGCAATGTACCGCTGTCACAGTATCGCTATATTCGCAACTGCCTGGCTAAGAGTCAGCGGCCAATGCTGATAACAGTGCGCAAGAGTGGACTGCTGAGTGGCATTCAAATCGACAAGTTCCGCATGGACAATAAGCTACGGCAGACCTACGCCTCCAGTACAATATCTCAACGACCAGACCAAGTTATATCACTCTGGTCAGTGGCTTCAAAGGTTACCATTCGTTTGCTCAAGGCTACCAATCTAAACTCTGACAGTATCTTGGTCAGGGCCGGCATCTACCATGGAGCTGAACCACTATCTGACATTCGCACCTCCAAAATTGTCACCAATAATGGCGGTGAATGTGCAGTTAATGATGTCTTGATGTTCGATGTGGATGTCCGTGATCTGGCCAGAAACTGCCGCCTGTGCTTTGTGATTTGTGGCACATCGGGTTCAGACGGCGCTGGCAAGAAAGGGAAGTCTGGTATATTCAGCAAGAAGAAGGAGCAGATACCACTGGCCTGGGTCAATCTGAACGCATTCGATTACAACGGCAAGCTACGCTCCAGTACGCATGCACTACAGTGCTGGTCGGTGGATGGTGCCTTGGAGGACACACTCAACTTTATGGGAACGACCGTTGAAAATCCCGACAGCACGTGTCCAGTACTGCACATTGAGCTATCTCCATTCTCTCTCCCAGTGCATTATCCAAGCCTGGAAGAAATGAGCAGTACTGTGCACAGTCCGTCACCACCGTCCCCTGGTTTCCAACCAGCAGGCAAGGAACATCTGATGAAGATCGTCGAGATGGATCCACTGGCGGAACTGGAGGATCAGGACATGGAAGCGTTGTGGCGCAGCCGTGAGTTCCTCGCCACCATTCCGCAGTCACTGCCCAAGCTTCTCAAGTCAGTCAAGTGGAATAACCGCGAGTGTGTGGCTAGAATGCTGGTGCTGCTACAGTCATGGACAGCTCTGCCGCCAGAACAAGCATTGGAGCTTCTTGACTATCAGTATGCTGATCAGAACGTGCGCAACTTTGCTGTCCAGTCGCTGCACTCATTCACTGATAACGAGCTGATGCACTTCTTGCTACAACTCGTGCAGGTGTTGAAGTATGAATCCTATCTGAACTGTGATCTTGGCAAGTTTCTGCTTTCTCGTGCTCTGAAAAACCAGAAGATCGGTCACTTCCTCTTCTGGCATTTGCGTGCTGAGATGCATCAAGCGCCAGTGGCTGTTCGCTTTGGTCTGCTATTAGAGGCATACTGCAGAGGTAGTATGGGCCATATGCAGTCACTGCTGTGTCAGCAAGAGGCACTGTCCAAGCTGCGCTCCGTCACTGAACTGCTCCAAAGCAAGACGCTAAAGGAACGACCCAAGGGTATGCGAGCCATGCAGGAAACTCTGGAGACACCACAGTACCAGGAGGCATTATCTAACCTGGTATCCCCGCTCAGTCCATCCTATCGGCTGCACAGTTTGAAGCTGGACAAATGCAAGTTCATGGACTCAAAGATGAAGCCTCTCTGGTTGGTTTACAAGAATGCTGACGAGGATGGAGCAGACGTCTATCAGATCTTCAAGAACGGTGATGACCTTCGCCAGGACATGCTGACGCTGCAGATTATTGGCATCATGGATAGCATGTGGCGAGCTCAAGGTCTTGACATGCGCATGATCCCATACGGCTGCCTCTCTACTGGCGACCAAGTCGGTCTGATTGAAGTCGTTCTGCAGGCCAACACTGTTGCCAAGATTCAGAAAGCCAAAGGCGGTGGTTCTCGTGGCGCTTTTGACAAAAGCACACTCTACAAGTGGCTACAGGAGAAGAATGCCGATAAGGTTCAACTGGATGAAGCGATCGACACGTTCACATATTCCTGTGCTGGTTACTGTGTGGCGACGTATGTCCTGGGAATCGGTGACCGTCATTCTGACAACATCATGCTAAAGGAAACTGGTCAGCTCTTCCACATTGACTTTGGCCACTTCCTTGGAAACTTCAAGAGCAAGTTTGGTGTGCGCAGAGAACGCGTGCCATTTGTCTTGACCGATGACTTTGTCTATGTCATCACACGCGGAAAGGATGATCAGAAGGAGGTGGATAAGTTCCGTCGGCTCTGCGAGGAAGCATTCTTGCTGCTGCGACGCAAGGGCAGTCTGTTGATCAATCTCTTTGCAATGATGCTGTCAACTGGCATTCCAGAATTACGCTCCCTGGATGACATTAACTATGTCCGAGATGCCCTTGTGCTTGGCTCATCTGACGAAGAGGCACTAGCCAGTTTCCGCAAGAAATTCAACGAAGCTATCAAGAACTCTTGGAGTGTATCCTGGAACTGGTACATCCACAATGTCGTTCGCAACTGAGGGTGCGGCTGTGTATCATGTCATTCTACAGTTTGGAATAGCTGTCTCTACTTTCTCTACTGACCTTTTGTCAGGCTGTGGTACCAACCAGTCAGTATTTACTGTTGATGTACTTTTATTTGGGCCTGGATATCGGAGATTTGCCTCGAATTTATTTTGCTGCCAACATCGGTATGTTTTTAAATGTTTGCTTGAAGTTGTGTATGTCATGATCAGCTCTGACAGACCTATCGATCATTGTTATTATAGTTTTAAAATAGCCTTGAATCAAGAAGATTTAGTTCAACTGACTTCTTTTACCAGTATATCTTTTAACCATGTTTTACTATATCTCCGTTATCTCCTGAAATCATGCAAATACATGCAAAACAATGCGTTGTGAATATTTTGTACTTCGAGTATTCATTTTCCACTTCAAGTATTTTTGAAGTTTGCTACGCTGAGTTGGTCATTTGTATCCTGCTAAGCCTGATCCTTTTACCCGTAGTCTATTTTTGGATAGGTTGTAGTTATTTCTGCTCCCGCATCTCGCATCTAGGGTATCTTGATGCTCAGTAGTGGAAAGCCTCTGATCCCCATTATATCATTCTAGATCTTGGTACAGTTACTAGTACATGTAGTTGCTTTTCTCTCTCCCTCGCCCGATGCCCTCCATACCAGGTATTGCTGCATGCTGTTGGAGCAAGCCCACTCTCTGTACTTCCAATAGAATTATTGTTTTTTACATGACGAGCACCTGTCTTACAAAATCTTCCCTGTGACCTGTATGTTGTGAGTAAACACCAAACTCAATTTTGACAAAAAAAGTGGCAATATGTCCCTTGACCGTGAGCTCACTGTTATGTTTGTGCTGTGGTGGTGTGTTATGCAGTTAGCCAGATCAAAGCACATGGAATTATTGTATGTATGCCTCCTTGCTGATGTGCCTTGGGTAAACAAAGTGGCCCTCGAACTGCATGGCGGTGCTCAATCTTGTCTGCATCGTCGCCTTTGCTTCCCCGACTGAAGTCAGGTACCCATCGTAGGTGAGCCGATTGCATGCACGGGGGTGATGATGCTAATAATTATTATTATAGGAGTCCAACCGCTACATGTATTATCAAGAGTACATAACCCCGAGGTTAAGTACTCTTGGTATTAGGGAGGTTCTGCTCTACGTGTTGGGAACGCGACGCAAAGAATCACGCGAACTTTCTTCGCGTTCCCGTAACGTTAAGAAATGCTGTTCTGCTCTACGTTTCACCTAGAGAAGTCACGTGGAATGTGTACTGGGAATTTCCCCTTCCATATTTGGCAATTTTCTGCAAGCAGTTGATCGATACCCAGCAAATCCGTATGCATTTTCTCTGCGTGTGCCACAACGTAGAGAACCCCATCTCCGCGTAGAAATCTGGAGCCAAAACACGCGAAGCCGTAGACTCTAACCGAGACACCTGCTCTCTACGTGATTTCTCTACGTTTCACGTATAGCAGAACCTCCCTACAATGTGCTAACGTCACGTCTAGAAGGCCACGGCTGTAACAACCTTGTCTACCATGCACGCACCCCTGCCTTTTTTTGCATTAAAATGATAGCTTGCATGCCGTCCTACCGGTAGGCCCGCTACTGGCGCTAGACACTAGCACATGCTCCGGTCGGCCCGCTAGACATTATGTCCAAAGTGAATTTTGACCATGGCACATCGATCATGGTGAGGACTTATTGTCTTTCTCAGCTTGCCATGTCAGTGGAATGCAAGATTCCATACTCTACTCCGCAATTGCCATGGTATTTCGCACTATGCCTTGTACGATCACGTCTAAAATTTGTGGACTCCTTCGTAACCCCCTAGCAACAGTTTAAGGTAAGGTTTTAGGTAAAATGCTAGAACAGAGGTTGTGCAGCATGTCTGTGTATGATGGTCCTACCGGTAGGATCAGGCCGGTCTAAGTAAGCTTGGAAAAGGAAAGCATTTGGGAGTCCATAGATGACAGTACATCTTCTCGTGGAAAGTGCTACAGTAGTAGTAGTGAGTACGGTCATCCTAACCTACTAGTGACTGCCATGACACCTGCACATCTTCTACAAAGTACAATGTAAGTAAGACCGCCTGAATGTGGCACGAATACTCAATAAAGCGACAAAGCTGAGTGCATAAAAAGGCACTCCATGTTTTTTTTATACACAGATATCCTGAGGCCGGCATTCAATGACCAAAAACACGGTAACATGCAACGATAATAATATTAGCAAATCGGGATTATAGCAGTGAACTATAACGATGAATATGACTAATATTGACTGAGTACGAAGTCAATAATAACATTCGAGTATGAAAAGACCGAGGTGAAGCCGAGGTCTTTTACGAGGTTTTATTTCCTAATTGACGTAGTACGCAGATTTATCACAACAAACCAAAGCATGTGTTCAATTATTAAAATGGAGCCAAATATAAGCAATCCGTATACTTAGTCCTATAAAGGAGTAAAATATGCAGGAATATTTGACGCCTAGGTATAGTATCAATAGGAGTTAACACTAAAGAGAGGGATAAAATATTTTAGAACGAGGTCTGTCTCGTTGTCCAGGAAACGACCAATCAGCGACGCTCCCGCCAAGGGCCTTATCAGAGTTCAATCGTAATTTTACTACTCTTGATGACTCATCAAGGGCCTTGGATTGCTGAATATTCACTTTCAACTCGTACAACTTCATGTACGCATTATAGTACGGTGCAGATAATAAACTCTACACACGTGTACGGTGTACTACTAAAAGCTACCCATTTCAGAACTGTGTACGGGTTTTGCTTCCCGTACTCTTTCATCTGTACGATTTTTCTTTCTCAATAGCTGGCTGAACCCTATAAAAGATCAAAGTCATTATAGCAAGAGTACATATGTACATATACATATGTACTCTTGATTATAGGTATCAACAAGAGTCCATAATCTATGGACTTTTGGTATCAAAAAGGGGCTCTCGAAGCCCCTATTAAAAATACCGTAAAAGTCCGTAAATAATTACCTGCCTGAAAGAATTACCCCCTTCATTCTTTTGGCTCTGTCTGTTGAAGTCAAGTCAAGCCCGATAAACATACTGCCCGAAATAAGTACCGATACGGTGCGCACATGCAGCACATAGCATGTACATCTACATCAAAATGACTTCTCCACTACACACAAGTCAGGTCCAAAAGTTTGTTCGTGCCCGAAAGTCAGTACTCGCCCGAAAGTTAGGACGGGTGTGGTCACTAAGGGGTCGTCCGTATTTTTCGAAAAATTAAAAAATCCGTCCTCAGGCAGAAAGGGGGTGGGTGGTCAAGAGCGCTGGCGGAATTTAATTTTTCGATTTTTCGTCCTTTTTTTTTTTTTTTTTTTTTTTTCGTCAGTGACTTTCATACACTTGTTGCACTGACATGTAGTGCACTGTAGACGTAGTGTAGGATCGCAAACACCAGTATGATATACCGGTACATGACTCTTTTGTAGTTGTAGGACGTGCATGGCCGTCGGTAGACCTACTCACTTTACTTAGCTACTAGTACTTGACATACATGTACATGTACATGTACATGTAGGTGCAATCAGTGAACATGGGGTCAGGACTCAGGAGTTCTTATTTTCGAGCTGGGCATCGGTAATAGGCCATTCACACGACGTGCAAACATTTGCACGCGTGTGACCAAGATAACACTGGCAAACTGTGATCCAGTTCACACGGTGCTGGGCAAACTTTGCAACCGTCAATGTATCCATAGTGACCTCCTAAAAATGCCGGGAAATGTTCAATTTTGAATTTTCCCTTGTTCAAGCACTGCATTTGCAGTACGCACTTTCCTGTCCCTGCGGGAATTTGCGGAAAAAACTCTCGAAAACTTGCGCAAGAAATTGCGGCAGAAAGTAACAAAAAATGCGACGAAAAGTGCGGAATGATGCAGAACTTGCCAGGAATTCGCGGAATTATTTGCAGAAAATTGCGGATTCGGACCAAATCACGAAATTTGTTGCATCGTATATCTACTCGGGAGTCGTACTGTGCAAATAACCTACAGCAGTACAGGATCATGGAAAGAACTGCGTGAAAAGTGCCAAAAATGTGAGATATAGTGCAGAAAACAACAAAAAAAAACGCGGGAAATCGTGGATTTTGCTGAAAATCGCGGGGTTGGGCCAAATTCGCGAAATTTGTTGCATCCGTGGAATCGCGATTTCCTGGAGGGACAGACTTTCAACAACCGACTCTTTTCCTGGCGTGCAAAGATAATCGCGAGCAAAAGGGCCTCGGCCAAGATAAAAAATCAGTTGCTCGCGTGTGTCCAAGTTTATCGTATCCGAGTAAATATCCTTGGAAACAGTACGATAAAAGTAAGTTTGCCCGTCGTGTGAATGGCCTATAAAGATCAAAAAATTAATGGGAAAAATGGGAGGTGGGTGGGTGGGTCAGAGACAATTTTGCACGAGGACGGATTTTTTAATTTTTCGATAATTACAGACGACCCCTAAATACTTTTTTTTTTTGGTGTAGCTGTAATGTCGAAAGTTATGAAAAAGTTTGCTCGTAAGGTGGCCTCCCCTCTCCACGCTGGCCGTGGAAGGGAAGGTTCGACCTAGTTCAGAGAGTGATATCACAGTAGATGCGTCCCCCCCTGCTCCAGGTACAGGCATTGGACAAAAACGTAGAGCTGAGAGCCCGACGGAGAGTCTCGCCCCGAGTGACACTGAAGTCAGACAAACAGGTGCAGAGAAATCCGTTAAGAAACAGCACGCCTGCACCGCTCCAAGTGCAGCCCTGTGCGTCGGGCCTGTGAACGCTGGTGGTGACGGCCAGAGCATCACTGTAGAGATGAGAGACATGTTTGAAAATTTCCGTCATGAACTTCGAACGGAGCTGAAGACAATCGTGACAGACAGCATTGCCGAGACCATCGGACAACGTCTGGACAGCCTCGAAGTCGTCGTGAACGAGCAGCGCCAGGACATCAACCGCCTGTCAGCGGAGAACCGGCGCTTGAAAGCCGCTATCGAAAAATGTACTGAAGATGTTGTAATCTCAGAGAATGGCGCCAAGTCCCCCATTGCGGAAGTAAAGCAGACAGTCGCCACCAGGGAGTCGTCAATATTTGACGACTCCCTGGTCGCCACCTTCACTGCCAGACATCCTGTCGCCAACCTCATACTGGCCAACCCTCCCGTTTTTCCCGGGAAAATCCCGGAAAATCAACACTCCTCCCGGGGTCCCGGGGATTTCAAGCAAACTCCCGGAAAACCAAAGTTTTGTCTGATACAGGATTTTCCTGAAAACTCCATGGTTTCTCTCCGAACGTCCCGGTTTTTAACTTTTTTCAAAGGTATGTACGGTGCTCATTCGCACTTCGAACTGTGCACAGCACTTTAACCTTTTGAGCCCGGGCCCACTGAAAACCTCTGCCACGCAGTAAAAAAATTTAAATTCACTCTATGTGAGCAAACTTGATTTCAAACGATTCTTTCATGTAACCTGAGCACAGAACTGTTTTTGTTTTGGAAATAGAACAAAGATTACAACAGTTATGACCGTTTTCAGAAAGGTAGTTTTACGCGAAATTGGTATTTTGAAATGCATGCACGCGCATGTAACTCCAGTTCAAACTTACGGAGCGACTTGCATTTTTTTACGGTACGCGTACATCCTAGGAGTCCTCTGTGCAGCGGTACAGCTCGACGCCATGCCACGGAAGAAACGCGGGATCGATGTAGTTCCGCACTGGTCACGCGTGTCACAGTGGCACTGGTCATGACGTGTCAGAACGTCACTTAAAGACCTGACCATGCAAGATCTGCACTGACAGAGTGACAGGCGGGCGCCGACTGATCAAACTGCACTACAGGGTCGATCTGTGCTGTACGCACAGCTGCAGAGTCGAACGTTTTTTGGCGGGAAAAGCTCTTTTTCACTTGTTTTTGTGCCATCCAGGGATTTTGAGAGAACTCCAGGGATTCTGCATGTCTTGCCAAGGGATTGAGATTGTGGTGGTTGGTCAGTATGCAACCTCACCAGCCCAAATCCAGCTGGAAATGCCATACAGGGCACCTCGGAGGCGACACTGCTTGACCTCGTGGCTGAAGCCACGGATAAAAGCAGCAGAGTGAACAACATCGTGCTACGCGGCCTTTTGGAGAGCCCCTCCGAAGACCATACTGGCCAACCCTCCCGTTTTTCCCGGGAAAATCCCGGAAAATCAACACTCCTCCCGGGGTCCCGGGGATTTCAAGCAAACTCCCGGAAAACCAAAGTTTTGTCTGATACAGGATTTTCCTGAAAACTCCATGGTTTCTCTCCGAACGTCCCGGTTTTTAACTTTTTTCAAAGGTATGTACGGTGCTCATTCGCACTTCGAACTGTGCACAGCACTTTAACCTTTTGAGCCCGGGCCCACTGAAAACCTCTGCCACGCAGTAAAAAAATTTAAATTCACTCTATGTGAGCAAACTTGATTTCAAACGATTCTTTCATGTAACCTGAGCACAGAACTGTTTTTGTTTTGGAAATAGAACAAAGATTACAACAGTTATGACCGTTTTCAGAAAGGTAGTTTTACGCGAAATTGGTATTTTGAAATGCATGCACGCGCATGTAACTCCAGTTCAAACTTACGGAGCGACTTGCATTTTTTTACGGTACGCGTACATCCTAGGAGTCCTCTGTGCAGCGGTACAGCTCGACGCCATGCCACGGAAGAAACGCGGGATCGATGTAGTTCCGCACTGGTCACGCGTGTCACAGTGGCACTGGTCATGACGTGTCAGAACGTCACTTAAAGACCTGACCATGCAAGATCTGCACTGACAGAGTGACAGGCGGGCGCCGACTGATCAAACTGCACTACAGGGTCGATCTGTGCTGTACGCACAGCTGCAGAGTCGAACGTTTTTTGGCGGGAAAAGCTCTTTTTCACTTGTTTTTGTGCCATCCAGGGATTTTGAGAGAACTCCAGGGATTCTGCATGTCTTGCCAAGGGATTGAGATTGTGGTGGTTGGTCAGTATGGAAGACCTACCTGCCATAATCAGCACCTTGGCTCCGCAAGTTGCCCCCGGGGACATCCTGTCTGCGACGCGCATCGGTCAGTTACACAGTAACAGCACTGGTGCTGTCACGACTTCAGCTCGTCTAGTGCGAGCTGTGCTGGCTCCCACCACCAAAGCACAGCTAATGCGCCACAAAACGCAGGCCAAGCACAAAGGCGAGAACGTCTATATTCAGCACGATTTAACCCGCCAGGAACAGGCAAGACGAAAAGAGCTGGTTCCCAAGTTCCGTGCTCTGAGAAGCAAAGGCGTCAAATGCCACCTTCCACGTGATGCCATTACACTGAACGGTAGACACTTGACATCCCAGGACATTGCCCGCCTCCTGACCACACAGAGCCAATAGGAAACAGCCCGGGCATCCCCAACACCACACAAGAGATCTGCAACTGCTACGGCTACCACTACTGCACCGTCTACCAGCACGATCAGTATTGCTCATTTATCACCAGCATCAACAGCTACAACTCGAAAGCTAAGTATTGCTCATATTAATGTATGTAGTCTTTATAATAAATTGCATGAGATCAAATCACTTCTACGTGCTCATAATATTGATGTATTGACCCTCACTGAAACATGGTTGACCGACACTGTTCCTGATAACTGTATAAACATACCGAACTACACCGTGCACAGACAGGACAGGCAGACTGGGAGAGGAGGCGGTGTCTGCATGTATGTTAGAGATGAGTATGATAATCGGAGATTACACCACTCCTCAGACGTGGAAGTTCTTGCTGTGCAGATCAATGTATGCCAACAACCATTGACCATATTCGGCGTTTACCGAGCGCCAGCGGTACCTGTAAGCTTCTGGTCGATCCTCACTGACTTGATCGACGACTCGCTGAGACGTGCACCAGCCTCCACCTGCTCTATTGTTCTAGGAGATTTCAATGTGAATGTACAAGATCCTAATCATACACACTACTCTCATCTACAAACACTCTGTAGTGATTTCGACCTCCGAAATGTTGTCACCTCGCCAACCAGATATCCAAGCGGAACAACGATAGATCTAGTATTAGTACCCAACTCCACTTTCACCACACCACCTGCAGTACTCAGCGGGACTGATATTGTCTTCAGTAGCTCGACTGTAATTGCGTGTGATATTTCAGACCATAATCTGGTTCATGTTCATTTCACCGTCCATTCTGATGCTCAGCCACACCAGACGAGTAGACAAATACAGATACGTAAGCCACCAGTTCGGTCTCTGAATATCATAGATTTCCAAGAAACAGCCACTGAGAAAATGTTCAACCTGTCCCACCACGCTAGTGCCTCATCGCCAGAGTCTCTAAACACACGCATTGTACATTGGCAGACTGCAGTTCAGGGTGCACTAGACGAGCATTGCCCTGTTAAACGTGTGAATATCAAGAAAGCATACGCTCCAGCCCCATGGATGGATGATGAACTCCGCCTTCTATTGTTTAAGCGCAAACGGGCGCACCGTGCAATGCTCAGACACCCAGACCAGTCAGATCTCGTACAACAGTTTAGAGCACTTCGCAGGCAATGCAAATACCTAACTAGAAAGAAACGGTCGACATACTTCCAAGAACAACTTGTCTGCCACAGAGGCCACCCAAGAGAACAGTGGGGTATTATAAACAATCTACTTGGCAGAGCTAAAGCAAATCAGGAACCTGCTGCTAATGTCTCCGACATCACAAAGACATTTGCGAAAGTCGTGAACGATCCCTCGATTTCTGATAGTGCACCTTGCATGCCCCACGGCCCTCTACCTGAATACTCATTAGCTCAGTTTTCATCAGTCAGTGTTCCGGAAGTGCAATACTACATCCAACGCATGAAAAGCCGTAAAGCCACCGGACCAGACAATGTTCCAGTTGCTGCTTACAAGTTAATCAACGATGAGCTCGCTCCCTCACTATCCAAGTTGTTATCTGAATCTCTGACGTCTGGTGAATTCCCAGCTCCGTACAAGTGACGTCAGCCCATGTTCGCCCCATCCACAAGCGCGGTGATAGGTCGGTCTCCTCCAACTACAGACCAATATCACTGCTCCCCCATATGTCAAAGTTACTTGAGCACATAGTGCATGATCAACTCATACGCTACATCCAGAATGCACCACCCGCACTGCAACATCTCCCTGCAGAGCAATTCGCCTACCGCAGAGGCCACTCCTGCGAAGACTTGCTGACTTGTGTTACCAACGATTGGATGCTTGCCTTGGACAAGGGTGACTACGTAGTGGCTGCCTTCCTTGATATGTCAAAGGCCTTTGACACTGTCAACCACAACATGTTACTTCAAGAACTACTTGAGATTGGTATTGGCGGAGTCGCTCTGCAATGGTTTCACAGCTACCTTACAAACAGACAACAGTGCGTGGTCACTAAGACTCAACAAGGGCAACCATACACAAGCAACAGAGGCGTTCCACAAGGCTCTGTTTTAGGGCCGTTTCTATTTAACTTGTCCGTGAGGAAACTCCCCGCTGTGCCCAAACACTGCAAAGCCCGTCAATACGCAGATGATGTGTCTTTATACAGGGCGGGGAAGAATGTCCAGAACTTATGCAAAGACCTCACAGAGGACATCATCAAAGTAAAGGAATTCTTGGCAACGAGAGGTCTTATGTTGAACTCCTCGAAAACCCAGCTTGTTGTGTTCAGGCCTAAGTCGAAACCTCTTGACCCCGATGTCAACGTTCAGATTGAAGATGTCACCATCACCCCTAGTGCACACGTGAAATACCTCGGTATAGTTCTTGACGAACATCTCTCCTTTGGAGTTCACATTGCACAATTAGAACGTAAAATAGGCTGTAAGTTAGGAATGTTTAGAAAGGTCCGAGACCATTTAACGATCGATGCTAAGAGGGCTTTCTACATCTGTTCCATTCAGTCCATACTTGAGTATGGGTCTAATTCCTTTGCTCACTGCCTTTCTGCCTCCCTCCATGACCGTGTTGTCCGACTTAGTAATAGAGCGCTGCGTATTGTATTTTGCATGCCCCGCCTATCTGATGTCTCCCTTGTTCTTGCCCGCTACCATATCATTCCCTTGTCTGTCAGGTACCAATTCAAGCTGTACGTTCTAACGTACCGTGCGCTTCATGATCTGGCTAGTGTCTTTGTTGCTAACTGTTTCTGTCTCCGCTCTAATTCTACCTGCACTAGTTCTCGCACCCGCTCTCAAGTGTCCTCTTCCCTTGCTCTTCCGACAGCCAAACGTCGCTATGGTTTATTTTCTGTCACTTTCCTTGGCTCTGACCGCTGGAATGCCCTCCCAGCGGAGGTCCGCTCAAGTTCTTCCTTGCATACCTTCCGTAATTCTGTTCTTCATTTTTTAGGGTACCCTGTCAAAAGGCCTTAGGCCTGTGGGGATTGCCCTATCAAAAATTTAATAATAATAATAATAATAATAATTTATAAATAGGCGTCGAGGCGACAATAGTTTTAGAATTGCGATCAACAGAACGAGCTGAACCGACATTTCACAAAGGCTTTTATTGTTTTCAAAAAACGAGTGGATACGAAGGCAGTGAAGAACGTGGAAGAAAGAAAAAATGTGATATGGAAAAAAATGATGAACAAAAAATTTGTACTTCGAACTAGTTTTCGCACAACACTCCTCAGGAAGCTACGTTGTACTAATGAAAAACAATCCAGAAAGATACTAATAAAGAGAAATGGAGTGAGAAGAAACAACACCTATGAAAATGATAATCCTAGCACTAAGGTAATAACAGGAAAAACTGCGAAAGCAATTAACGAACTTGTAAGGACTACTAGTATACTGTGACACAAGATATGACACCATGGCCAACCAGAGCCAAACCGACAGAACAAGCTGCCACTAAAACAATTTCAAACGAATAATGCTGTCCTTCTGGACACACAGATCAGGCTTATGAATACGTTGACAAACAGCTTCTAACACACTCAACTGCAACTTATAACCATGACGAGCACGGCACAAACTTTCTGGATTGTTTTTCATTAGTACAACGTAGCTTCCTGAGGAGTGTTGTGCGAAAACTAGTTCGAAGTACAAATTTTTTGTTCATCATTTTTTTCCATATCACATTTTTTCTTTCTTCCACGTTCTTCACTGCCTTCGTATCCACTCGTTTTTTGAAAACAATAAAAGCCTTTGTGAAATGTCGGTTCAGCTCGTTCTGTTGATCGCAATTCTAAAAATAATAATAATAATAATAATAAATACGTACTTATTTACGGACTTTTACGGTAGCTCCACAAGCTACGAATAAGAATGAAGGTCGCGATAAGAGCCCAGCATTTCATTTGCTTCTATTCTACTTTTAGTACTTGTAGTCCTCAGTGGTGCTGAGGTACCAGAAGAAAATATCATACCACACCAATTCTCTCTGCACACAAACCACAAAACTACCCAATATAAGGTACACAAGCATCAGGCGCGTGCACCGTATGAGTTTTTTTGGTGTCTGGAAACCCGGCCTTTTTTCGGTCAATCTTGCCAAAGGAAAAGCGTGCTTACGCTCGTACTGGATTGGTTATTCTGCATACGCGTCGATCGACGGGCAGTTTACAGTACAGTGACTATGTCCTTATTTCGAAGTGAGAGAGAAAGTTGCTTTGCATGCAGTTCAAAATACATTATTCTCTCTTTCTTCAGTGGAGAGTAGCCACAGAGAGATCGATCCCTAGGCTAGCTCTGGTTAGCTCCTGGATTGGCGATGACGTTCAAGAAATCCGTTTTGCCTCGAAATTTGAGTCAAGCACGCGCGATGCAAGTCAGTTCAAGGATATGATTGACGATATCTCCTTCCAAACTGTTGACTCAAATCAAGATGACAGCCTTTCGTTCTCGCTCATGTGCGCAGCAGAGATGTTCGTCAAAAACGAGATGTTCGTCAAAAACGTTGTCGACTGGAAGACGTAAAAATGTGCATCCATGATCCACTTGCGCTGCTTCAGAACGAAGCGCTGCTCGGGCCGCAACTCAAGGACGCGGGGCTTCGCTTTTCTCCCGCGAGCTTCCATCGAAGTAAGGTCCATCATGTGGAACATTGCCAATACATGCCGAAAACTTCGTCATAAGAACAGAAAGAAAAATACGTCGAATGTAAGCAGTGTTTTGATGTAACAAACATGCCTGCATTGAGTGGACTAGTGAAGTACCATAGACATAGTGTTATACTTACAGACTGTAGTGTATACATGTACATGTAGCCTGGGCGGCTAGGCCTATCAAACGTTTACGGGTTTGACAAACATGTGATTGTATATGAGTGCATTGACTTTTGCACCCTCTTTGCAAATACTTTTTAAAGTACTGGTATGTAAAAGGTAACCCGTTTTATCCTGTTACTGGTTATACATGTACCAACATTTCCATGTAACATCGTCCCCTCCCTCCATTCCTCATTCCTCGTATGCCTGTCCTTTCTACCCCTGTACCTGGTGGCCTCTCAGACGCGTTGGTGTCGGCATGATCTGATCATAGCAGTCGGACGAGCGCCGCATCTCATCAGCACCAGTGTTCCCTGCACCCCTGATCTTGAGCCCCCCCCCCCCCCCCAGCCTCCTCCCTAGCCCTCGCCGTTAACTCCGACGGGATGTTCGGGCCGGGGGATGCTCATGCATATGTGCTCAAAATACATAATTATACAGTGGGTCTCCAGAAATTTTTTACCAACTCTAGAAACCCCCCTTTCAAGACTCGGTGCACGCCACTGAGCATAATGCAAGTGAGATAATGCATGTAACTTCGTTCTAAAATAGTTAGTGCATGGCAGGGAGGGCCTTTCATGGCTTGTTTGTGCCCTTCAGGTTAGCCTGAGGGCCGTAGGCCCGAGGACGTCGGGCACTAACAAGCCATAAGGCCCTCCCTGCCATGCACTAACCTATAAATAATATTCATCACGGCGATGTGAGCAGCTACCTTCTCCAACACTTCTCCATTCCATCATGGCAAGCTATACAGTTGCAGGATACCTTCATGAGTAGAATGTATTATAAATAATTTTGAAGACGCCAAGAAACCAATACAGTTTGAAGAAGCCAACCGAATATAATAATCACTGCATACGCATGTGGGCTTGCCTGGGATACCAATACCCCAGCTCCATTACACACAAGCTATTTTGGGTAAGGGCCGCAGGATAGTTGTCTGGAAATGGGAGTAAATTCTAACACACCTGTATGTAAAGTTACTTGTCGACTGCCGGCCTGGGGAAGAGCTTGACCGCTTGTTTTTCCCATGTTAGCAGTCTTCTCGGACCAGTCAGTGTGTATGCTGTGATTGCTGTGATTATGATTGCTACTTACTAGTACAGGTACATGTAACAGTATTTCGTCTTCAGTACAATCATACAGCTCATCCAAAAGGAAGGAAGGTGCACTCGGTCTATGAGCAGGGATATATGGAAAGCTGCATGCCGCAAATGTTGACACAATTATTATACTGCCAGTTGTACGGCACAATCCTGATTCCATACTCAGGGAAAGTGTAAGCATCTATTCTCCACCAACTTTCTGGAGCCAGCATCTGTGACGAGTAATGTACTGATGACGTACTCACTCAACCTGAGTAGTGATTACAGTACAGTGCATTGTACGTCTCCTCACGGTGACCAGAGGCAGTTGTTCGTCTGCATGAAGCCTCGCCACGACTGTGTGTTTATCCGTGACGATGCATGATCCAGTGCTTCAAAGTTGACCGGATGAGTCACGAATTAGTGTGTTGAAATACTGGAGTGAATCCGGATCTAGCTCTTCAAGATGATCAACCATAAGGTTGCGACGTACGTTACACCACCCATCCACCAAAGCGAGGGTCGTTCGTAAAGCTAGCACGAAAGATTCGCTTTGCTCAAAGTTTAAATCGTCCAAGCATTCAGCAAGGAGAAACAGCTTATTCGGAATGACCCGCTGGACGAGTTGGTTCAGAAACATTTTCTTTTCACCAAAATTCCATTGAAGAAATGTTCCACTAATAAAATCCAACTCCTCTCGGAATTTCTCATTCTGAAGCCATAGCTCACTTGTTGACATGGCACGAAAATGCTACGAGATACGAACAGGGGCGGGGGAGGAGGATATGTGTAAGGAGCAATTAATAATAAGTCTTTGGAACTCACACTCACACTGTTCAACAGCAGAAGACAGACTGATTGTGATGATCAAAGCTTCACAAGTATTAGTAACTAGTTTTAGTGAAGTGATTTCGAAGATTGTTTCAGCACACTTGCGGGCACATCCTCTTTGGCGCCGCCGCAGCAGTAGATCTACGCGTGAGCCGGGTACATGTCTGTACAGCTAGCTACCAGCTAGCTGGCTAGTACAGTACAACCTTACCCCGCGAAATTTGAAACCCATAAACTTCTGTTGGCGTTTGACTTGGATCTGGGGTTGTTTCTTGGCTTGGCCCGTGCTTCCACGAAAGGTGGTCAAGAAGGCTGAAACCGAAACTGAAGCAGCACCCGAATGCTGGCTACACACCAATAATTATTATTTATCGGTGTTGGATTTTGGCATCTTGCCAGCCAATAGTAGCAGCCTGTATGTCGCGTAGTGGAGTTAATTTTGTTGGAGCTTGCAGGTGACGGGATGGATATCGATTTCGGCTCGTCGTTGGACCTGCAAGATAGCAGTACTGCTGATGCTTTGTTTGGAGTTGATAAGGAAAATGACCAACCAGACGCAGGTGAAGGTGGTAGCTCGCGGAGAAGCTCCATCATTCCCAATTTTGTGAGCAATTTGGCTAAACGCGCAACTGACCGGAGAAGTTCGGCGAAATGCAGCAGCAGAACCTCGGCGGCTGCTGCTTCATCTCCAAGACGCCTGAAAAGATCACGCAGGGAAATGAGCACTACTGAGTCGCTGACGGATTGTACGTTCACATCCATCGATTCATCAGAAGCCAATCATCGAAAAAGATCGGCTTTGGATCGCGTGCAAAGTATAACATCACTACCTGGCCGCAAAGTCAATCAACCATCCGACAAGTCACCAGCCAAGAAAGCCAGAGTGCCCGTAAAGGGATACCAGCCCCCGACACCTCAAAAAGCCCGACCTAAAGTCCAACAACTGTGGTCCAATACCGTCCAAAGTGGTGATGATGCGCTTGACGAGGCCTCTGTACTGCGCCAGGAGGCAATTTACGAAATGTTCACACATGCTTCTAGTATGCTGTCAGATGCTAAGACTGTACTGGACAACTATGCCAAGCCCATGGACAAACTACGCATTCTCAGTGAGGAGGAGAGTAAGCAGCTCTTTGGTCAGTTGTACAAGTTCCCTGATGTCCACCAGTGCATAGTGGACCAGATGGCTAGGCAGAGAGACACGGCAACGGGAAAGACGGAATGCATTGGTAAGACGCTCACGGAGACGTTACCCAGGTTAAAAGTCCTCATCCCTTTCTGCTCCAAACTGCAGCTTGCGAGAGATGTGTACGATGCTAAGCTCCAGGACCAGTCAGTCAAGGACTTCCTGGACCGATGTCGGACATGCGCGTTCAGTAACCGGCGCAGTCTGTGGGATTTGCTCGACTCTCAGCGTAGCAGTTTGATCAAATACCCGTTGCTGCTGAAACAGCTGATAAAAGTGACACCGAAGGACCACAGTGATCTGGATGATCTGCGCGATGTACTCAAGATCATGCAGGACCTAGCAGCTGAGATGGATCAGAAGACTGGTGAAGTGAAGTGCCAGCAAGCACTATCACGCTTACAGTACACAGGCACAACACGCTGTCCAATCGTCGATGCTTCTCGCCAGCTGCTCTGCAGCGGTCCTCTGAAGCTTACAGTGCGCAATAGCATGGTAGAGGTAAGCAGTGTGCGTGCGTGTGTGTGCGCGTGTGTGTGTGTGTGTGTATGCGTGTGTGTGTGTGCGTGTGTGCATGTGCATGGTAGTGTTATGATTGGGACTGAAACATTTTAAAATAGATCACTAGTAGCTTATCTTCTCGGTTTCAGAAGCGTACAGGGGTATGAACTACAGCTCTCTCCTGGAGGCAAAGCGTCAAATTCCAATTTGTATTTGTACCCTACTTCTATGCACAAAAGTACATGTGCACATGTGGATGATGTGCTAAATTTAAGTAAATTATAAACGAAAAACAACTTCTCAATGTCAGCCAGCACCAGGCAATTTATCACATAATCCACCAGTTGACACACAGGCATCAATATGTTCGTTTGATGACAGAGTAACTTTTTACCCGCATCTGGCAGAGTGATGTTCTGATCTACGTTACGGGAACGCGACGACGTGAAGAATCACGGGAACACTCTTCGTAAAGGAAACCTGTTCTGCTCTACATTCACGTAAAGAAATCACGTGGAATGTCTACTGGGAATTTCCTGTTCCAAATTTGGCAGTTTTCTGCCTGATTTGAATGATACCAAGCAGATCCGTACGCATTTCTCTTTGCGTATGCCACAACGTAGAGAACCTCATCCCCGCGTAGAAAATTGGACACCAAACACGCGAAGCCGTAGACCCTAACCCAGACACCTGTTCTCTACGTGATTTCTCTACGTTTCACGTATAGCGGAACCTCACTACTGTCCATGCCGTACCAGGGCACACGAAAAGTGGATATAGACTAGCCTCTGTACCCATGAAGGGCCCTGTGCATTTTATGGTCAGGTGTACACATATACTATGCCTATATACATGAGCGAAAATGACCTCTTGATTCTTCCAAAAACAGCGATTTTTGTTGTGTGTTTGTGTACTGTATGAAAATGGATATTAAGCTGTGTTCATAACTGGCACGTGTACGCGTGGTTTGTGCGTATTTTTGCTGGCTTTTGGAGCGTCATGCATCAGGAAACGTGTCGAAATGGAAATTCCCACACGTTGCAATTTTCAGCACGTATCAGGCGCGTGCCGGCGTACATGCCAGTCACGTTGACTGGCGGGATCAAAGGCGTGGCACGCCCCAAAGTACGACTCGAACGGCAGTTCTCTGTGAAAGCCTGAACGCGTGTTTGAGCAGGTGTGAACCGCAAGCATACCGCTCACATGCCCCCGTTATGAACACAGCTTAACAAATCACAAGTACAATATTACATATGGAAAAAAGGACCAAGGCACTAAAAGTTACACTCTAATAGTATAATAGTAGAATGTCCACTAACACCACCAGTTACTTTAAACCAATCAGCTCATGCCATAACAATACACCCCCTCATATTATTACTATGCCTTCCAACCTTCCAAATTGGAAGGCTGTTGGAGTGCGCATCCAAGACGGGCTAGAGCTGATTGGCAGTTAGTTGTAGAATGTCAGTACCGTTTGGTCAGTGTTGTGCAATGTTATCACATGAGCTGATTTGTCAAGTAACTGCTGGTCTTACTCTTAGTGGACATTATAGCGTAACTTGTACTTGTAGTGCCTTACAGTGCATTTGAAAACTATAGACGCGTAGGGTTTTTGAAATATTTCAAATTTGGCTGGAACTATTTGAGAATAGTTTTCGGAATATTGCTCAGGACCGCTCCACAATTGTTCTCATATAGTTTCTAAACAATTGGATAACAGACGCCCAATTTGGAAAATCTTATGCACAAAGTGATCACAGATTTTATGTGGTATAGATGCTGGCATAACGGTTTTTGCGTAGGTACGCGTCTATAGTTTTGAAATGGACCGTAGTCCCTTTTTTTGCTACTTGAAGTATATTAATCCTTGGCTCTCCATCCGAGTCCACCATATTTCGGGAATACTCGGTACATCATCTGGCTACGAACTGATATCCAGGCAAGTACAGTGTAGTAACGTGTGACATTGTAGTTAGTGAGGAGACATGGACGGTGTCAGTTTACACGTGAGGGGAAAAGAAGGAAAGGGACGTGACAGTCAAGTTACAGGGACGGCAGGCAGGGCCCCGGTTGCGGCAGGCAGGTGCTGGTGACGGCCGGCGGGTGACTATGTCACACCAGTATAGCGCGAGAGGTAGAATTTATTCTGGTGTCGACATTTTGATACCAAAGAAGAATCGAGAGAGGAAGAGACATAATCTGATACAACCCGCCATTTAGCATATTCGTGTCTAGTAGCATCGACCAGATGTTCCTGAAGCTGGTCCGAAAGCACTTCCTGGCATCGTTACCCCTTAGTAAAAATTTCAACAAACACGCTGAAGGTCAGCTATTCGTGCATGCCCTATATAGCCTGCCTGGTCCAGGTGACCAACAGAAGGTGCTAGCCCAGGCCAACGTACAGAAATCAGCAGTGGAATGCAACTGCCGAGTCAAATCTTCTTGCCCTCTGGACGGCCGATGTTCACAGGAGTGCGCGGTCTACCAAGCAGCCGTCACAACTCGGAGCTCAGGCGGGGAGAGGCGGTACTTCGGGCTTTATGAGAAAACGTTCAAGACGCGCCATGGCAACCACCTGATGCCTACGAGGCACGAAAGGTATTGCCAAAGTCAAAGCACGAGGCTATCAAAGCACTTGTGGGCACTGCAGGACCAGTGTGAAGAGTACGACATTGGATAGTCTATCGTCGACAGAGCAGAGACGTACAGCAACATAACAAAAACAGGCGTGACCTGTGCTTAGCTGAAAAGGTGAAGATTATCTGCGCTGATGCATCCACGCTTCTAAACAAAGAATCAGAATTGGTATCAAAATGTTGCAACCAACATAAATTCTACCTCTCGCGCTACACTGGTGTGACTTAGTTCACCTTGCCTGCCGTCTCCAGGATCTGCCTGCCGTCCCTGTAACTTGACTGTCACGTCCCTTTCACTCTTTTCCCCTCACATGTAAGCTGACACCGTCCATGTCTCACTAACTCCAATCAGTTATATTTTACTTTTTTCAAAGCCAACCTTTTTTTCTTGGAAGGCGAATATGGAAGGAAAGCAGCAAAGGAGGAAAGGAAATAAATGGCAGGAAGAAAAATCGCACAAATGGTAGCAAGTGAGCAATTAAATGGCAAGAACACCTGCTTCCGCAACCACTAGCTCAACACCTGCTTCCGCAACCACTAGCTCAACACCTGCTTCCGCAACCACTAGCTCAGCAGGAACAGCAGGTGCTGCAGGAGTGAAAATGCTCCTTGCTCCACACAAACACATAGTACAGGATCTCAGCAAAGCAAAGCTTAGACGGCAGCGGATATGCGCGATGACGGCGCTGTAACGCTCAGTGAACTTGGCAGAGAGTAGGCAAGCAATGCGCTTATACAGGGCAGAGGCGCATTTGCTCATTCCTCCGCTTGTGGAGAACACCGCGGGGACAAAAGGAGCATGCCCGGCGTGCTGGATGCGCTGCTCGTACGTCCGCTTCTTCTCCTTCTCGTGCTTGGCATAGCAGGCAGCAAGTGGTTTGGACCGATTTGAAGACGCATAAGGGTTAAACACCCGTACATCAATAAAGGTGCGTTGGAATTGACCTCCCGAAATGCCGCTCGCGGCCACGTCAAGCCGGGCCTGGTCATCCACGATGGCTGTGAGATACCGGAGGTGCTCACCTCACAGGGGTTGCAGATGAGGTTCAATGGACACTTGTTGGGCTACTTGCTTGAGCAGCCTAGCGGTAATGCCGTGGACCTCGTTGCGCCTGATGGTGGGAAATCCTCCAAGGGGGCACGACAGAGCATGTTGCACAGTGAAAGTGCTTTCGCACTGGCAGGACGTTGGCAGCCGTTGCGGGAGCCAACCATAGCGTAGGCAGATGGCATCGCGAAACTCACCCTTGGTGAGAGTGAAGCCATGGCGACGGAGAGGTAGGTAGGTCAGCCAGTTAGATGAGCCTTTCTCAGAAGATAGCTCAACGGACCGCTGAAGATCCGGCTCGACAGACACAGAGAAAGCGAGGGGACGGGCCCTAGTGGCATCGCGGGCACTGGATCTGACGCGCCTCTTGGCTTGGTAGATCTGCGCGACAGCATTGCCAAGCCTGCGATCTTGCCTCAGGATGCGGTGGATGATAGCATAGGACACGCTGACGGAGGACCCATACTGTGAGGCAATGGAGGACGGGGCAGTGAGGCCGAGATCACCATGACGGCAGTCACATTTTACTACTTGCCTGGATATCAGTTTGTAGCCAGATGATGTACAGATCAATCCAATTGAAATATGGTAGACTAGGGTGGAGAGCCCAGGATTAATTTATAGCGAAAAACGACCAGGGCACTACACGTTACGCTATAATATCCGCTAACAGGAACACCACCAATCAGCTCATGCGATAACATTGCACGACACTGACTAACGGTACTGACTTTCCACAACTAACTGCCAATCAGATCTAGCCTGTCTTGGATGCGCACTCCAACAGCCTTCCAATGTTCGAAGGTATACTAATAGTAATAACATAGGAGGGGAATGTGCAATGTTATCGCATGCGCTGATTGTCAAGTAACTGATGGTGTTAGTGGACAGTATAGCGTAACATGTAGTGCCTTGTCCTTTTATACGATTACAAAATAACTAAGCATGGCACTTGTGATTTGTTAGTCTGTGTTCACAACGGGCGCGTGTACGCGGTACGCTTGCGGTTCATGCGGGCCCAAATGCACGTCCAGGCTTTCACAGAAAACTGCAGCTCGAGTGGTATTTTAGAGGGTGCGCGACACCTTCAAGAACTTTTTTTGGCATATACGCCAGTGTGCGTACTATGCGCGCTGAAAATACATGTTGGAATTCCATTTCGACACCTTTCCACTCGCATGACGCCCAAAAGCCAGCAAAAATACTCACGAATGCGTGGTTTGAACTGGTTTCACGCGTACACGCGCCAGATGTGAGCTCACCTTTACTAGCTTTTTCTGGTGTTTTCTGGTGTGTACGTTGTCCCCAGTCACTACAAACCATATTTGATAGGCCTGACATCAGGTGGTGTCATGAATGAAGCCTTTTTCTTATTGTCTCTGTGTACAATCACTTATATCTACAGTTAAACCTGGTGTAAGCGACCACCTACTTTTAACGACCGTTTTCCATGCATGGACAGTTCTACACAGAAACTGCACCGGATACCGTGACCACCTGCCTTGCGCGACCAGCGACCGACTTTTAGTGTACCAAGTGCCACTTTGGACCTGCACACAGCGACCAAAAGTGCCATGTTGGCTGGCAGGGTTGAAGTGCGCTCTGAAGCAAATGCATGCAGTCAACAGAAGTGACCAAGGTGACAGTGCAGGATGCGCTGCATGCGATCCAGTGAGGTGTGCTTTGCCTGCAGGAAAGTATTCTATGCTCCGCACCTGGCAACATGAGTACAGTAAAACCTGTAATGGCGACCACTTTTCCTTGTCACGGACGCATTCACATTCAAAACACCTCGGATAAGGCGACCACTCGCTCAACGCGACCGACGACCACCCACCCGTGACCGCGTTGCACAGTGCTAGTCATGTAAATGTATGCATTGCATGGTGCACCAGGCATGGTAGATCTACACATCAGTGCAGGAAGTGTAGATGTACATCACTACAGTCATGGTGCATGCACGACATTGACAGGTCTGAGGACCCGAGGCACATGAATCGTGCTAGAGTAGCATAGGTGTGTGCACTGTGATGCACTGATCAAAATGATGTATCACATGTGGATATGGTCACGTGACCCACTGAACCTGGATAAGAAGACTACTGTAAATATACAAATTGTCGGCAGCTATTTAATTTCGGCTATATTCGGCACCGACCCAAAACGCCTAAATTAAAACGCCGATGAAATTTTTCACAGCATCTGTCGCACTATACCATGCCCTCTATCCCACGCCGAAAATAAATCGCCGCCGAAATGTGAAAAATCGTGAAGTGCCGAAATTTTGTACATTTACAGTACCTGGCCAAGGCGACCACTTTTTCTTGTCCCTTGAGGGGTCTAAGGCGACCCCTCAAGGAACGAGAAAAAGTGGTCGCCTTGGCCCGGTGTTTTTCTTATCCAGGTTCAGTGTCACGTGACTATATTCACAATACATGATATGACAATCATATCATTTTAATCAGTGTATCACACTGGACACACCTATGCTACTATGCATGACTCATGAGTCATGTGCCTGGGGCCTCAGACCTGCCGAGTATCCTGGATGCACCATGTGCATCTGCGTTTCCTGAGCTGATGTGCATGGTGCACAGTGCAATGCATAGTGCATGTAAATGTACATGTAGCAGTGTGCAAAGCGGTCACGGGGTGGTCGTTGGTCGAGTTGAGCGAGTGGTCACCTTACCCGAGCTGTTTTGAATGTGAATGCGTCCGTGACAAGGAAAAGTGGTCGCCATGGTCGAGTGGTCGCCATTACAGGTTTTGTTGTACATGGAAGTACATATGTGCACAAGTATGTGCACAATCCGACATGCCACGAATGTATGGGACCTGCTTCTAAAGACCACCTGGCTTTAACGACCGCTTTTGCTTGTGCCGTGGGGTGGCCGCTTAAACCAAGTTTTACTGTAAGATGTTGTAACGTGGGTTGTAACGTGGGTTCATGTCTGTTTGTGATTCACAGGTGTTTCTATTTGATCGTGCACTGGTTGTGGCCCGCAAACAGAATCGCACTGGGCCAGAACCTGGCTATCATGTATTGTACAACCCGATCTACACATACAGCATGCGACTGGATGATAACCCCATCATCAAGGAGCCCATCAATGGATCGTTCCGCAGCTTGAGGAGCTCGCACCACTCAGATCCAACGAATGTGTTTAGAGTCGAGCGGACATCCACTCCTGGAATGTTCTTTGCTAAGGACCGCGCAACCGTCACATTCACTGCTCTGAATTCGCACGACGCCAAGGCATGGACGCAGGCTATTAGCGAGGCTATCACTGCGTCTTTTGATCGAAGTGCACCCCCACCCAAACCTGTCACCAGGCCAGAAAGTAAGAAGTTGTGCAAATCAACGAGCGCTGTGTCACTTCCAACTGTTATCAACAAAGACGGTTACGAGCCACCAGTCACCAGGAATCTAAGCCGGCGCTCACTCAAATGATACCCGTCCAGGGGCAGTGGCTGCGCGTAGCTGTTTTCCGTCAGCAGGGATGCTTGCGTAACTGCGCAAGGCTTTGTCGCCCCTACTCTCCCTTTAGAAACCGTCGTGTGCATACCCGCTATGACTTCGGTTTGAGGCTTTGCTAGGTCATGGTGCACTGGCAAAGTCTTTTAAAAGTTCATGTGTGAACAGAACATGGAGTCCCTTCCCGCGCATAGCCGGAGCAGAGACAGACATCTAGCTTCAGATACTTGTTCCTTGCTTAGCAATGTACGAGTCAAGCATGCCTGTACTACGGTATAGCCTCCAACTCAACTTCACCATGACAATCCAGTTAGTGTACTACTGTCGAAGTGGTCCTTGAGTGTCATGTTCTCTGCACTTTTACGGTGATATCCGCCTGACTGGCGGTTAATGTATGTGTGATGATGCAAGCTGATGGGTAGCGTGGGTATCACCACCACCACCATCGCCACTGTAACTGCTCTACCAGTGCTTGCAGTACGTCGTCATTGCTTGGCTTGGGTGTGCTGGACATGCTTTCATTTGGCAGCAATCTCTGTATGATCGTGTCGCTCTTTGCATAGCTTTATAACACCTGATCCCCCATTGTAGTGTGTGTGGATATCCCTTGCCCTGCTTCACACCGGTGCACCAACATGTCAGTGAATAACAATCTCTTCGTCAACTTATCGCCTTCTGTCTACTCCTATTAGTGTGTGTTGTACAGTGTAGTGGTTTCCTGGTGGGTCGCGTGCCTGCCAGTTTCCCTTGCATGGCGGTGCGCACTGTGCATTGTTCACGTGAAGTAATCCAATTGTTGACCCATGATGCTACTATATTCAATCATGGACACCACTTCCCCTGAGCATGAAACTAGCTGGCACACCATTATGACTGTCAATATTCATTATTCGAATAACATCACGAGTGAATTTTTTTATTCTTGATCTTCTCGCATGCTAACATCATCGTTGCCCCTGTACATGTATTGTTGGTAGACTTACACCGCGGTACCGCTCTGTAGCATTGCTACGTGCTGGCCTTACACCGCTCTGTAGCATTGCTACGTGCTGGCCTTACACCGCTCTGTAGCATTGCTACGTGCTGGCCTGCTCTACTACTAACTTACAATACTACTACTACAATTCTTTTTGTAGTACTCTGTGCTGTGCTGTCTGTGTTTGAATGACCCGGTGGCGTTCATACTGTCCTTGCCGTTATTCCATCACTCATTTTCCGCCCGTTGATGTCTGCGCGTGTGTGTGTGTGCGCGCGCGGCCCTAGGAGCATCTTGACAAAGCAGCAGCTAGCAGTTGTCAGTTCTTTAGTTGTGGATTCAATGATGTGATACTGGTACAGTGAAACCTGTCTATATTTGTAAGGCGACCACTCAAGGGACGAGAAAAAGTGGTCGCCGTAGCCAGGTGTTCTTCTTATCCAGGTTCAGTGGGTCACGTGACCATATACACGTCATAATACATGTGATCAAGATTGGTTATGTACTCTTGATGTGATCAAGAGTACATAACCACCTCTTGATGTGATGTATCATTTTGATCAGTATATCACACTGCATACACCGATGATACTCTAGCACGACTCATGTGCCTGGGGTCCTCACTGACTCCTCAGACCTATCAGTGTCAAGCATGCACCATTGTACATCTACACTTCTTGCGCTGATGTGTAGATCTACCATGCATGGTGCACCATGCAACGCGTACATGTACTAGCAGGGTGCAACGCGGTCGTGGGTCATGTTCAGCGAGTGGTCGCCTTATCCGAGCTGTTTTGAATGTGAATGCGTCCGTGACAAGGAAAAGTGGTCGCCGTGGTCGCCATGGTCGAGTGGTCGCCATAACAGGTTTTACTGTAATTCTATTTTGACTATTAAATATACCGGTACTGTCACTCAAGCTTGCTTTGCATCAAATTTGAAAGTGTGAACTTCCAGGTTACTGCAGTAGCATGCTGAGGAATGTCAATGTGTGGAATCAAGTAAGAGGCAAGTGTGCAACATGTGTGCATGTTTGTCAAACCGGATAAGTCACTGTTGAGGAATAGGAATGCATGAAATGGAACAAGCGGAAGCAAATACATGCCAGCAATAGTACTAGCGCAAACGGGCAAGCTACAGCAGAACTGCACATCCTTCAATCTATCCATGCCATCCATGTCTGTCAATCCAGCCACCAAGGTATTACCGTAATGCTTCAAAGTAATAATCAACATTGGACCAGGTTGGCGCATGATGGATATTATGATTGTGTATCATGTGTCCACTGTCCAGTATAGCGTGAATGTGCTGTACACTACTCAAACGTCATTGGAGTCATCTTCGGTTTTCGGCTTGTCAGACATCACAAACTCTATGCGTCCACCACTACTGCTGCCGGATATGTCTGAAGGGAACCCATCATGGGCAAGAACAAGATTTGTGACATCAGTTTTTAATGATAGCTTGCATGCCGTCCTACCGGTAGGACCCAAGAAATCGTGCTGCAAAAGTGCTTTTGGTTGAGAAATTTCTTGAAACAATTGTTGAGATGAGGTCTTTGTCAGGCAAAGTAATGGCGCAAAATGCAAGACTATGTCCAGTGCATTGCATACGCGCAATTTTATCAATTGTCAAAATGGCCGCACATACTCCTGTCGGAGCGCTAGCAACTCTGTCCAAAGTGAATTTTGACCTTGGCACATCAATCGTGGTGAGGTACTTATGTTTCTATTAGTCTGCCAAGGCAGTGGAATGCATAATTCCATACACCGTTTCCATGGTTACCATTTGCTGTTACCATGGAATTTCGTACTATGCCTTGTGCGATCACGTCTAAAATTTGTGGACTCCTTCATTAGCCCCTGAGCAACAGTTTAGGGTCAAGTTTTAGGTCAATGTTAGAACAGAGGCCATGCAGCATGTCTGTGTATGATGGTCCTACCGGTAGGACCGAGGTCTATGCAAGCTATCATTAAAGCATCCAGATGTCAAAATGATGCACTACAAGTAAGCGAAGAATTACCAATACCCTGCTTCCACGCACAAAAGGACACATGCTTCAATCTGAACATACGTAAGCATGCATTCTGTATATAAGTGCAGTTGCTTACATCTGATTAATTTCAGCTAATGCTAGGTAGTTCATTACATTCATCAGTTGGCACATTGACGTCGATATGTACAATTGATGCCAGAATCACTTTTTACTTCTCGCCCAAATGTGGAAGGGAATTCCCATGCAGACCACACTGGCAAACATGAAAGTGCATGTAGACTGGCCTCTGCACCCATAAAGGACCATTTCGCATTTATGGCCCATTGCACACCCGCACTTGCGTACATACGCGAGCAAAATTGACCCCTCGATTCTGCCGAAAGCAACTTTTCGCAAAAGAAAAAGCACGTGGAGTTTTGGGCACGAAGTATGGTACATTGCCCTGACAGGCAAATGTTGCACACTCTGGAAAGTCTGGTTTATGTACTCTTATTTTTGCTGGTACCTTCATCACTGCTCTACAATGCTGGTACCTTCATCACTGCTCTACAATGCTGGTACCTTCATCACTGCTCTACAATGCTGGTACCTTCATCACTGCTCTACAATGCTGATATGTGACTACAAGTAAGTGTAATCGATTATGTGGGAATTGTGACCTATAGCAGAAGGCCTTCTCAGATGAGAGCGCAACGGTGGTGGCGGTGGTGGTGTAGTCAATGTACGCAGAACTGTGACCTCACCAGCTATGTAAGCTTCAACACTACCAGACTCAGAGCCCTCCACATTGAGGACGCTACAGGGATATAGAGGGTGCATGATGCAAGAACAAGCACTCCACAGCCACTAGCAATCCACAGCCACTAGCAATCCACAGCCACTAGCAAGTGCTTTTAATGTTTTAAAGTACAGTCAACCTTGCGAATAACGACCCGGCTCGGCCGTGTGTGAACAAAAGTGTCGGTGTTCGTGAGTTGTCGATATTCAGGAGGTTGAAGGAGATATTCAGGGGAGGTTGAAACTTGAATGTATGCAGTCAAAACGGTCACTACATCCAAAGATTATGTCATTCGCGGGTTGCTGCTACATTGTATACTCAATGTCCTTATTCACGAGGTAGACTGTACCAACAACAAAAAACGGAAACCTCAGCCTTCATGCAGTACACAAGTGAGAGCAAAGTTAGCAAACCCACCTTCATGCTTTAGGAATGGCCCGACGTTCGACGATGACACATACACATTCTCTTTGCTGTTGTTATGGGCAACGATGGTTACAGTATCTGAAAATAAAAAAAGTCATGATGCTCCTTTACAGACACAATCAGCGTAGTATTGTGATGCTCCTTTACAGACACAATCAGCGTAGTATTGTGATGCTCCTTTACAGACACAATCAGCGTAGTATTGTGATGCTCCTTTACAGACACAATCAGCGTAGTATTGTGATGCTCACTACTAGTACATGTATCCCCCACACCCACCCACCTGAGAAATCTTCCCCCAATACAAAGCCACTAAGCCGCTAATAAAGTCTTTTAGTAGATGGCGGACAGTTGCGTGAATTTGCAAGGCATCACGTCTCCCATGCCCACACAGCACGTATATGCACCCTGTTCAGAAAACACAGCTTATCGATTTATAGTTACGCCAATGTTTTCCTCCAAACATCGGAAACCGTGGAGACCATACAGTACGTCTATTCTTTTAGAAACAGGCTACAGTTGTATAACCAAGAGTACATGAAAACCAGAGTGTGCAGCTCGGATGGGTTGCTGTCACGGCGGAATTCCGTGATTACATCATTTTAGTGATGTAGTGTGTACAAGCAGGATTCAAGCAGGTCTCTTTCTGCACAACTGCAGCTCAGTTGTACGCACTACGCCATTTCCCGCCTCAGATCTGCGCCAAATATGATGTAATCACGGAATTCCGCCGTGACAGACACCCATAGCAGAAAAGGCCCCAAGCTGCACACTCTGGTTTTCATGTACTCTTGGTATAACTTACTTGAGTTGTCAAGGGTGATGGTAGCCATGGTGATGGATGGACTGCCAACAATGTACTGTGTGGTGCCAGTCAGTGGGTAAATGCCCAGCATACTCCACACACACCATGCACTCAACGTACCTGCAGAAGTCATACAGTAGGCAGTGCAGGCATGTCCAATGGATCTCACGCACACCATGCGGCTCGGTCACTGGGTGAAGGGTTTCATTGTGATCACTGATAATTCTAAACATATCGTAACACTGACACACATGTATTCATGCCACACTGGAATCACAATCTCGACTGCCCATCAAGACCAGATGAGCCGTTCAGCTGATATTAGGAACGAAGCATGGACATCTGCATGACAGTAGTGACGGGCATGCAGTACTGGAAATTGCGCAGTCACAGTAAAGTGTGTAGAGGTGTGTGTGTACGTGTGTGTGTGTGTGTGTGTGTGTGTACGTGTGTGTGTGTGTGTGCGCGCGCGCGCGTGTGTGTGTGTGAGAGAGAGACAAACAGACCGACAGACAAAGATCAGAGGGGGGGGGGGGGCTTACCGTAATCATCATTGCCAGGCAACCCATCCGCTTCTAATGTGTATTGGTGGTCTACAAGCCAGCGGACGTGCTGCTTATTTAAACAAGGAGCACATCAGAGTGCACGTTCAGACGCATGTGTGCATGCAAAAGCATCAACACACATATACATACATGTGTGGACACAAATGCACTTGCACTACAGCGCACAACTCACGCAGGAGAACAGCTTTCTCGCTAGTTTTTGCCCAAAACCATCCCCCCAACATGTCAATAGCAGTTTCAATACCATGCATGCAGCATCATGGTGACAAACAGGCTGTGAACATACTTTCCCTGAATGAATAAGAAGTTTAGGTGACGTGCAGACATTTCAGCCGGGTATCCTACCCACTACTTCAAAGTAGTATCTAATACTCACTAGACAATTGTCACATGACCACATTCTATGTATTGCCACTGTAACAGATGATTGTGTATTAGTTTAAAAATGTTTTGCAAACCGATGTAGAGTATTGTCGTAAACATTGCCTCATACCCAGCCGTAGCCCGATTACCTTCTGTGTCAGATACTCGGACCCGGCAGCGTAATTGAATAGGTATGGCGCTAGAATGTCTGGCTCGTTTCCAGCCCTACATGGTGATAAGATATGTGTAGTGCAGCACACAGGGGAACAGGTACAGCAAAGTGTTTTGCAATTGACCCATATAGACAACAGAATGTACCTAGGGCACTCGGTATTGGGTGCCATGCTCCGTAATCTCATGACTTATACAAATATGATGTTAAACAACCTTTTTGAATTGCCTGTTAACTCCAACGCAACCACTTACACAGTCATAACTCTCCACTTCTTCAACTCCCAACCGATCTCTTAACTGCAATAATACTCAGTCCACCATGACTGATGACGAGTAAGACTCAACATTTGGTGAATGTTGTTAACTTTATTTGCGGTGAAGAGACCGTTTGGAAGTTGGAGAAATGGAGTTATACATGAATGTAACAGCATGCAAAGCAGCCCCCCCCCCCTTCCCCCATACCACTTCCCAGCAGGACACATTAGCTAACAATCACTCGTGCTTACCAGTAGTACGGATTGGGCAAAAGGTTTGATGGATGGCGATGCGAGCCTTCCATGAATCCATCCAGGGCTTTGGAAAACTCACTTGAACCACCAAACAATTGAACAAGACCTGGCACATCATGTGGTACAAACCACCGCCACTGAGCCGCATTACCTGCAAGAGAAAAGAATAGGGTGTTGTCACTGTTGTGAATTGTCCCAGTTGTTGAATGGATAAATCATAACTTGATACTTCAAGTACATTGTACAACCATTGCCATCATATTGTAGATATTGGTATGCTATACGGTCACTTCCATGGTAAGTCGCCCTGTGCATAGCCTCGGCTGCGTCACTCTGATCACTCGCATACAATCAGCACCTTCCTACTGACCAGCCGCCAACATCACATTTAGCCCAAAGGGCTTCATGCTCAAGGACAATCTCCACCATGACAGTATCCTTTCTCAGTTGCCTTTCAAAACAGTCATGGTGCAATGACTCCAGTAGCACCACCATTGATGGTATTGAGCACAGTCTCCACGGTACAGCCACCGTATGTCAAGTTATGTGACCACTGCCATCAGTTGTCTCTGCTCCCTCCTGCATCCCGGCTTTGCTTCATAACTTATTGTCAGGGTTGTGTTTGATGCAACTCTCTGTAATTAGTAACTTAGTACTGTACTTACAACATTGTGTGAACACTTTGGCGAGCACTACAGCAATACCGTGCGCTGTATGTAGCTTAGATGCGCGTCTAATGCAACGCATCCAGTGTGCTAGATGATGTCATGTGCGGAGCATGCCCTAGCTCAGTTATCGAAAAGGTAGCCCGGCATGACCATGCAGGAAACTTAGTAACTAATTACTTACCACTACTGGTAACTATGGTGACCAAGTCTCCCCCCCCCCCCTCATCCCGGTTACCGCTAGCTCCATACCATTAACTCTGGCCCATACCAGTGTGGCTGTGGTACACATTGTACCGGCCATGTACTGTACAATGTACTTCAGGTTGTGCAGTGTCTACCACACAGAGTATTACATATCACATGCTTGTCATCCGCTAAATCTCAGTTACTCTGCCATACTCTTGCAGTACATGAGAAATCAGGCTTTAATCGATACATGTACATGTAGAGGCCCAGGAGCTAGCCATGCTTCTCACCTTCTGTGAAGTCGGTTGACTCAAGAACCCACTCATTCAGCTCAGGATCAAGCGGGCAGTGGAATTCACCGGCACCGTCCCGTCCGCACATCAACTTACGTCCTGCATCCCAGAGGTTCCTGTAGTTCTTGGAGTGGTTGCGGAACAGCTCAGCATCAGCCGTCAGGCCAAGAATGCTGGCAAATTCGGAGATTGCCCTGCAGTGGTAAGGGAAGAACCCGAGGAACTCATTTAGATTCAATAGAGTAAGTCATGAGCAATGCGGCGTCTCCAACTTGAGCAAGCAAGTTCCAAGAATGTGTAAAACGGTTCAAAACCTCATACTGACTAGACCAGGCTGTACACAGTACAGTACTCACATTATACTGTTATCACATCAACGAGAAGGCTAAGAATCACAGTGAGATTGTCATTCTAGAGTATCTGAACATGTGATGTAAACAACTCGGCGACGATTTCGGACCAGGCCACGTTGCAATAGGGTTTCTCAAGGACGCAGGATGTTCACACTCTCCTCAGTGATCCTTACACTCAGGGAGTAGTGAAATACTACTCCCTGCTTACACTAGTCATTGATCACGGTGGAGCCGGCATCGGCATCATGCCGAGTAGTACACAGTCATGCCCGAGTGGTGGACATGTACAGTGCATGCAGTAGTACTCAGTGGTGGTGGACATGACATGAACAGCATACGCATCTCCTTACCAATCATCATAGGCATAAGCTAGTGTTTTGCTGACTGAACTGTTCTTATGTCCACCTATGCAGTAACCGCGTGTCACATAGTTGTACAAGTCATCTCGGCCGTTGTGAGGACGCACTGATGTTGCCTATATGATCAGATACACAGACCAGCATTGTGTGGTTGATGTGAAGTATGGCCGCTGTACCCTGCACACTTTACCCTGTACTGTATCCTGCACCCTGCACACTACCCTGCACCCTGTACTCTGGACCCTGCACCCTACACACTGTACCATGTACCTGTACCCTGCACTCTGCATACTATACCCTACACTCAGCACCCTGTAGCCTGTATCTTGCACCCTGCACAATACCCTGCACACTATACCATGCACCCTGCACACTGTACCATGTACCCTGCACCCGTACCCTGTACCCTGCACCCGTACCCTGTACCTGTACCCTGTACCCTGCACCCGTACCCTGTACCCTGAACCCTGTATCCCGCACCCTGCACACTGTACCCTGCACTCTGATGGGCCCTGGACTCTGCACCCTGTACCCTAGTACCCTGTACCCTGCGCCCTACACCCTGCGCATTGTACCATGTACCCTGCACCCTGTACCCTGTATCCTGCACACTATCCTGCACCCTGTACCCTGCACCTGAACCTTGCACCCTGCACCCTGCACCCTGCATACTGCACCCAGCACCCAGCACACTGCACACCCTACACATACGAGTACTGTACCTCTAGCTTCATGGTGGCATAGACCTTGCCCACATCAATGTGACTGTAGTTCTTGACCAATCCATCTAGCAGTATCTGAAACCCATGGTTACCAATCATGCAGCCTGCATACACTGAAGAAGAGAAGGTCAGAGAAGAAAAGACCAAGCAAAAAACAATACTGACTCGGTGCCTTCTTTCACAGATGCACACATAAGCTTCATTGTCCATGCATCCGATGATCACATGTCACTGATGGTTTACAGCACGGTATGCCATAGGAAAGTCAACTTGGACAAGGTGGCCGTTATGCTATGACACTTGCTCACCATTAGCAATTGGCCATCGGGGCAAGTCTCCACCTTGTGCCATCATGTTCACCATGGATGCCATGATGTCTTTGAAGACCTGAGGCTGTAGCCATGCCAACAGTGATGCCTGGGTGCGATGGATGTCCCAGATAGACATATCACTGTACATGGCGTCCTGACCGGCTTCCAGACTATGTACCTGACCATCCACACCAAGATACACTCCACCAGCCTGCACAGCACAAGTTGTTTGAAAAATGAAGAAATCCTGTAATACATCATGGTGTACATGTAGTCCTGCATAGACTCAAGAGCTCAGGCAACACCTACACATATCAGGTCGGTAGTACTCGGTGGAGACTAGGAAAGTTGAGTATGTAACACAGTGCAGCTGTAGAAGATGTACACGATTGTAGGTGTATCAAGCTTGCTGCCTTGTGCCGTCAAATGGTGTGTGGGTGTGTTTTTTTGTAAAAAATAAATAAAAAAGCATGTGCAATTGTTGCCAGTGCAACTGTAAGTGTTCGTTCTGTGCTAGTGGCAGATATCACAACTTGTGACCTAGATCCTCTAGTGGACTGACCTCAGCATAGTTAGTAGGTGCCATGAACGAATGGTACAGCGCCGTGTAGAACTTTGCTTCGTTAGCTGAGTCTCTTCCAGTCACATTAACCTGCAAGAGGCAGAGTAGAGGCAAGACTGACACACTTTGTGTAGTCTATTGTGAATAGCATTACAAGGCTGTCGGGTAGACCAAGCTATGTCAGTGTTGTTTGAGAGAAACAGAGAATATTCAGGAAACCACTGAACAGGTTTTATGACTCCTTTGCACTCACGCTGGATACCAGGAGCTGGCAATCTTTGTTGCGAAGCATCAAGTTGAGCACCTCAGAGCACTGTCTTAGGCTGTGTTACTGGAAGTATTCATCTGTCACCCAAAACATAGCAAAACACCACACACCTTTGCCAAGTTGTCCTCCCACAACTGTCTGGTTGCTGCACAGCACTTGTCAAAGGTACGGTCATCAACTTGCTGGTCCAGATTTGCACGTGCCTGAAATGCATACAGCAGCTGTACTATTAGTAGCTGATCAGAGCCTTTTCTTCACAAAACAGGGCGGGGGGGGGGGGAGGGGCATGCACCAAATTGAATGTACAACTAGAGAATAGCGAGAGCCCATCCCATCAGTGCATAGTGGTGAAAGCTCAAAGGCTCATACAGCAAACCTCCCCTAATCCGTGACTCGCATAGCAAACCTCCCCTATAACCAGGGCTCATACAGCAGACCTCCCCAATCCAAACTCTCCAGAATTATTTATTATTTATTTATGGATTCCCCAAAGGCCGAGGCCTAAGTCAAGGGGGTCTCCGGTCATGGCTTACTGGGAATATATCTGCAAAGATCTGAGCACATTTCTGACCCCTCTCAAGCCACAAAATTGCGGGTTTCCCGGCAATGACAAATGGCGCCAATAAAAAAATATTGATCGGCATTACTTGCATGCAATCAGTATGACATACTGACATACGTTACATGTTCGGAGCTAGGGGCAATTCCTAGCTATACCGGGCAGTGCCTGGTCTCAACGTGCCTGGATAAGGGTAATTATACTGCACTCTGTCCATCCTTGTCTTTTTGGACGGTTAAAGTAAGAGAGTCAACTTACCTGTTTCATGCTGATGAAGCTGATGGCAATGCTTATCTCCACAGGAATGTCTTGTGACACTGTAAGCAAACTGGAATGCACAACTATTACCAAGTCGCTCATAAATAGCAGTGGGCACTGGCGATACGGGAGTACATACAGCAGTTTAGCATACCGACTATACTAGTGATCGACAAGTATTGTACAGGCCTAGCGTGACTGTGACTCAAGGTGGATGCGAACAGGTGTGATGTCTTGTAAGGGCATTTTGGTTGTAATTGAAGCAATACAGTAGACTAACCCATGCGTTGTCAACCACAGTTTATTGTCACAGCTTAGCAACATGTCATGTTTTTCAGCATGGATGTGTCTGTAGTAAGATGGAGCCGCTGTTGGGAAGCCACTTACCCGTGATGAAGAAACCATTAGAAGCTGCTCCTTCAGCGCTGCTACTCGCTGAACCATTGTACACACCTGTTGTGTTCCAAGTTCCATAACTGCTAACTACGGGTATACCAGCTGCTGCTGCCCCAACACCGATACCGTGACCATGAATAGTATCATCACTCATCGCTGACATGCGAGCAGCAAAGTAGATATACACGCCGTGACCGTTACGCCGAGTCAGACTACCTGTGCATCGTATCAAACAGTCAGCACATCACAGCATGCACAATCAAGTTGAATCAACCCATTGTGATGTCACCTGCACACATGTTCTGAACAAAAATGGGTGATTTCAAGAGACTGTTTGGTGCTGTGCAGATCTAAGACAAAACAGTGCAACACCCATTTCATCCTACAGGTTGTGTGCACTGTGCACCTGGCCGATTACCTTCAATCAACAAAGAATAGAAGTCTTTCTCTCAGCAATAGAGAGAGAGAGCACAAGCAGGATATGCCTGCTATGTACCTGTAGCACAACCGCTGCACTTGGAAACCTCTTTTAAATCGGCCATGTCACGGCACTTTGGTTATTGACCACAACATACATACAGCTGTTCAGCACTCGAATATACCGTAAAGTACCGTTGATCCGCCACCTCTCTAATTCCCGCCCCCTGTCGATGTTCTACCTGTGAAGCGACTTCGGCGTATACAACGAAATACGATGTTGAACCGACGCATGCACTGCTGTACACAATACGTGCCGATCCAGGATGAAAATGTGCACAATCCAGCACATCGAGTCTGATCCTCTACGTTGTTGTACATCGTACTGCACTTGACAGCCTTGATCTAATTCCTGCTCCCTGCCGAAAACCCAGCTGGGAAGCGACATGGCGTGGGGGAGGATCAACGGTACTTTACGGTATACATCTTGTAACAGGAAGCCAGGAAGCCAGCCTTGCCAACTTGCCGCAGACCGTTACACACTACAGTATAGAATTGGAGCCGCGGCCATTGCATGGCATGCAGCGCTAGGCACATTGCATGGCATGCAGCGCTAGGCACATTGCATGGCATGCAGCGCTAGGCACATTGCATGGCATGCAGAGCTAGGTACATGTATACAGTACCTTGATTTAACATCCAGCCAGTCACTTCCTGGGTAGTATGGTTGTATTCGACAAAGCTACCATTGCAGCCACCCTGGCAATCATGGTGAAGCACACAGACACGTGACACAGACAATTACCAGGAGCAAGCCGAAAATGGTGGAAAGTGGTGTCACTAAGTGAAGTTAGGTATACATGTATTCATGAAAACCGTCAACTTGAGATCTTGGGGTGTTAGATCAGTGGATCACCAAGCCATGCAGCTAAACTGGTGACAACTGTGCAGACTGTACAGACTGCTCCAAAGCTGCTGCAGGTGAAAATGGTAAATGTTGAAGTAACATCCACATTCATTGAATGCAAGCTATATGTAGCACATCTGACCATCTGGCCTGGGGGCAAGATACCAGTTAGCTGCCACACTGATCTGACCAAGTAGGGGCTACATACATGTAGCTGCACAATGATCTGGAACAACACCCATATTACCCCGGTAATACATGTCATGTACATTCCCAAGACAACGTTACACTGCATTACAGTGGGGCTTGCATAAGCCACTTTGGGAGATCATTATAATGCAGTCACTATATTCCATCTCTCATTCGACTCAGTCTCTGGAAAGGGCTTGCTATGGAGAATAGTGGTAGCAGAGCACAACGTTGAAGTCGAGGTCACAAGGGCGCAAGGTTGACCGTTATACCCAATCTGCAATGTACTAGAATGCTTAGCATTATCTATTTTTGGAAAGCGACCACTGTTTCTCCCACTGAGTCCAGGACCATCCACATTCCAATGGAGCTGGACGGGTGAGTAACACGCTCACCTACACTACTAACCGGGGTGAGCGCGTGTGAAGGATCAAAGAGAATCACCATCGGCTGATCATGGCTTGCAGGCATGCTACCTGTACTGCTGTAGCGGTGAATACCTGCAACAAGTATCATGACGACCATGCAGAGGCAATCACCAAAGTACAGTAGTCATGTGATGCACAGGTCATGTGATGTACAGGTCATGTGATGCACAGGTCATGTGATGTACAGGTCATGTGACGCACAGGGCATGTGACGCAAAGGTCATGTGATGCACAGGTCATGTGACGCACAGGTCATGTGATGCACACTGTCTGGTGATTGCTTTGTGCATGAAACTCAGAGTTACAGCTGCTACAGCATTCTCTTTGCCCTTCTCTGTATGTGTATAAGGCTCTGCACCGGGGGGGGGGGGGGGGGGGGGGTGAGGTATACCGGGCACTCTCTTTCTCTCTCGGGCTGCCACAACTCGTTCCAAGCCTAGCAGGATTACTAAAAATCCGGTTAATCAGTATTCCGCGGTTCCAATAACTACACCATCATTCATGTGCATAGACAATTAGACAATTAGACATCATACAGTCCGGTGCAAGTTATCACCAGAACCTGTTCCATGAATATACTGGCCTACAGGGCATAGCAGTACTACAGACAAGGTACCTGAACTTCCTAGTATCATTAAATCTGCAGTAGCAACACCATACATGTACTAGTATTGAATCGGTCAGGATAGTCTGGGAACTCTCGCTATTGTGAATGTCAGGATCATGCGTACCAACCGAGTCAGTATCACATCACAATGGTCATGCTAACACATTGTACTGGTCTCACCTGCATGGGAGCCGCAAGCAGTCAGCTCAGCAATGACTTGTGCATCATCCAGCAGTACCCGGTAGTAGCCTACATAATATACATGCAGACAAAGAGTGGTCAACCACCGTCATGATCATTGCCTTGCTCAGTGCACACATGCCATTAACTTGCATGCATGTGATCTAAATGACTACTAGTAATGTACGCCAGGTGATCGTGTGGCTCGATCAGAAGCGAACATGTAGTCACATGACACAAACTGGCTTGATCAACAGCTATGCTCACGTAGCAGCATACAAGAGTGCGGCATACACATACAAGCGTGCACATCAGTGTGTACCTGGCATTGCTGTTTCATTGGCATGTTTGAACTTGGAACGGTATCCATAGTTACTGAACATGCTGCTTTGAACGGAACGTGTCGCCATGGTGCCAATGTTGCCAAAGTCCAGAACGCCAGGCCCGACCATGTGCGTGTGTGAGAAGCAACGTATCTCGTTATCAGCTGCAGGAACACACAAACGCACACACACACACACACACACACACACACACACAAACACACACTACTACTACTACTACTATGATACAGCTACCCTAAACGGGTCACGCCGCCCTCCACCCAAGCATGAGCACTATGAGGGGCAGTGGCAAATAAATAGAATCAGCTAGCAGAACTGGCAAAACAGATGAAACAATGGAGCAGAACGGACGACTGCTGTACTGTAACAACAACCTGACAGCTACAGTGCCAACGACTGAAAATGAACAGGAAGGAAAAAAAATTCAAAAATCTCACGTCACGAAAAAACACTTCTCGCTCCACATATACTGGCATACACAGAGACATAGACAGCAATAGCGACAACACACAAAGTGAAGGGTAGTTGGCCGCAGCCAGATGTGAACCGGATAACGAGTGAGGTATGGAAGCAAGCAAGGACTGAGAACAGAGTGTCTCAGATAGAATAGTCGTGCCAGTGGATAGCAGAAATAGGCCATGATGCAGAACCACTTGGGACCGTCAGATTAATTTTCCTGGACCGAGCCAGCCGGGAAAAAACCCTTGCGCCGACGGACGCATTTGTGAGGGAAAAAACCGGGTGTATATCCCCAATGGCGATTAGGCATCATGTAGGCATGGCAAGCACATCACGGCAAACAGTGATAAAAAGCATTGATAATATGCACAGAAATAAAGGGTGGGAGGGCGGGGACACTGGTGAGACTCAAAACTGACTGAAGAAGTCAGGAAAAGAAGCGACAACAAAGAACACACCAGATGCCATATTTGCAACTGAAAATATTTCGCGAGAAATCATTTCTCGCCTATCTCGCTGCGCTCGGCCGGCGAGAAATACAACTGTCCACGAAAGAATCCACCAAGCAAAAGGAGTGTGGGCATCCGAAATCCCACCAGGACTCCACTAGCAGTTCTTCCACGTTGACGATGTAAGCGGCAGGGCAAGGCCTCACAAATCCGACAGACTTCCACAACGCTTGACCAGTGCACTCATGACGACGAAAGATTGAAGTTTCAATTCCCACCATTCCGCCATTGGGACCTTCCTCTCCGCACTCGCTCGTCCACTCCACTGAAAACAACGAGTTGTTCCAGCACTCCACCAGCCAATCCGCAATTCCCACCACTGCATTCTTCGAGCTTGGATTCTTCACAGCACTCGAGGGACAGCTACTCCACTGCGAGTGGTGGACCACGGCCGACGCAGCAGTGACAATATCAAAGTAAATTGTCCTGCAAGCTACATCGCGATTCCGCGCTCCAATCATGCAGCACTACCTTGGCAGTGTGCGAGGGTGCTCCAGGGTCGACTCTGGCTACGCCAGAGTCGCCCTGGGCAGGCAGAAGACTTGGGAGAAAGCCAAGAACACGGAGCTCAGAAAGTGTAACCTGCTCCCAAGGAGCACAAAACAACACACACACACACACACATACTGGCCTGTCCTGAACATTGCTGTTTCCGGTTACATGTCCCCTTGTGCGAGGGGCCGACAGGAGAGAACATGTAGCCGGGGCACGCACGCACGCACGCACCCACGCACGCACGCACGCACACACACACACACACACAAACACACACACACACACACACAAACAGGCAAAGGTGCATCTTCGCAAGGAGCTTCGGGATCCACGCATACTTCTGGCATGCACACAACAAACACTGGCACAGTTATTCACACTACCAGTATATCTACTTGTACTTTGTAGCAGCACGCGTACCATAATGTACTAATAGGCCTTACAGTGATGGTATCCTCCAAAGTGGTGTGGTCCAAACGCTACGTTGTCCAATGCCGTGTCAGGAGACAGACGTAACGCACCAAACGGAACCTGAACTCCAGGTGGATCACCACCTACACCGAAACCATCACCTCCTGCACATGAATGTAGAAAGGAAAAGGACATAATTATGGATATGAGTTAAGAGTAACTCTCCATCATTGTAACTAGATACTATATCCTGTACGTGATATCGACAAACGGCAAGGAGGCAACACATGACCATCAACAAACCCATGCACTGTTTTATTGCTATGCTTTGCACCGCATAGAGCAGCTCAATTACCTCTTTGGAAAATTCCCGCAAATGCGGCAGCATATTGCAACAGTAGTAGGGCTGCTGCCCACACTCAAAACACAATAGTGCAGTGCTAGGAGTGGATTAGTGATGCCTAAACACAATAGTGCTAGGAGTGGATTTGATGCCTAAACACAATAGTGCTAGGAGTGGATTTGATGCCTAAAGTTAAGGTTTCTTAGTGTGAAATACTGCAATCTGTCAATGGAACAAATTGTTCTTCCTCCTAAGAACACACCTCCATCTCAACCACTCTAGAACAGGATATCAGCCGCACCGGATATAAGTATTTCACACGTAACTATGTTGTTCGCTGCAAGTAACAGCTTGTGGTGTGGTGTGCTGGGTAATTTTATTATTCCACGCTGGTATGCTGCCAATAAGGAACTGATGCAGAGAATGAAGAATGGTATATCAAGAGATGCGTGTGCAAACAGGGGTAGCCGGGAGCAGATAAGTACAGCTTGCCATTGAATCCGCTCGAGGTGATCTCTTTGTTGGCCAGTGGTGTTGATGATGAGGACGGAGGAGTTTTCACATGTAATAACCAAACCGAAAACTACAGAAGGAGGAAGAGGAGGAGGAGGAGGAGGAGGAGTTGGAGGATGAGGAGTCGGAGGAGCCGGAGATGGAGGATGAGGAGGAGGAGGAGGATGGATGAATATATGGATGAGGATGAAGGGGGAGGGGGAGGAGGAGGAGGGGAGGATGATAACGGAGGAGTCGGAGGAGCCGGAGATGGAGGATGAGGAGGAGTCGGAGTCGGATGGATGAGGAGGAGGAGGAGGAAGATGGGGAGGAGAGGATAAGGACAAGGAGTAGAAAGGAGGAGGAGGGAGGGAGGGAGGATGAAGATGAGGATGAAGATGAGGATGGGGAAGAGGAGGAAATGGAAGGGGTACGGGTGGAGTCCTAATAGTAGATCCCCCCAGGACTTAGGAAATCAGCGGCTATAGAACAGTATAATATTATATTGCTCGCATAATCCACTGCAAAAGCACCACACACTGCATTCTCTCATGTTCAACAGGGTTTGAACGCTGCGATTTATCATCCAGCTTTGTCTGCAGGCTGACACGGTGAGCTTGTCTAAGATTATAATGATTCCGGGGAAACGAGAGTTCTCCCATGTCACATGATAATCATGCCATGATGAAGTCAGCAGATTGTCAGCAGATTGTCAGCAGATTGGCCATTCAGTGGGCAGGGTATCAATAATATCTCCCTGGTGTGCAGGCAGAGGGGTTGTGTACCGGATGTTTTTTCAGGAACTGAGAGAGCTCTTGTGGAGTTGCAGCATGATTGAAGGGTCTGCACGAAAGATACCAGTACAGCTGTGGACTAGAATGCTTGGAAGTCTTGGTCCTACCGCTGAACCCGAGACCCATGGTCGGGGGACGGGTAGGCCCAATTCACCAGTACGCTGCTCCGGCTTCCCGCTGTATTGTCATGTCTCCCCTTGGTTCTGCCTTCCCATTCTGTTCACTGCTGGACTGTGCAAATCTGAGTATAAAAAAATTAAAAAAGTCGGATCTACATGTATCTACTTCGAAGTGGACTGGAATGGGAGGATCTTCTTGTGATAAAAAAAAAGGAAAATGCATTGGCCGGGAATCGAACCCCGCGTGGCAGGCGAGGATTCTACCACTGAACCACCAATGCAGACATGGAATCCAAGAACATATAGCTCGCACACAACTATATTAGTACTCAACAGTTTACATGGATGGACTGGAAAATATTGAGCATACCTACAGTCCATTCATAAAAAGATGGGCTCTGGCTCTGGCGAGCTCCCGTATTTGGCGATTTTTCGTGATTTCATCGTACACAGTGCAGTGCTGCGAAATTTGAAATTTGAAAAAGGGTCCAAAAAGGGTACCTGAACTGGGGTTCGAACCGCACAATGCACGTTTGCAGGCGGGGTCAAACGGCCTGGATTTTTATGGTTTTTCCCAATTCAGTGCTGTTGGGGCAAAACCTGGCCGAAATTCTATTCTTGTTATGGCTTGCTTTTTGGACAAAAAAACTTCAGAAACATAATTGGAAGAGGATTCCATAGGGGATTGCAGAAAAAAATTCTAAAAAAACTCAAAGTTTGACCCATTTATGGCCAAAAGCTAGAAGTCCATCTTTTTCTGAATGGACTGTAGGTCTCTAGCCGTGCCTAACGTCTAGCGCTGATCGATGTTTTAAACACTGCATCCACTGCTACAGTCAACTTTGCGTATAACGACACTCGGCGGGGCATCAGAAAAGTGTCGTTATTCGCGAAGTGTCGTTATACCCGAAGTCTCATTATAATGTATTCAGGTAGAATGGACTGTGCTCTGGGCATGGAAACTCTGTCGTTATTCGCGAATTGTCGTTATATCCGCAGTCGTTATAAGCGAAGTTGACTGTACATCGTGTGTCGTATAAATCCTACAGCCGGATTTTGCAGCTGGCCTCTGGCTTCCCGACAAGCTCACGCGTCCCCCACCATCGTGGTTGGTCTCACCCTCTCCTCAATTCAATTGGCTGTCTTTTTTTTTTTTTAATGTTTATTTGAATTCGGATAGCTCAACAGTACAGAAGTACAACTACAAAGAGTACCGAATGTCGCGGTCATCCTTTTTTTGGGGACGGTTGGCGGTTTTCGTGCTCTGAGGATCAGCCTCAGCGGCACTCCTACAGCATCCCTTAAGCAGTGACCAAACCTTTGTGTACCTTACGATGTCACTTGATGAGAATCTAGACCTAGCCCTGGTGGGATTCAAGGACCTAATTGACCTGGGCGAGCGGAAATCAGTAGACCAACCCTCAAGCCTTTCTCGCCCAGAACTCGTCAAAGAACTCCGGAAGATGGGCGTGGGAGTGCTGCCGCAGCCAGCAAGTCCAAACGGTACGTTGGAACAATTGTCTAGCCTTGTATCATGTGTTTCAACCTTGTCCAAGGAGATTGTTATGTCGAGGGAAGATAGAGACAGCACAATGTTGGCCCTGAAATTGGAAATCCAAGAGCTGAGGCGTGAAGTAGTAGAGCTTCGTCAACAGAAGTGTTCCATCCCTGACCCCTTACCACACACCGTACCCACGTACACATCCCAACAAAACGTGGCCATGGGACCTCCAGCTGCGAAGTCCTACAGTAATACCGTACGCACCCAGCATGCTGCAACACCACAAGGTACGAGTCCAAGTAGTACCCAGACCCAGCCTGCCCAACAAAGCCCAATGTGTGCTGCATGCACCAGCGATACTTGTAGTTGTACAGTCCACGCAGCCGACACACAATGCTGTGAAGCAGGGGTCACTGGCATATGTAGTACAGAGCCAACACAGAACACGTGGAAAGAGGTGAACCATAGACGAAAAGGACGGCAGGACAAATTCACGGACAGCGTATCCAAAGCTCTGCGGGCTACTATAACCTCTCGGTACGTGAAGGAATCACCTAACACGGAACCTGCTGATCCGTGCGTCCTGACAGGGGTGGTGCCCATCAACAAACTTGTGCTCTACGTTGGAAGCATCAACAGCGGTTGCAACGCTCACTCCATCAGAGACTGGTGCGAAGCGAGGGACGTGGAGGTATTAAATTGCTCCGTCATGGAGTCCAAATACCTTGGCACATCGTATGCCAGAGTCACTGTGGCTGCAGAACATGAAGAGCGTGTACTAGACAGAGCCTTCTGGCCCGAAGCCATCAGCCACTCAGTACGCAAGTGGCGTTTTGCGGACAGCCCCAAAGTGACGAAGCCAGCTTCCAATGCGTAACCTTTATCCCTCCTCTTCCACTTCAACCCCTGCGCCTCTCAACGCTCTTGCCCCACCTTTCTTCCCCCATTCTGTACATGCTGCTACTCACCGACTTACAATCTGTGTCCTTAATGCTCGCTCCATAGCAAACAAGTCTGGCGAACTCATTCAAATCTGTGAAGATCACACACCCAGCGTAGTATGCATCACAGAGACCTGGCTAACTCCCACACAAGCTTTCCACGTGCCACACTATGAATGCTTCCGTCGAGACCGACCTGTTTTAGAAAATAGACAGAACCGTGACCCACACAGGGGGTATGGAGGAGTTCTAATCTTAGTTCGTGAAGGTCTGTGCACTTCCATTGATCAGCTACCGGATTTTCAGCAACCGGGCTTGGAAGCGCTAGCACTTCGGCTTACACTCGCTGAACATAAGCTTGTCTCACCTTCTGACCTGCCAACAACCCACCTATCAGTAGCCTGCATCTACCGTGCTCCTTCCCCGTCGACGGATGACTTCTCGACTTTTCTCGACCGCCTCCAAATAGCCCTGCAACCAACACAAAGGAAGCCCGAAGCCCTTGTGATATCAGGCGACTTCAACTGTAGGTATTCCGGCTGGTGCTCAACTGACCAAACGGATGCACAGGGTCTGAGTCTTGACAACCTCTTCTCATGCTATAATTTGACCCAATCGGTAACCTTTCCCACCCACCTCCGCTCGAATGGACTTGGCAGCTGTCTAGACCTTATCGCGAGCAACATCCCTAACCAACTCAACCACATTCAACACCTGGCTCCTCTTGGCGCATCAGACCATGCCGTCCTGCTGGCTGAGTTCTCCTCCTCAAAGTCTTCCCCCACAGCAGCCAGCACCTGCCGTAGCCCACCATCTACACAAAAATACAATGTCCTGAGTGCCACGGATAACATGTGGAATGCCATGAATGTTTTTCTCGCAGCTGTACCCTGGTCTCAGGTCCTTGCCCCCCACTGCATCGACACGGCTGTCTCCGCATTCACTGACATCCTTGAAGGTGCCTTGGACCTATATATAGGAAGATCCTCACCTCCTCGTCGGAAATCACGCCACAAACCCTGCCCCTGGATGACTCCATCACTGAAAGCAGCTATTAAAGTCAAGAGCGATCTCTACAGCATCTACCGGAAATACCCATCCCCTACAAATTTCAACAAATACAAACACCAACGTAACTATGTAAAATGCCTTTCCAGATCCTGCCATCGCTGCTACATCCGCAACCTCCGTGCCACGATATCTCCCACAAACCCTCGCCTCCCATCCCTCCCTGTGCTTATTCGTCAACTGCGAAATCCTACCAGCGCCCGGGTTATACCTTCGAAGATGGTGGGCCCCAATGGTCGAACAAGCACCTCTCCGGCATCCATTGGTAACTTATTGAACCGCCACTTCGTTAGTGCTGGCTTACAGGTTGATCCCGATGCTCCTATTCCCACTATTTCCTCTCTACCTCCACCAGCAACTACATTGCACTCCCTGATCATCACCTCATCGACTGTTCACAAGTATATTGCAAGACTGCCTCTGAACAAATCCCCCGGAGCTGATAGGATCACCAATGAGATCCTCAGGAAACTGAGCTACTCAATTGCCCGCCCACTCTCCATTCTTTTTAACCTTTCCCTCTCATCCGGCACATTCCCGTCACGATGGAAGTCAGCCACTGTCATTCCAGTGTACAAAAATAAAGGCGACAAGAACAACCCGTCTAATTACCGACCAATCTCCCTCCTGTCCTGCGTCTCCAAACTGCTAGAGAGAATAGTGTACGACCGCTTGTACGACCATATCTCCCCTCTTCTTCACCCCGCACAATCTGGCTTCCGTCGTAAGGACAACACATCCCTGCAATTATCCCGCATAATCCAAGACCTCTGCTCCCTAAAAGACCAGCGGCAGGTCTCCTGCATCTGTTTCTTCGACCTCTCCAAGGCCTTCGACACCGTGTGGCACAAGGGCCTGATCGCCAAACTTCGTGCCCATGGTGTCTCCGGCTCCCTACTCGCCTGGATAACTAGCTACCTCTTGGACCGAAATCAGTGCGTCACAGTAAATGGAACCTTATCTGACCCCGAGTCTGTGACATCCGGAGTGCCCCAGGGCTCCATTTTAGGTCCCCTGCTCTTCCTCACATACGTTAATGACCTCCCCTATTCAATTCCCAATATTTCTTTGTTTGCAGATGATACCACTGTCCTTGCTTCCTCCCCATCTCACGCCACCCTGTACCCCAAAGTTCAGACCTGTATCAACGACATTGTTCACTGGATGAGCACTTGGTACCTTAAGCCAAATGTGACCAAAACCGAGCTCCTCCTGTTTCCCCCTCCCACAGATCCAGTGCCCATCTTCCACTTTCCCGATGATCCCGGTCACCCTATCTCTGTAGCGCCCCACCATAAACACCTTGGCATTGTCATAGATTCCGCCCTCTCCTGGTCTCACCATGCTGATCATGTGTCGTCCAAAGTATGCCGATCTGTCGGCATAATGTCAAGTCACTTGTCCCATTTGCCCAAAAATTGCCGGATTAATTTTTATAAATCATACATTCTTCCCCTCTTCACGTACGGCTTCCCTGCCTGGTCCACCATTAACAAAACCCACATAGGTAAATTAGAAGTTCTCCATCGCCGTATACTGCGAATCATATTCCGTACTGATCGTTATACCTCAAATCTAGACTTGTATGCTGCTGCATCCACTACCACTCTGCAACATTACCTTGATGCTTCCAAGTGCACCCTGGCGCATTCAATTTTCCTTGACCAGCACCCTGCTCATTTACAGTCCCTTAATTGGTTCAATTCAGGTGGCACCACCCGAAGCTGCGTTCGTCTCCCCCTAGCTAGGTCTACCCTATTCGTAAATTCCCCTTTCTTTTCCTCCTACTCCACGTGGCTCCAACTGCCTCCCAGTGTTAGACAAGCTCCAGATATGCCCAAATTCCGTACCCTCGTCAGACAGCACTTCAGTATCTCCCAGTAAACAAAGTCACAGTCACCACTTCCGCTGCATAGCTCGCTGAGCATCCCATTGCTTTGTAAGTTGCTAATCCCTTCCCACTTTGTGTACGTGCTCTTAATTTTCTTTTTTTCTCTTCTTCCGTGGTTGGTCTCACCCTCTCCTCAATTCAATTGGCTGTCTTGACATGCCACGAGGTGCAGAAATAAATAAATAAATAAATAAATAAAAATAAATAGAATGTCTTGACATGCCACGAGGTGCAGAAATAAATAAATAAATAATAAATCAGTGCCGTGTGCATTGTGAACTAGGCTTTTTCTTAATCAACCCTTTTTCCTTGCAAAGTTCATATTAAACCTGGTTCGAACTTTTTTGACTTGTCTCTTGTCGTCATACTGTCATATTCTACCCTGTGTTCCTCAATCTCAAACTGTTGAGTGTTGAGTAGTTGTGACCCAACCGTTTGTCCTCACATACCATGGCTGCATTGGTGGTTCAGTGGTAGAATCCTCGCCTGCCACGCGGGGGGCCCGGGTTCGATTCCCGGCCAATGCATTTTTTTCTTTCTTTTTCTGTTTCAACAATTCTCATGTTTAATTAAATATAGGCAAGAGTACATAACCAAGAGTGTGCAACTTCTATCTTGAGCTGGGTATGCTTTCCCGCGCTTGTTTTGTAGATACGGTGACAGTTCGTCAGGTTCAAGACACATCGATCTATCGTCCGTTGTTCTGCTTCGACTACTGTAGCTGTGATGTACAGATTCTTTGTACTTTGATATCTGGCTACGCATGATGGCATCAGCGAGCCAAACAGCCGCCAAAGACTAATGTCATAAAAAAATTCCGCCGTGGGCTGGGGAATCGTCGAGTTGCACACTCTTGGTTATGTACTCTTGATATAGGCTACAGGCGAGATTGGATATAACAACCTTGCTTATAACGACAGAGTGAGTTTAGAGACACAATTCTGTTGCCCAAGTCGTTCAATAAGTCCTTTGTGAAGATAGAATATTGACATTTTGTTCTCTCCCGAAGGAGTGTCATTATATCCAATCTCCACCGTATTCAATACGCATCACTTTTTGAAATTCTACGTACTAAGCGTCGTTTTCATGCAAGTGCATTCACACAGGCATGTACACACGATTCGTACGGCTGTTCGTACAGGGTTCTGGATATGTCGTCTACATTTTCGGATCATGCGTTTTGATTTTCCTGCCATGTTCCTTGTTGTCATTCCTATTCGGATGAAAACGTCATGTACGTCACGTATTATTGGGCGAAGTGTGAATGGCCCATTACAGCGACCAGTGTTGACTACAAAAATACAAAACAATCATGATACACATGATTGTTTTTGTAGTAAACACTGGTTGCCGGGACTCTGCCAACCGGGTTATGGTTGTAGTCAGGAGCACTGCGCGTCCTCGCCTTGTAACATGCTGTCGAAGTCGAAAACATGTCAATTGATTTTGTTACTTGTACGTCAACCGGGTTGACTGTGCTGGTGCAGGTTGTGACATTTGGAAACCCCCAATGGCCATACCTCTCTCTCTCTATTATTCGTTTATATTTTGAAAGTATACAACAACGACAACGACAGCGACAGCGGCAGCGGCTGCAGCAGCAGCAGCAGCAGCAGCAGCAGCAGCAGCAGCAGCAGCAGCAGCAGCAGCAGCAGCAGCAGCAGCAACAGCAACAGCAACAGCAACAGCAACAGCAACAGCAACAGCAACAGCAACAGCAACAGCAACAGCAACAGCAACAGCAACAGCAACAGCAACAACAACAACAACAACAACAAGGAGTTGAAGAGGAAAACTCTCTCTCTCTCTCTCAGTCCTAGTAGTGGTCTTACCTGTTCCTACAAGCATGTTGACCGTGCTGCTGAATGGTAGGTTTGGAGGGTCAACTGATCGTCGCTGTCCTGCATTGTCAGCATCATCACTGTCCGTACCAGCATTCAACACGGTCAGCGACTGAGACACAACTTGACCAGTACCGGAGGGTAGCATGACAAACGATAAGACGACGACCATAGCCACAGAGTGAGCAACGATAGCGATGTCCTTGGAACGTGCCATTCTTGCCGAGACAGAGTATACTGATGTGTTCCACCGGACGGTACTTTTGAAGAAGAAAGTTACAAACCGATTTCCCGAATGAATGGTTGAATACGGCTCTGGACACTCTACCGGCTATGCGCCATTCAGAACTGACACGGCCGCCAATTCCCAACTTGCAGCCAAACTCAGGAACATCGAATCTCGATCCACAAACGCTGGGATTATCCAAGGTGGCACCGACGAGCGCTAAGCAGCCCAGTTACAGCAAGTCCTGCGAAGCATGAATTGTTGTTCGGCGAACAACCAATGTTTCTTTTCTGGTGTCGGTAAAACTGGAACAGGTAAATATTGCATTCTCGGTGCTGTCCGGGCTACAAACTAGCTATCCGGTATCGTCGGTGCGTCGGCACGTGAACATAGTCATTGATGAAACCACTGAAGTGAAAGCGAGTTGACGTCGTCATCTTTTACTGTGTCTGAACTACCAGTCGTAGACTACTACAGTACTAGTACTACTACAGCTAGCTTGACAGCTTGCCTCATCATCTCATATCATGACTCATGAGCTCTGCATGTAGACTACTATCAACATACTAGTAATCAAAATTCTTTGTTGCCATCTTCATTAGGTCCGTCAAATAGTAGTAATAGGTTTTTCATTTGACCCGACGAGACCACACGACGCTTGCAGACCACAGCACGAACAGTTCACCAGCCACACTCCACGAAAGCTAGTAGTGTTACTCCTGACAAGTCTTGTTTCGTTCCATAAAGTTGACGGGGAACTCATCAGAGGATGATTGTGATTGATTTAGCACTTGTGATTGTTGTGTTTGGTAGGGTTCATAACACCTCCATTCTGCACTATTCCTTTTGTGTTGATTTGTCATATATGTGAGTTAGTTGAGGGTTTACACCTTGCGCCGGTATCTTCTCTATAAAATAGCATTATTCAGCTTAACCCCTTCATTCAACAACTGCTTCTCCTCTGATGAGTTCCCCGTCAACTTTATGGAACGAAACAAGACTTGTCAGGAGTAACACTACTTGCTTTCGTGGAGTGTGGCTGGTGAACTGTTCGTGCTGTGGTCTGCAAGCGTCGTGTGGTCTCGTCGGGTCAAATGAAAAACCTATTAATACTAGTAATCATAACTAGTACAATCATGATTGTAGCCTAGTATGATGATTGTGTGCAGTGTTTGCTGCAAGACTGAACATAGCATAGCCTTCTCGTCATAGATAATAATAATTATTATGCCTTACCAACACTGGCAACAGGCAACAGGTCTGGGCCTCAGTGGGTCACACTACACAACATACAGACTGAGTCAAACCACACAGTCACAGACCTAGTATCTACTAACACTAATTATAACAACTGAATACTACACCCCATGTCACTACAAGCTAGTTTAGAAGGACCCCATGACGACTGCCATAAACCTGTAATGCTCATAAGGATGCTCCTTCAATGGCACACAGACAACATCTTGATGATGGCACGCTTGTGTATTTTACCCCAAAAATACTTCAGTTATGCAAAAGGCCAGCCATGAAGAGGCGAGGGTAAATTAAATGAAGCCAGGAATTCTTGGAACACAAACTGATTGGAGTGAGGTACGGTGAATAGGCAGTTGAGTACGGAATTCACTAGATGCAGGACTCCCAAGAGTTATTTCTGCCAAATGCTCCATACAATGCTAAGTTGAACTTCAACCCATGCTCTAAAATACTCCCACGATGGACATCCATTTGCCTTCGGAGAGTCTAATAAATATCGATTAAAATTGAATGAAAAAGAAAAATAGAAAAAAGTACAACTGGTCAGAACTTCATGGAAATCAAAGCTCCTTTGCAAAGTAAGCAGCTGCACTGTGATGTTGGGCTATAAGAATCTGGTTTACAGGTACGTGAAAACTGCATTCATTGATAACGTGGAACATGAAGGCCAAGCCTGACATAAAGAGAATGATTCTACCGTTGAACCCAGGCAGTAGCACAGACATAAATACTACATTCAGCTAACTCTGAGGGAAGCCAACCCGCTCTATAGAACTTTTAAATAACAGATAATTTACCTCATCCTGGGTACAAAGATCAGTCTTGTTCAAGTCACTATTTTGCAAAATGCAGTTCGCTAAAAGCAAGCGGCAGCATGACCCGACAACTTGCCCATATCAGCTTGCAAGCAATCCAGGGTGCCAGCACTGGTCTTTTCCACATTGGAAAGTCCATGGTATCAAGGTATACACCGTACAGGCACACAGCGATGTAATGACGAATCAGTGTCCATGGGTCTGGATGCAAACTAACCTCATGGCACAAACCAGACAAAACAGAGGGCACAAGTTACTCATTATTGATTATTACTGACAGCCCCAACACTAACTTAGTAACCCATGCAAAGATGCCAAGAAGGATACCGGGAATTTCTGGCACGCACCTTTCGGATTATCACCTGCAAATTGCTTGAAAGTGCGGTGCAGGATATAGGGGGGGGGGGGGGGGGGGTGGTGGTGGTAGGGCTGGTTGCGGTAGGACATGGCAGGGTAGATCAGGACAGTGCTGGGTAGGGCAGGGTAGGTTATAATTCAGTGGCGGATCTAGGAGAGGGCGCGGTGGGCGCGCGCCCTCCCCTCAAACAGTTCGATTTTTTTTAAGTGCATGCCACTGAGGGAGTCGTAAAATACCATTTTACGACTCCCTGGTGCATGCACATGGGCAGTTGCGTAAGTGTTTGCACATGCTGTGACAAGTATTTTCTAGCAGGGAGTCATAGACCCTGGTCTATACGACTCCCTGGTTTATAGTGTCAGATAAGAAAGTTCTTCCGAACACGGAGTAGTTGTTCTCTTAGACTTTGGTTGACTTTTAGTTTTGAAATTAGTGTTCAGTTGACAAACTTGTATAGCTAAGTCGGTGAAGAATATGGCGCACCGTCCGCCCAAGCGGCTAGGGAGCCAACAAACTCTCCACGGATTTTTCGCAAAGCGAACTTGCGCTTCGTCAGATGCTCAGTCGAGCGATCCGTCTTTTGAGAAGAATTCGGACCACCGCGAAGATCCTGAGATCGAGGTCTGCTCAGACTCTGATCTTCCCCAAATGGAATCCGAAGTAGATTCTGACGACGATGGTGGGACTGTCAGTAGTAGTGATGCGAGTCAGGAGCGTTTACCTGTTGAAACTATCGCAGATGACGACGTTGTGACTGTCACGAATGTGGCTGGTGGCACTGCTACGCAGCGAAGTTACTCGGATGCTGTTGATGCAGCTATTGGCGATGCAACTCTCAGCGATGCAGAAAAGCGCAACATACTTGGGAACCGGAAGCCTGATAAGAAGACGGTGTTGCCATGTAGGGATTATCCCGACAGCCGCCGAAAGACCGGTACTTCCACTCGCTCGCTGCTACTGAAGTGGCTTGAGTGGCTTGCCTATTCCGGAAAGGCTGGCGAGGAAGGCGTTTTTTGTGCGCCGTGCGTCCCGTTTCCTACATTGCATCGACAAGGATCAACCCGAGGTGAATACCTCATCATCCATTCTTACTGCTGGACATGGCCATCCAAGTAATCGTATATTTTATTATTTTGCCATTGTTCTCAATCTCAGCATGTCTTGAGCTTTGAAGCACTATCTTTACACAATTCAATGTAGTACGGCTATGTTCTACTACAGCCAGAGTCCTCAATGAAGTGGTTGAAAAAGTGGGAGTGAGTGCATGTGCTAAATAGTAATTCTACATAACCGCTAAGCCTATGACGTACAATAGCCGCTATGTCGTAATGTGTACAAAATACATGTACCGCATGGGTTCCCTGTCATGAATATCACCCGCGCCCTCCCCTCAGCTGAACTCTGGATCCGCCCCTGTAATTATGGTAAGGCAGGGTAGAATTGGTAAAGACCCATGCCCTCCAACGTATTGCAGCACAATAACTGAGAGGCTCATATTCACAGCTGTGCTGGCACTGTACATGTACTTACATTGATAAAAGACTTATAGGCCCAGCAGCGCAGTCACCACCCAACAAGAAGTACTGGAAGCAAGCACGCCTCAAGCTGCGCATGCTGTCTACAACGCAGGTAAGAGAGAATCACATCAAAAGATATCATGTCAGAATCATATCACATGACTTCATTCAGTTCGTATCATAATGCAATCTACTTGATGTACTGGTTGGCTATCGCGTTCGGCATCCTGCTGCTGCTGCTGAGTGAGCTCTCCCATACTCTTCAAGCGTTGTGCCGGTAGCTCACATTTTCGTGAGCCTAAGTATCATGCCTGGCCCCCTTGCTGTGCGTCTATTGCATGATTATAGTGTCCATGGTTTGTTTGCCCGGGTGTATTGATCAATACTAAAGCAGGCTGAGATAAGAAGTACACAGTTTCCTGCTGCCCATGCGGCGGGTACATCTCATCAGAGAAGTTCTACTATCATGGTAGTTACTGTATATCAACAGCACATGGTCAGATGAATGAGTTACGTCACTGCGCACACGCTTGCACACGCTTACCATCATCACCAGCAGCAAACAGAGCATACAGCGCTTGCGCGAGGGTGTTGGCTACAAACGAGTGCGACATCTTGCGTTGCCAGTGGAAGCGGCGCTGAATTGCAAGCACGGCCTCCACATCGTGCAGATCTGCTAGCTGTTTGAGCTCATCCCGCCAGAACTCCACATCGTGGAGAGCAACAGTCATTCCAGCACCCGTCAGTGGATGACGCATGTTGAACGCATCGCCAAGAACCAGAGCACCAGGCTGTAGTACTGGAGCGGCCGGGAGAAAGCTGTTTGGCATGCTCCGAACTGCCTGTGTGCTCACTGCTTCAACGAATGGGCCGTGCAATAGTTCTGAGGGTAAGAAGCACAAGAAACATGTCAGTATAGTACCCGCTGCAGGTAATTTTACCAATGTATGATTCATTGCGGGCAGCCATGATGTCGTGGGATGGTCTAAGACCATGATTGAGAAACAGACGGTACCAGGTTCAAGTCCTGAGTGGAAGCGGAAGGATTTTTTTCCAGCCTTGCTGCGACCCAAAGTTAATTGGGAACTCGTGCCCTTGCACGAGGGAAGCATGAATGCAGTGAATGGGATTCTCGGTCTCTGACCACTTTGGTGGGTCTGGTCTCCTCACCTCCCACCGCTTTAGGAGTGCATCTGCGCCTTGCTCCTTGAAGGGTGGTAGCGTTCCCATGGATGCGGAAAACTCAGCCTCTAGCCGATGTTTAACTATTCCGAGTGCTACTCTGCTACTCTGCAAATCCGTGACATTAGTATTGGC